CAAGAACATTCTTCAATGGAATTCAACAATTTTTTTTTCGTATAATCAATAATTCATTCAATGAAATTCTATATTTTTTCAAAAATTTTAATACTATAGAATAAGTGTAGAAAAAATGTAGATATAAAAAATATGTCATCAACTGTAAAAAAATGCAGATGATAATGAAATTAAAAAATGAATTTTTTTTCAAAAATACATTGTGTTTTAATTCAATGCATTCACCGTTTCATGTCAGAGTAATCTCATCATCAACAATAATAATGAATTTATATTCCAAGTCAAATGTTTGAACATTTTTTTTTTTGACAGTTCCACAGAGAACAACAAAACATTACATTCAACAAATTTTGAAAATACTATTGAAATTTTCAATTTCATTTGATTTTCTGTTTTTCTATTTGATCATTTCAACTCTTTTTCATTTGTTGAAACGAATGGACATTACATACAAATCTAATAAACAAACAAACAAACACACACACACAGCATGTAATGTCCATTTTAATTATGTTCATATGATTGATTATGAATTATGTTGATAATAATATATCCGTTTTCTTTTTATTATTAATTACTGATTACATTTTCTTCTTGTTTTTTGGAAAGAATTTAGCTTGTCATTTCAAATCAAATCATTCTATCAGTTATCATCATAATCAACCCGATCTTATATGATGAAACGATTGATCAAATGATGAAAGTTTCTTTCTTTCTTTTTTTTTTGATTAAAGTTTTGTTTATTTATTTGGCCATCATCATCATCATTTGCGAATCAACAAACCAACGATGAATGATGATGACAAATAAAAATCTTTTGAGCTGATATGTAACGTAAACTAATTCTTTTGCTTGCCGAAAACTTTTATTAAAGAAATTCTTATTTCTTTTACTTTATTAATATATATTGATTCACATGTCATTCTACTCTGTATGTGATATATAAATGTTTCTCTATAGTTTATCATCAAATATTTGGAATGTCATGTAATACAAACATACAAACACACACACACACACACAAACTATCATCATTTCAAGAAACATTCATATATAAAATATGATGAAAAGAATTTTCATCATTTCTATAGAAGAATCTTTCATCAATTTATTTATTTTTCTTTATTCGTTAATATTGATACTCTTTCTCTCTCTTACTTTCAGCTCTCTATTGAAATAATGATTATATTTTTATTATATATTTAGTGTGTAGTAGTTTTTTTTTTTTGGGTTTTATTTATATTAAATGTAATATAAAAGTTACAGTTGAGAAAGGAGTCAATCCAATTATGAAGTTCTGTATGTTTGTGTTTGTATGTGTGTGTGTGTGTGGGTTCCATATTATTACTGTCCAACTTGATACTGATTATGATATTTATTTTTGTTTTCGGTATATATAGTTATTTTTATTTAGATGTTTGAAATGTTTGGGTTTGATTATCACAATTCCTTTTTACAATTTTATTCTTTTGGTTTATTTTTAGTTTTGTTTCTGGCCAGCAAAAACAAAAAAGGAAAAGAAATGATTCTTTTCATTGTTATTAATTTTAGATTCGGTTTTTTTTTTCACTACAACCACCCATCCATATACACTTTTTCAATTGTTCAACGAATGAATGATTATTGTTTTTTTTCTTTTCATATTTTTTTTTCTCATACATCATTGATGGATGATGAATTCTTGGTGCGTGCTAGTGTGTGTGTGTGTTCACTAAATAATAATGAAACGGATTCTTTTCCATATAAATTCATTTATTCTTATTGAATTTGGTGCTGTTTGCCCCTTTATTTTTAGAATCTAATTCTATAAAACAAAAGAAAGAGAAAAAAGATTCCCTTGTGTGTATGATCGAATAGTTGGTTTGATTCGTTTTTTCTCTCGTTACATTTTACTTAATATCAACAAAATCATCATCATCAAAAACATACGCCTTCTATTTGAAATGTGTGAAAATTTAATTTTCATTTGCTATTTTTTTCATTCATTTCGATATTATTTTATTATCATTATATTTGTCTTGAATTAAATTGAAAAATGATTAAGAAGAATTTCCAAACTCTTTGTTTTTTCGTTGGAGTTTTGTTCGTGTGTACAAATCTTTTATTATTTTATAATTTTGCACAAAAACCAATAAGTTTAAAAAATAGCAACAGAATTGAAATGAAAATTAACAGAATCAAATAAGATTATATTCTAGTTGAAGAAAGCTAAATGAAAAAAATGAACGGAACGATCGAAAAAAAGGCCGAACCAATGTTGATGATGATCTTATTATTGCCATTTTCTTTTCCATGACTATTTTTTTTCCTTTTCTTTTTTTTCAGATGTTGAAGTATATAATATTAAAAGTATGAAGTGTGTGTGTGTGTGTGTGTATTGTCGTATTTTGTAAAGCCAATGAACCAAATTAATTAAATTAGAACTAATAGAGAAACTAAAAAAAACAATAGAAATGAAATGAAATGTTTGAAACAATACACTGTGAAGAAACAGAAAAAATAATAATAACAAAACAGAAAGAATTTAGAATCAAACATTATTGTTGTTATATTTGGGGTTCAGTGAAAAGGAAAAATACTGTATTTTCAATAGATGATGGTTACATAGATATAATTTTTTTTTATAGTTAAGGAACGATTCTAATTGATTCTGTTTTTTTTTATATTATAACTCCCTCTTTCATCAGTGGTTGTTGTTTTCTGTTTTGTTTCTTATCATTATTATTATTTCATTTGTTGAAGCGTTCGCTTTCTCTCTCCTCTTCTGACCACCGATGTCTTTCGTTATTCGTATATTTTAACTTTATCATTCGATTCTTGATCCATTTTTTTCTTTTTTTCTCTGGTCTCACATTTTCATCATCATCATCATCATAATCATTGTTGTATGGTACATTAAGTATGAAGCACAGCAATAATAATATCAACAGAATAATATAGTGGCAAGGTTTTTTTTTTTTGGTTCCTATTCTGGATTCTATACGCTCTAATTATTATTGGTCATAGAGTGGTGAGAAGCAAACAAAAACTCTTCAAGCTATAATAATAATAGTTTCCGGGATAATTTTTTCTTCTCTCTCTCTCTCTCATCATCATCATCATGCTTCGATGTTCCAGACATCATGTTTTCATTTTGTTTTTTAATATTCGTTTTGGTCGGTAATGGTGGTGATGTTGGCGGTTTAATAATTTATATATTCTCTTAATGATTATCAGAATTGTTTTTTTCTGATAATCATTTTAATATAAATTATTTTCAACAGCTGATTAAACATTATTTGTATTTCGTTTTGTTTAATTGTTGATGTTAAAAGTTGATTAATATTAGTTATTTCATTGTAATCTTTCTAATTTCTAATGATAATAATAATTTGTAATATTGAAATATGGATTCTCTTTATATTATTATTACATTCAGTTTTTATTATGTTTTTTTTTTTGGTGCTCGATTATCATTATCTGTATTCAGACATGAAAATCCTATCGATCTATTTCTCGCGAATGAGTTCAGTATACACAGACATTGATTTTTAGCAAGAATCTTTTGGTTATTTTCGTTTTAGCATGTTGGATTCTTTATATTCGCACATCGTTTTATCATGTTCAATGATTTTCTCAATTCTTGTTCTATTTTCGATTTTTTTTCATCTTTGTTCGCATATTCTTGATGTCTTCGACTTTAGAATTGTTTTTAGGAAAATGGTTCTGTCTTGTCTATCTATTTTTTTTCTTTCTTTATCCGTTTTATTATTATCTGTATGTGTGTGTCAAAAGAATGCGGTTCAAATTCGTTTCTATTTCTAATCTTTCTGTTTTTTTTCTCTATGCTATTTCATTATACAAGATGATGATGATGATGATAAAAAGTGAAAAGCATAAGAAATGAAAAAAAAATTCGTGCGTAGAATTTTTATTAGGATTTTTCGAATGGTACTTTCAAGCACACACATCTAGATAGATAGAGTAAAACAGACATTTTAATGTTAATATGTTTATACTGTTGTTGGTTGTACATTGAGTCTATCCATTTTTATTTCCTTCATTTTGTTCTGGCATCTTGGATCAATGATTCTAGTCAATGTTGATGATGTTGAATCTTATTATCATTATATATTTTTTTTTGCTCTATATGATAAAATGATTCGTCATTTGATCAATTTTTTGGGAAAATGTTGTTATCATATTTTATTTTTCGAGAAATTATATATATGAGAACGGATGGATGATTCGTTCGATCCAAGAAAAATTATCCATGCTAAACATGTGATGATATTGGATTATTGTCATTTTCACATTTTTAGCCAATTTTTTTTCTCTTCACTCTAATCTAATCAACACTTCACAAATTCAACAACGTTGTTGATGATGATGATAATTTTAAAATCGAAAAAAAAGGAACAAAAAAAATAAATTATATTTTTTTGTTACACAGTATATATAAATAATGGTCCTCAATTTATGGACCAGAAAAAAAGTGTGACACTATGAATTTTTTTTGTTCAACATTTATTGATTTTTTTTCACGTTATCTTTTCATCTTTTTTTCTTCATTCAAATTTGATATGGAGAAAAAAAAATTCGTGCTAGATTTTGACATTTGTAATGAATAAGAAATTCAGCATGAAAACTATTCGCCCTTCTTTTCAAGCGGATCAAGCTAAAAAAGTAAAAGAAATTTTTTTTTCTATGCGTTAAATAAATAAATTAGAACAAACAAACAAACAGAAGAAAAAAAAATTAGCATTTTAATTAAATAACTATTGGGCGTCAAATTTAATGATGTTGTTTGGCGATGATGATGATGATGATCGCGATATCATTTTTCTATTTTAAAATTTATGAATTTCAAGTTGAACTAAATTAACTAATCAAAATTATTTTTCTTCTTTTTTCTCCCTTCACTTGATGTAGGTAGTTGAATAATTATTATATGTCAAATGGAAAAATTTACATTGAATAAAAGTGAGAAAACATGAAGACATCATCAATTCGGTAGCTGATAAAACAAAACTGAAAAATTCTAATTATTTATTTAAAAAAAACACTGATATTTAAGAAAAATTATCTAACCAATTTGTCATGATGGAATCAATGACAAGATTTGGTCGTAGTATTGGTCGACATCCAATGCCTATACCACATTCAGAAGATTCTGAAACTGATGAATATAATGTGATCGATTCGGATCGACAATATGAACGTATTGGTGATCGTGGTTCATCCACTGGTACTACATCATCATCACGATCATCAAATCATAATGGTGCCCTTGTTGATCCATTAATATTATCACAAGGTGCTCATCATATTCATAATGCACATCTATTTAATAATCATAAGTCATCTCAATCAGCTTCATCATCTTCGCATACGAATACGATGGGTAAACAACATATGTCTACAGTCATGACAACAACATCAGCAGCCGCACATCCAACACATTATGCTGAATCGGCAATTTATCGAAGATCTCGTGGTAATGGTGTTTCTGGATCGGTTATTGGATCACCACTTGATTCTGAACCACCTCCATTAATTCCTGAGTCACAATTATTCATATCTGGCACAAATTGTCCAAATCAATCAGTCAATTCACTTTTGGAACAAGGATGGAAATCTCAACATTCGACGTTGGAATTCGGTCATTTAAATCACCATCATCATCATCATCATCCACAACAACATCATTTGAATACACAATCAACGCCAACACAGCAACCATTATCTAACCAAAATACTACCATGCTATCAAATCTAGATTCAACAACAAATACTTCGAATGCAACGACCACTACTTCGGTCAATCAAGTCAACATGGCACCAGTCTATGAATCAGCGTGTTTGATGCGGACAGCTTCAGGTTCGCTATATATTCCAAGTGGTAAGTTGAAGAACAAAACAAAAAATATGTCATATGTATTCGATTTGATTGTAATGTTTTACATCAATATTTAATCATTCATAGATAATAAAGGAGCTTTCAAGCCATCAATACAGTCAATCAATGAATTTACGATTGGAGGAACGTTAAAAAAACCAGATCGGTTAGTCATTTAATTAGAATCAATTAAAATTTTTTATCTTTTTAATTATACCAATTTTAATTGATATTAAATGATCATTTTATTTCAAATGACAATTAAAAAATAGCAGATTGCCAACGGTTGGAGCCAATCATAGTCATTTTAGTCGACCATTAGCAACACATCTATCTGGATCACGTTTTCGTAAAATATTATCAGTGCAATGGAATTGGAAATATACAGCCATTGCATTCATATTAATCTCTATGGCATTATTGATTGCAATTACATATATAATGAGTATGTGATGCTAATTACCAATTTGATTATAATTCTTTTTATTTCAAATTTAAATAATTTTCTGACAAACAAACATTATTATTATTTTTTTAATTTCAGGTTCAGCATTATCGGTGGCCAATATGGCACAAAATACAAATTGTCCTGTGATGGTAGATGACATACTTGAGCTTAATCCAGCTGCTGCACAGCAGCCACAACCATTACAACCATCATCGATAAATTCTGGAATGGGTGGAATACCGATCATCGGAATTGGTAACAATAATAATTTTCATACTAGAAATAATTTTCATGGTGGTGGGCATTCAAGAAATCCTTTTAATAACCCTTATCCTTTTGGAACAACAGCAGAAAGTAAGAATATTACTTGAAAAAAAAGAGCAAAATAAGAAAGAAACCATAAACAAAAGATATTTAATAATGATGATAATAATCATGATGCATGAAAAAGATTGTGTGCATGACGTTGAAATCTTCGGAGCAAACAAGAAAAAAATTGGCATCTTTTTTCTGTCCAATTTTTCCATATCAATATTTCGTTCTACTAAGTGCATGGTTATTATTATCATTTTTTTCATGATGATGATTCAATCTTTTTCATATTCAAAAAATTTTTTTTGACAATCATTTCGATATCTTTGATGGCTTGATCCAGTTTTCTATTTTTTTTTACCCTATAGAAATAAAATTGTATAAACAACTGGTTTGATGATGATATGACACGGATAGGTCACATCATAGCTATCAATGTTAATGTCAATTGATGATAGTTGTATGCATGTATATAGTTGAATGCCATCTTCATCATCATCATCATCATCATTATGATGATTATCGTTATGACATTTTTTTTATCATCATTTAAACTTTATTCAACAAACATGTCGATGATTGTCTATTGATAATGACGCCAACGACATACAAATATACATATATAATGACGATAAACGACGGAATTAGATGCGAAAGAAAAAAAAATCTGGTATTCTTCATTATATGGCCAAAAAAAAAAGATTGAAATCTTTCGAATGGCAATGAATGAATGAATAAAAAGTTTTAATGATGATTATGGTCATCGAAAAGTGAACGATGTGTTCTTTTTCTATCTTGTTTTTGTGTCAAGTTGCCAGAAAAAAAAGAAAAAAAATACTGATACAAAATTTTAAATTTCATTGAAAAATTGCATAGAAATGGAACACACTCATATTCTGACTAGATAATGTTTGGACACGCTAAAAGTTTTTGACCATTAAAGACGTTTAGATTGATTCTGTTAGTCCATCTATTATATGAGTTTTTGTACTAAATTCAACTTGATTTTCGTACATTGTGGTCAGTTAAGTTTAGGAATTGTTTTTTTTGTCTCACCATTATCAATATTATTGTTCAGACAAAATTCCAATGAACAATAATCATGAATATTTGTTTATCTATTGCATTATTGGATCATCATTCAAAATGATAAATCGATGATAATCTTATATTGATGATGATGTTGATAATGTTTTATGTGTGAAGGTGGTTGAATACCTAATATATGAGAATGGAATTGTCTCATATATCGCAAATCATTATAATGATGAACAATTTGTCACTTGACTATTGTATTTTGATGATATTAAATACATTGGAATCTATGATCCTATTCATTTCTTTTTTTTGTTCTGTTTTTTATTTTGTTTTCAGTTTGTTCCATTATCATCATCATCATCATCATGGTGACAATGATGATGATGATTATCATTGATATGTTCTATATATCATTATATAAATAATCATTTACAGAGCTAAGCACGTTCATCGTAATATTGATACAAATATGAATCTCATTCCTTTCTTTTTTTCCCATACACAACAATACACACACGTTTAGAATCCAACTAAGCCAACTAATCTGACCAATTTTTCTTCTTTTTTTTGCCCATTATTTTTATATGGGCCTCAGAATTTTTTTGTAGTCATTATAATTACGATTCATTATAATTCTGTTGTTGGCTACCATCATTGTGATGATGATAATGATTATGATTAGGTGATAGCGGTTTTAACAATGTTTGAATAATTTTTCTCTATGGAATCATCTTTTTTTTCGAAAAAATAATCGAAACTTCCGTAAAAAAACACTCGAACCAAAAAATGATAGAATTTGATGTCGTTGCCGTAAATAGATTTATAAATAATTCCATTGTCTATCTGTATCATTCAAGTCGTTTTTCTTGTCGTTGTATTTCCGTGATCCATTACGTTACATAGCCAAACAAAAAAAAAAGACAACAAATTTTTTTTCTGGTCGACCGGTCGATTCTGGTCATTTGTTCTATTTATGTGTGTGTGTGTGTATTACACTTACATTTCTAATTTACTTGATTCGAGATTCTTTTTTTTTACTTTTTAATTTTGTTGGATCACGTATCTCAATCATATGTGTGTCTATAAAAATAAAAACAACAAATAAAAATCATGAGATCTATGGAATAGATAGAATCGGATATATGAATAGATATAGTTCTATCAGTTGCCTTTATTATCATCATGATCATGATTCTGGACAAGAATTTGTTATTTGCTTGCTTGTTTCGAATTCGAAACGTGTATGTGTTTTTCTTTTTCTTTTTTTGAATTCTAGTTTTTGTAGTTTGCTTTTTTCCATTGAAACATTCCATTTACTTAACAAATAATTAATGATGATGATGAAAAAAAAGAAAACCTAAAATACTTATTTAATGATACTTTTGAATCATACAAAACAGTTGGATACAAACAAACAAAACAAAACAAAAATTCTTTTTTTTTCTGTTTTCGATGATAATAACAATAATATGATATTGGCAATTAGTTTTGAGTTAAATACAAATTAAAATAGATAATTTAGCTATGATTATTTGATCCAAAGAAAAAAAACCGAAAATCCTTATTATCTTTAATTCTTTATTGTTCAATCGATAAACATTGTTGATTCTTGATTTTCATTCTATAAATCGTATCATTTGTTTTTTTTTGCTCTTAATATTTTCTCTTTCTGTCCTCACATTTGTTTTTATCCATTTCACAATGAATGCCTTTTTTTCGATTCCGGATTCGTTTATTCCACTCTGATTAACATCACATACTCCCTTTAACACATATAGATGAATTTGAATTGCATCATTTATCTCACTCCTTGTCCCACATTAATTTTATTTATCTTTTTAATAAATCAATTCAGAGGGAATTTTTATTTCTTCATCTATTTTTATGGTCAATTTTATTTATTTCTTATCTGTTTATTTGTTTTTGTTTATCATTTATACAAAAGAAAATATAGCCAGTCATCATCATGTGCCATCATCAATTTCATCATTCACCAATATCCAACAATTAGGCCGTACTTATTCACAACGTGTGCCTTCATTTGGTTATTGGCATCTACGATATCATCAATCGGAACCAAGTCTGGTCAAATTTAATCTTAGTTTACCATCATCAATTTCACAAACAAATAATGTTGGTAGCAATAGTCCATCAGTATTAGCTATTTATGGTAATCGCGATAAACCAGCCACACATACACGTTATGATTTTGTTGAATTCATTGATCGTGTACTCATGGCAACCAGTGCAACAGCCAGTTTGGTTGTCGGTCGTCAACGTTTGAAACGGGCCAATGAACATCATTCAATGGCTACAATGCACATCATACAGAAAGAGTTTACTAAATATCTTGATAATGGAATCTGGTTTTTAACATTGTACAATGATGCTCCATTACATGTGGACGTTTCGCTCGATTTGTCATTGGCCACTGAAGAATTGTGTCCATTCAATTGTCGAGGTCATGGTGTTTGTATTGCTGGTCATTGTAAATGTGATCCCGGTTATAATGGTGAAAGTTGTGATCTCAGTAAGTATTTTTTTCCTTGTTCATGAACAGAATGAATTTTGTTGATGATGATGAGTATCCGAATAGGCAAAAATTCACTGTTGAGGGATTATGAGCTTCAAATCTATAGTAACTAATGATCATCTTTGCTTTATTTTTTTTCATACAAAAAAAATTCATTACAATAGTGACTTGTCCGGTTTTATGTTCTGGTCGTGGACAATATCTCAATGGTGAATGTGTTTGTAACTCCGGATGGAAAGGAAAAGAATGCCAAATTCGTGAAGATGAATGTGAAGTATCCAACTGTAATGGACATGGTGATTGTATTGATGGTACATGCCATTGCTTTTCTGGATACAAAGGAGATCATTGTGAAAATGGTTTGTATATACGCTTGTTAAATTCTCTTCTTTTTTTCTATTCATTTTTATTTCACATTCCGTTTTTTGGTTAGAAGAATTTCTATTTATAAATTTTTTTTCTGTTTTTTTTTACTATACACACAGTCGATTGTCTTGATCCAAAATGTTCTGGCCATGGACATTGTATGTCGGGTGTATGTATATGTGGAAAAGGTTGGAAAGGTGGTGATTGTTCGGAACCTGATAATGAAGCCACACATTGTTTACCAGATTGCTCCGGGCATGGAAATTTTGATCTACAATTGCAACAATGTATTTGTGATGAACGATGGTCTGGTTCTGATTGTTCACAAGGTACGCATTATTGTTCCAATGAATTTTATTCTTTTTTTTTCGCTAACATTTTGATCATTAACATTCCATATTTTTATCAATAGAACGATGTGATTTAGATTGTGGTACAAATGGTCATTGTGAAGATGGTGAATGTGTTTGTGATGAAGGTTGGAGTGGTGAAAAATGTTTGACACGGCTATGTGATCCAAGATGTTTGGAACATGGACAATGTCAGAATGGAACCTGTATCTGTGCTAAAGGTTGGAATGGTCGACATTGTTCATTAGGTATGTAGTTTTTTTTTCTGTCTTCACATGAAATTCCTTAATTTTAAATATATTTTCCCATAATTAATTCTTATGATTTATTATTATACATCATTAGCTGGATGTGTCAACGATTGCAATGAACATGGTGAATGTGTTCGTCAACATTTAACAACACCAAATGATGAACTACTTTGGGTGTGCGTATGTGAACCCGGTTATGCCGGTTTAGATTGTTCAGTGGCATTGGAATCTCAATGTGGTGATAATATCGACAATGACAAAGGTAAATAGTTTTTTTTTGCATTCTATCCATCTTTGACGGTTATCTATTTATCTCTATCTATCTATCTATCTTAACATAGCTAGCTGTCGTTTTGAATTAAATTGCATTTTCTTTTTCTTACTTTTTCTATTATTAATCAAATGTTTACGATTGCAATAATAATTGAAAATTTTTTCTATTTTTTTCCCTTTCCATTCTATTCTATAATGTACAGATGGCTTGGTTGATTGTGCCGATCCGGAATGTTGTCAGAGTAAGTATTTTTTTTTTATCAACAAATCATACCATCATCAAATATTACACTATTCACAATACTATACACCTAATGTATTTTTTTCTTCTACCAATTCATTCATTCATTCATGCAATCGAACTTTCATTTCCAATGTGAAATGTTTATGTTTGTTTCCTTCTCAATGAATCTTGATTATTAGATATTTTCATTTCATTTCGCCCCAATACAAAAAAAGAAAAAGAAAAATCAAATAAGGATAGAAACTTATGTATTACAGGATGATGAAGATTAATTAATTAACATTTGTTTTCAAAGTGAATTTTCATTCTTTTTTACATCATTTATTCTCGTAAAACTTTAGTCTTATATCATACATAGATCATCATTATCATAGTCATCATCGACCAAAGAGCATTTAATTAATTTGTTTTCCATTCTTTTGATCTTTAGATTTTACCAGACAAACAAAACAAAAAATTCAATATTCATTCAATGTCAATTTCATAGATTTTCTTTTTTCAATGTATTGAACTAATCACTTTCTTTTTATTTCTATTTGTTTGTTTCATCATAATGATGTCCATCTGGATCTAAACAAAAATCATCATTATTCGAATTTGGTTTTTTTTAGGCAAAGAATGCGAAAGTAAACAGCTATGTTTTTCAGCATCAGATCCACAGGACATCCTGCTGCGTAAACAACCACCGGCTATGACAGCTTCGTTTTATCAACGAATGCAATTTTTGATTGAAGAAGAATCGGTACAATCATTTGCACAGAAAATGGCTTTCAATGATAGGTATGTTTGTCATCGGATTTTTTTTTTGGTTCCCATTAAACAAGCCAATCCTTGAATTATTCTTAATCACTGTATACAGTAGTCATCTTTTTTTAAAAAAAATGAGGCTAGTTCCAAGTGAAATTTTTCTTTAGTTCAAACAAAACAAGGAAAAAAAATTACTTAATGTCAGATTAGTAATCAATCTACTTGGACAAGAAAATGTTTGTTTTAAAATGTCAAATTTTTTTTCATGTTTAGATAATCTTTTCATATAGCTGAACAATATTCTAGTAGTAGTAGTAGTTTTTTAGTCGTCCATTAAAACTATTCAAACAATTTAAATTTTGAAATTCTTATCAATCTATCATTAATACTAATTATTTTTCTTCTTTTTTTTTCCTGAAAATATTCTTGTCTAACATTGTCTTTCTTCAATTTTATCGATAAATTGCCTTTTGTCTTATTTGATTTCTGCTGTTTCATCTGTTTTTTTGCGTTTCGAAAATCAAAATCAAATACAATCAATCCATAATTTACTAATCTATTGACCTAACCCTAACTTTCAATGCTTCTTTAAACAACTGCTACATTTAATATATATTTGAAAATCTAATAACATGATTCTATTGCCATCATTATTTTTATCATCGTGGTTATCATCTTGTGTCATTTATAAAATTCATTCATAATCAATCATTACGATCTTGTCTCTTTCTTGCTTATTATTCTTGAAAAAAAAATTTTCCTACATATATTCATAACAATGGTCTTTCTGTGTGTTTTATTTTGTACGCTCAAATATGGTGGCCACGATCGACAAACAAATAAATAAACTAAACTAAACTAAACAAAAAAAATGACAGTTTATTATGGAATCGTATTAATGAGAGGTGAAATTTTCTCATTCATTCATTCTTCTTTTTTTTTCCATTATCCTTTTTTCAAAATTCTTTTTGTTTTATTATTTTCATTCTTGCTCTTTGTTGTTGATGATTACTTTATGATGATCGTCATGATCATCATCTTTATTTTTTTTTCTTTTCTTTTTTTTGTGGATAGTATTTTGATTTATTATTTCATTGTCCCAGAGATATGCTTGCATCTTTTCTTTTGTTCATTTTTTGTTCATTAATTTTTTTTTTGCATTTCATTCCATTTTTGTTTGTTTTTTTTGATCACATTTTTATAATTATAATTTCATTTTTTTAAGTTTTATTAAGGAAATTTTTTGTTTTTTTATCTTGTCTGGTTGAATATCATTAATTTTCATTATTTTTTGTTTTTGTTTTTATTTAATAGCCGTGCATCAGTCATACGAGGACAGATTGTTGATTCGGGTGGATTAGGTATTACCGGTGTACGAGTTGGTGTTTCAACCGATCCATTTCTTGGTTTTACAATGACTCGTGAAAATGGTTGGTTCGATCTTATGGTTAATGGTGGTGGTTCGGTTACACTACATTTTCATCGTGAACCATTTAAATCTGTACAAAAAGTTGTCAATGTACCAATCAATGAAATTATTGTTCTTGATAAAATTTTCTTCAATCTTGAAGGCCAAACACCCGCTGCTGTGACAAATGATGCTGATAATAAAAAATCAGCTATTTGTTCTGATCATGATTATGATAAAATGAAACCGATTGTTGTTGCAACATGGAAACAACCATTTCAAAATAGTCATTCATCCGATCAATCAGCTATATTAGCTGAATCACAAATTGTTCAAGAATCAATTCGCATGCCTGGAACTGGAATTCATTTGGTATATCATTCTTCACGTTCAAATGGCTATCTATCAACTATTGAACTTCAACTTACACCAGATAAAATCGAATCAACATTACGTCTTGTTTATTTAAAAATATCAGTCGAAGGAATTTTGTTTGAAAAAATCTTTGAAGCTGATCCGAATATTTTATATACGTATGCTTGGAATCGTCGTAATGTTTATAGACAAAAAGTATATGGATTGGCCAACGCTGTTATTCAAGTTGGCTATCAATATAACAATTGTGTCAATATTATTTGGGAAATGCAAACAGTTCAATTGGCTGGGCATGATATGCCCATTTCAGAAATTGGCGGTTGGAATATTGATGTACATCATCGTTATAATTTTCATGAAGGCATTTTACAAAAAGGCGATGGCAGCAATGTTTATTTGAAAAAGAATTCTAAACTTTTGACAACCAGTGTTGGAGATGGGCAACAACGTCCACTTCATTGTTCGTATTGTAATGGAATGGCAAAAGATCAACGATTGTTAGCTCCTGTAGCTTTAGCTTCAGCTCCAGATGGAAGTCTTTACATTGGTGATTTCAATTTGATTCGTCGTCTTCGACCGGATGGAACTATTTCGACTGTCGTAGAATTAAGTGAATCATCCGTAGCCTATAAATATCATCTTGCTGTTGGATCTGTTGATGGTAAACTATACTTCAGTGATCCTGAGAAACATCAAGTTTTTCGTGTGATTAACACTGAATCTCCCAACGATCCAAGAAACAATTTGGAAGTATTTGTTGGAAGCGGTGTCAAATGTTTGCCGGGTGATCGAACTGCATGTGGTGATGGTCGTTCAGCACGTGAAGCAAAACTTTCCTATCCAAAAGGAATTGTTCTTGCTCCTACTGGTGAGCTTTACATAGCTGATGGTACAAATATACGAATGGTAGATACGTTTGGAATTATTCATACGATTATTGGCGATCATTATCATAAATCGCATTGGAAGCCAATACCGTGCTCTGGTTCGACACCAATCAACAAATTAATTCTTCGATGGCCAACACAACTTGCAATTTCTCCATTGGATCAAACCTTACATATCCTCGATGATCATATGGTTTTAAAAGTTACCAATGATAAACGTATTGTGATTGTGGCCGGAAGACCATCCCATTGTCCATCATACATTCATCATCGACATCAAACAAATGAATCTGAAGATAAAAAAGAACTTTCTGATTCAAAAGAACCATTAGCAACGTAAGTTTTATCTTAATATTAAATTCAATCGATTTTCATTAATAATTGTAAATATTTATTCAAAAATATAGGCAAGTATTTCTTGAAACTCCTCAAGCAATAACATTTGGACCGAATGGAGATCTTTATATTGCTGAAAGTGATTCTCAAAATACAAATCGTGTTCGTGTTGTATCCGTATCCGATCAAAGAATTTCACGATTCGCTGGTGCCGATATTAATTGTTCATGTATGGATATTTCTTGTAAATGTTTCTCACCAGATGATTTGTTGGCTGTTAATGTTCATCTATCAACAATATCATCTATTACCGTTACACCTGATGGCAAAGTTCATATCAGTGATCAGGAAAATCTTCGTGTGCGAACAGTTTACTCGCCATTACCACAACAGAATCCTTCAACCGGTGAATATGAGATTGTATGGCCAGAAACGCATGAAGTTTATGTATTCAATCGACATGGACAACATATTTCAACCAAATCAGCATTGACTGGCACATTGATTTATTCTTTCACTTATAATGTCAACGCTATTAATGGCAAAATCAGTTCAGTCACCGATGCCGCTGGTAACAAAATTTACATCCTAAGAGATTATAGTAATCAAGTGAAAAGTATCGAAAATTCTCAAGGCGAAAAATGTCGACTTTCGATGAATCGACAAGGATTGTTGGCATCGTTTTCTACTCCAAGTAACTATGTAATCAAATTTAATTATCAAGGAAACTTGGATGCTTTGCTTACATCTCGAACTGATTCATGGGGAAAATCAACCTTGTACAAATATGATGAATACGGACGAGTAATTCAAGTAATATTGCCCACCGGTGATGTTATGCGTTTGAACAATCGTTTGGCGTTTGATGGAACAACAAAATTGTTAGTCTCCTATAATGATATTGATCTTATGCGTTTAGACGTAGGAGACAAGTATATAAGTAAAAATGTATTACAAAGAGATGAAGTTTTTACTTTGGAAAAACTTGGCAATATTAATCCATCAACAAAAGGATCATCACATAAATTGGCTATGAGGAAACGTGATACAAGTCATTTGGAAATTGAATCCATGTCATCACCAGTGATTGCTGATTCATGGTCTAAAATGAGCGAACTATGGCCTTTGCCGTCAATTATGAGGATCATTTATAATTCAGAAAATGTCAAAAGTATTGAATGGAAATATTTTGTCAAAAGAAATTCAATGTCTAGCAAGCTATCCGGTAATACAGGAAACGATCCGATCAAAAAACCATCATTGACGTCTATCGGAAGAAAACTAAAATTGAATGGTAACACCATCCTGTCGATCGAATACGACAAAGATGCCAATCAACAAACTTTGTTTGATCATTCTAATCGTCCACTATTACATATGGATTTTGATAATGGAAATTATAAACCAACCAAATTTATATCAAACTTTAATTTAACACCCGTGGAATTAGAATACGATCAATTCGCTCGTTTGCTTAGCTGGAAACGTGGACAATTATCACTTCAATTGTCATATGATTTGAAAGGTCGCGTGACCGGTATTAAATATGGTGATGGTTCATCGACTAAACTTAAATATGATACGTCTTCAGGTCCAACCGAGATAATTAAGGCAGAAGGTAATAGCCGTTATTTGCTTCAATATGACGCCAATGGTGGTCTGACCGCCATCATGACACCAGCTGGTCATCGCAATGAACTGTATCGGCAAGTTTCGCTTGGTTTTTACAAATTGCTCTTTTTACCATCAGGTTTTCATAATCCATTCATATTTCAATACGATGAATGGGGTCGAACAATAACAAAATTATTGCCAAATAATTCCGGTCGAAAAGTGATGATATACAACACATTGGGATTATTAGAAACAGAGCTTTCTGGTTGTGAAAAAATCAAATATATTTATCATGCTGGAACAAATTTAATCAAAACTATAAACAAAACTACATCAGACAATTTTGATTATAAAGCCGAATATCGTCATCAAGGCTCGTTACTTAAAGAAGAACGAATCAGTTTCAACTCTAGAACGGAACTTTCCAATTACAAACTTCGCTATAAATATGATGGTATGGGTCATATAAACGTAGTTGAGTTTGAATTACAAGGACGAAGTATAGAAACAAAAAAATTAAAGTATTCAATATTGACCGGCATGGAAGAGGGTGTCGATACGTTTATATTCAAACGACATAGTGCTAATGTTGTACAGATTGGTGATGAACGATTGCTCAAAACTATTGCCACTGATTCTTATGGTCGAATGGTTGGAATAACATTCTCAGTTTGGAATAAGGAACTCTTTTCACAAGTTATTCAATATGAACAACGTCGATCTCGTATTGCTCAATCTCGATTAAAATATGGTGCCAACTATATCAATAGTAATTATACTTACACAAGCTCTGGTTTCTTGGAACAAGTTTTAATTAGTGGTTCATCAACTGTATCGAATGTTGTTGCACGTTTGTTATACGGTTATGATATTGATGGTAATCTAAAAACCATACATGAAGGTGATAAAGAACTTAAGATCAGGTTAGTATCTATTTAAATGTTCATATTTATCTTATCGATGATTAATCATGGTTTTCTTTCACAGACGCGATGAAGCCGGTCGAGCTCGAAGTTTTAGCGATAATGGTGAAGATCTATTCATGATCGATGAGCGTGGCTTCACTATCTCTCGAGACTCCACTAACAAATACATGTGGAATGCCAATGGCCAACTAACCGGTGTGATGCTTAACGATGGGTCTCAAAATGATTTGGCCATCACTTATCATTATGATCATAAAAATCGATTAATGAGTAGATTCGTGACTAGTTCGAGTAACACACAAAATCGAACTCAATTCATTTATGATGAAACTCTTCCCTCATCAATCAGTCATTGTGTCATTGATTCAAGGATTATCGGATTCATATACGATACGAATGGTCATCTTATTGCTCTTACCATTGAAGGCACAAAATATTATGTCGCTAGTGATCATCTTGGCTCACCAGTCGCTGTTTATACAGGGGATGGTGTTTTAGTCAAGGAAATTATTCGTGATGTTTGGGGCAAAATTCTCAAAGATTCTAACCCATCATTTTGGCTGCCCATTGATTTTCATGGTTCAATCAGAGATCCATTGACTGGATTAAATCACTTTAAAGATGGACGAGTTTATGATTCATCAATCGCTCAATGGCTTACACCAAGCTGGGATGCATTTGATAAAGATTTAGAGGATATGATTCATCTATATCGATTCCAAAACAATGATCCTGTCAATCCAGCTCATTTCGTTAAAAAAATGGATGGTGCAATTGGTTTATTGCCAATGTCAGATATTAAATCGTGGTTACAAACTTTTGGCTATCGACTTGATTTTATCTTTGATGAACAAATTGAAACTAAAGATTTCAGTTTCACACAAAGTTCACCAGTCATCACATCATTGAATGCTGAAAGGAAAAATTTGATTGCTATCTTCAATCATTTATCAATGATTCCTGAAAGTAAAATCAAGCTACCTTTCGATTCAAATTCGGAAAGTTTTTTCGATATGCATGAAATATCGATTGCTATGATGCCATCACCATTGAGCGCAGCATTGATATCACGAACACCGCGAATAACTACTGTTCATAGTATTGAAATTGATAAAAATCCCATTATTAACTCTGTGTTAACAAATGTATTCAATGGCACTTATTCATTGCCATTCCATTTGGTTCATCATTCGAAGGATGAATTCTTTTTTGTTCAACCATCTCAAAATGATGTACATCAACAAATGCAACGTGATATTGAACAATTGCATAAATTAGGCTCCATGGTCAATGTCAGTAGGGTTCCAGATAGTGATTCATCATTTTCAACTAGTCATTTATTGGTCAATACTGGCAATCTAATGCTCAACATTCGTTATGGTGCTTCATTTGATGAAGAAATAAATCGAGTTGCACGATTGGCAAGACGTAAAGCCGTACAAGAAGCCTGTATTGAACGTTATCCACAATTGGCCGATGATCCAACCAACGTAAAATTCAAAAGAGATTCAACAAATCTTTCAAGTCGAAAACGTCGTAATCATTCAAGACGACAACAACGATCATCATCATCTTTGATTCATTAATAAAATTGAATCAATAAGTTTGTAAATATCGATAGCTTTAATTATTATGAAATAATTTGTTTTCTAATTGGAAAACATTGCACAAACAAAAAAATTCTCATTTTAATTGTGAAATTTTTCAACCTCTTCATTGGTGGAAGAGATAAAAATACCTTTGAAATACTCACTGATATTTTAATTAATGGCCAATTATTGTTGTTAATTTGTAAAAAAATCGTTGTTTTTCCAATTCTAATTATTATATCAATCTTTGTATAATGTGAATATTAATTTTGTAATATTTTTCCATATTATTCATTTAAATTGTCATTTGAAATTTTCATCCTATTGATCATTATTTTTCTTTCAATTTCATCCACTTTTTTTAATTATTTAATTCTTGTTTTTAAATTTTATCAATTGTATATCATCATTGTAATTCATTGATTGCTTTATTATCATGAATTCTGTATTTAAAAAATGATAATTATGTGAATGAATAAAATAAAATAAAATCTTATTTTACAAAAAGTTTTTTTTTGTCAAAAAAAAATTATTTAAATCTTTATCAAAAGATGGCGCATATCGATTCAAGTTATTGTTCCATTTTTTTTTTTGGTCAATAATTTTCATTTTCATATTTTTGTGGGATCTGTTTCGAACACTTCGAAATTCGATGGTCATTTCGGATAAATTTCACTTAATCAATAGCTTGTTACAATCGACCAAAAACAAAAACAATTAAAAATAAAATTCATAATCATTTTGAAGAAAATATTTTCACTTACAACAATGCGGAAACGGGTGGAGACCAGTTTTTTTTAAATGTTTATTTAAAAACAAATAAGTTTTGAAAGCATTTTTTTGAATCAAAGGATTTTTTCATCATTCATTTTTTGTGATACAGTTATCATCATGATTTTCGGGACAAAAAAATGAAATGAAATTTTTCATTTCTTGATGCTGCTCGATGGTTGAAGTTTTCTTCGTATTTTTTTCATCAAAAATGATAAATAATAAATGTATGACATGAACAACAACAACAACAACGGATAAATCGGACACTTTCATTTCACTATCTGTGATAATTATTAGGTTAGATTAGATATGGCACGCAAATGCGATTCAAAAAATATAAGGTGTACGTAGGGTTTTTTGTATTTAAAAAATAAACCTTATTCAGGTAAAGGTAATCTTGTGTTGTGTTGTTTATTGTTTGTATAAAGCAAAAAAATGGAACAACGGCCTATGAGAGAGAAACAAAAATTGAACAAAGTTATGACAGAATTATGGGCGAGTCATTTTTTTTTGGGAAAGTGAAGACGAAAAATGAAGAATCAAGAATTGCAAGTTTGATCGGAAAGAACCACATGCAGTTTTTTTTATATAGTGAAAGTATATGGAAAAAAATAATAATAATAAAAAATTATTTTCACTTCAAACTATATTATTGTCCGGGTATGTAAACATATTATATTAGTCTACTAATATGTAATATTGTTTGATGATAAACTAAATAATTTCATTTTCAATATGACACAAAATTTTGGTCATAGCCGGATGCTGTGTGTGTTTGAATAAATAAATTCTGCTGGGTCGCCTTATAGTCAATAATCATAAAAAATTGTTATTTTCGGGTAAAATTGATTAAATTTTTCATGATTGTGTACATTTGGTTTGTGGCTGTTTTTCATTCAATATGAATAAATTCTGTTTATTACTATCATCATATTGCATAAACATTTTAAGGTGTCAACAATAATATAAAACAAAACAACAACAAAAAACGACATTCCAATTTTTTATCGCTTGTTTAATCAAACGAATGGCTCCCATGAAGCCTAATAATAATGGTATTTGATGTCGATCATTGTTGCCATTGTAACTTGTAATTTTGTCCATGAAATATTAACTGTGATCTAGGATAATCAATGAACAAACTTTATTCTATTAGAAAAGCCATGATAAATATTTGAAACAACTGATTATTTGAAAATTTACTAAAAATGATACAATGCATCTGAAATCAAACATTTTTAATCGTTTTACCCATAATCATTGTCATCATCATCGTGGTCGTCATCATCATAATCATTGTTATTGTTGTGATATTGAATCAATTTTTTTGAAAGGTCGTCGAATTTTAATTAAAATGTGCAAACAATCAAACTTGATGATGATCAAGCAGATATTAATACTTGCATTAACATTTCATCTCTTATTTGCCAAACAATTGATTGCTGAAGCAGAAAATGATGATACATCCAAACAAGTAAATAACATTTGAATTTGAAATTCAAATTTCATTCTTAATGAATTATGATAAATTCATATTTTAGAGTTCTACGACATCACCACCTCCACCGGTGATAATTTGTCAATCACCAATCGATTTGACTGTTGATAGTTCTTGGCTGGAACAAACGGTTTTTGGAGATTTTCGAATATGGCATATTATGTTTTCGTGTTTGGGTATTTTAATTGTAATAGCTGTTCTTCTTTGTTGCATGTTTCGATGTCGAATACCAAGAACGAAACAAGAAATTGAAGCGGATTATACACGAAGAAAAATCACTAAATTAATCAATACTCATCTAAATAAAATCAAGTTAGAGGAGTTGGAATTTGACCCATCAAATTTATTACCAGGTATGTCTTTACATTTTAAACGGAAATGATATTCATATTATATTGTTTTCAGTATTGAAACGAGTTGAAGATTTAGAGGAGAATCGTGTGAAAAAACATCGATCATTCGAAATGAGACATATGAATTGGCGTCAACGTCTCAAACGATTATTTAGTCGTAAAGAATTATCATTCGAAGAGGATGCAGATGATCAAAAAGATGAAATTCAGGGTGTCAAAATGTCAAAAGAAGAAATGGAAAAAGTTGAAAAAGAAGTAGAAAGTGCCAAAATTGATTTAACAGCTTTCAATATTATCACTGATCAAATTGCCATACTTAGCAATGGTTTTGAATCAGAAAAGGAAAGAAAGAAACGAATCAAAAAAGAACAAAAAGAGCAGAAAAAGCTAGAAAAGGAGGTATTTATATCTTGTTTGAAATTTGAAATTTAATTAATAACCTGTTATTTGTTTTTTGATTTCGAAGCAAAAGAAAAATGAAAAGAAAGAAAAGAAAAATTTATTGAAAGAATCCAAAGGTCAGCTTTCTGCCAAACCAATAGAAAAAGATGGTGGTAAATTATTGGAACTTCAAGCAGCCCAATTGGAAAAAGATGTTTTGTCCAGCAAGACTGAAGGATCTACACCTGATGACATTGTTTTGGAGATTGACACCGCCAAACCTGAATCATCGCCCAAAGCTGATAGTAAAAGTTTAAAACTTAAAGAAATTGTCCAGTCAAAAATCCTGACAGAAACAGCGGCCAAAAAATCTACAAAATTTTCTTTCCGTAATACGGTTATGGGACTAATGTCTGGATTTCTTATGGGTGGTAGTGGATCCAAACAACAATCAGAACCTGAATTGAAAACTGTGGAAAGTAGTAAAAGTTCATTACATGAAGAGATTGTCATTAATATTGGCTTAGTTGGTCGACAAACTAAAGATGACGAAGAAATAACAATAAAAGAATATGATATACCCGAAATTAAAGTCTTAAGAGAAAGTGATGAAGCCATTGAAGATGTTGATGATGAAACGAATATCGATAAAAGTCACAAAGAAAAAACAAAAGACAAAACTAAATCAAGTAAAAGTAAACACAAAATTTCGCGAATGGATGCAATTGCTGAACGGAATCGTTTACAGATACCGGAAGTTATTATCAGTGATATAAATGTTGCACGAGATTCAAAAATTAAAAAAGAATCTAAAGAGAAGAAAAGTAAAGAGAAAAAGAAAAAAATAACTAAACTCGAATCAAAATCTTCAATTAAAGAAGCAAAAAAACATGATGAAACAAAAAAAGAGTCAAAAGTGAGCAAGAAAAAAGAAAAAGTTTTACAAAAATCTAAATCATCCATCAAAGAAAAAAGTGAAAAATTGGAAAAAATTGAAAAGAAAAAATTGAAAAAAGAATCGGATACTAAAATAAAAGATAAATATGAAAAACCGAAAAAATCCAAAGATTTAGATCACAAACATACCAAACACCGTGACAAGGAATCAAAATCACGAATCAAAGATCAATCTCCACCACCATATCAATCACATTCGAAAAAGGTGATCGTTGTTGATGAAACAAAAGATAAAAAATCATCTAAATCTAAACTATCAAAATCCAAATTATTGGAATCGATCGATGAAACAGAAATTGTTCCTACTAAAACGAGTAGTTCATCATTTAAATTGTTGAAAAAAGTTATGGAAAAAGATAAATCTCCTCGTAAAGAAAAAATTGTCGAACGCAAAAAACAAATGAAAATCCATTCATCACATGGCGATGCTCGTGATGTTGATGATGATAAAAGATTAATTCATAAACAATCAACTATTAGTTCATCTGAAATTGAAATACCAGTTGAACATGTTTACACTGATCCTACCACCTTTTCACAACCCATTCAAATCCATCATCATCATCATCAATATCACGATCAATCGATAGTACCATCTACATCAATGTTCACAACACAATTACCTGTTGAACATGTTGAAACAGTTGAAAAATTTGCCGCATCTTCACCCACTGGTGATCAACATCGAAAATTAATTATTGAAAAAACTCGTAATGTAATGTTCGATGTAGGTGGTGGACATTATAGGATACAATCTCCACAACATTCTTATTCATCATCAGTCGTTTTACAGCCTGATGAATCGAAAAAAAAGAAAAAAGTTAAATTATCCGAAACTGTTGCTATTGCCGAGCCAAAAGATTTAAAAAAGGATAAAAAGAAAGATGGAAAAAGTTCACGACGTGGCTAAGATTTATTCAATTGAATCATAGCAGAATTTCTTTTGAATATAAATCAATATATTCCTATTTTTCTTTCTTTTTACTTTTTGATTATGAGCTTATAACATCAATCAATTATCAGAAAAAATGTACTAGGAAGCAATTATCTCAACAGCAAATGACAATTAAATCTTTTCCTACATTTCCTGCTACATATTAAATGTTATGTGATAAAATTGGTCAAATTCTTTTTGTATATAAACAATGGTTAAAAAAAATTTTCAAATTGGATCTAACTGGTTCAATTTGGTTTTGAATGCAAACAATAATTTGGGCATATTTTTTTTTTTGGAATAACATCCACACGCACAAACACTCATGCACAAACAAACATATGTTGTTGTTGAACATTTAAATGCATTATGCGAAGAATTATCTTCAAAACAAAGAAAATCCCACCAAAAAAAACAAATCAAATATTGCATGTGTACTGTATACAATCTTATAGTTCGGATCATATAAAAAAAACAATAAGAAAAATGAATAAAAAATCTGTTTTGGAACAAAATCGAATGTCTCTTTATATTTGTTTCTAGCCGACCAAAAAAAAAACGGTATTTAAATCTTTTACATTTGGAGAATTATTTGAACATTCAAAATATAAACACAGCATATTTCATGTTTAGATATTGATGATTTTTTTTAAAATTGAAAATCGAACAGAGAATTGTTTTTTCATGTTTCGAGTGCATATGTAATTTTTTTTGTTGTTGATCCAAATAGGGATTTCTATCATCTTATCTTATTCATACAATTAAGGTTAGTTGTCATGATTGCTTAATTTTTTTTTAAATTTTTTTTATGATATTTGCTTTTCACAACTAAATTTATTGTCAGAAGAATTTTCTTGTGTTTTGGGCAGTTTTTTTTAAATCAAATATTTTTTATTTGGAAAAAATTATATTATTCAAAAACAATTTAGATCATGTACAAAAGTGTGTAAAACTTTTTTGTTGTTTCGTTCAAGCAACCATAATTTAGGCTAAAATTGACAAATATAATGAGATAATGACAAATATATTTTCATCCTCAATTTTCAGAATAGGTTCATTTTTTCTATGTTAAACATTTCGAATGTTTTGGAACAATTTTTGATCATTTTGACTTTTTTTTTTGCTACACATCTTTAGAACTCAGCATCATGTCCGATATTTCGAAGGCAAACATTGCTACAATTCATCAACATCATCATTTTTCAAATACAAATCATCATGTTCATTTCCTTACGGTCGAAGATGTAACAAAATTGAAAAAACCACCTATTTTTGGTTCAGCATTTGGAATCGTTTGTTCAATGATTTCTGTTCTTTGTTTTTCATTCAATTCGGTAATAGTCAAATTATTGAATTCATCATATCAAATTCCGGGCATACAGGTTCTTGTCTCAAGGTACGATAAAATTTTTGATTTGTTTTTGGATAATTTGAAATTTTATAACAACATCCTTTATACAGATCGATTATACAGATTATTTTGTGTTCCATTATTATGTTATATCGACGTTCATCATTAGTGCATACGGATATGAAAACAAATCTTTATATATTTGGCAGAGCAATCACAGGAACTATGTCATTATGTTGTCTATTTACCGCATTCAATAAAGTTCCCATTGGAGATGCAACTACAATATATTTTTCATCACCAGTTTTTGTTGCTATTTTTGCCTACATATTTCTTCGTGAACCATTTCGTTGGTTACAATCGATCACTATAATAATTACCATTATTGGTGTAGGATTTATAACAAAACCAGCGTTTATTTTTGGGACACAACAACAACAATTAGATCAACATTATTCACAGGAAATTTTTGGACAAATTCTATCCATCATTGCCGCTATTACATCATCAATGACAATGATTTTTATTCGAAAATTAAAATCCATATCAGCCATTGTGATAGTGTTCTGGTTTGCTATTGCGGTCACATTAAATGGTTCAATAATCCTAATTCATTTACGTCTATATCGATCATTAAATTGGTATGATCCATGGTGTATCGTACCATTGATAGTGATTGGTTTGATGAGCATGATTGAACAGTATTTTTTTACATTAGCATTACAATATGAAGATGCTAGCACAATTTCGGTAACTCGTTCATTTAACATTGTATTGGCCTTTCTTTGGGAGGTGATTATTTTTCACGAAACAATTACATGGACATCAATAGTAGGCGCAATACTTGTATCCTGTTGTATTATTGCCGTTGCTTTGGCCAAAAGTTATCAACAAACCAAATTGAATTTAAATCAACTATTTCAAAAATATTTTAAAAACAACTCTTAAAAATTTGTCATCAAAATGATGGAAAATTACTATTTATTATTATTATTATTATTTGGAAAACAAAAATATCATTTTTATGGAAGAATTAACGGATGTATCGATTGATAAATTTTTTCCAATCATCAACCAATTAAATGTTTTTTTTTTGCATTGAGTTTTTCTCGAAATTAATTTTTTTTTCATAAAAAACAATGAAAAAAACCCTTCTGTTTGTGTTTTACATTACTGATTTATACATTTATATCATCATGTTCACAGGAAATATGTATTTATTTTCAAAGTTCAATTTAAAAGCCGATTTTTTTTTTGCTGATAAGATAAAAAGTACCGAAATGTTTAGGATGTGAAAAAAAATTGAGGGAAATGTGTGGAAATTTTTTTTTGGCAAATCAATTTTTGAAGGAAAAAATAATTTCATAATACCCTTCACCTTAATAATTTTGATAATTATCATACAAACAAATTGAAAATCTCCGGGTTTTTTTTCTTGTCAATGAGTATTGATTTGATTTTATTTTGATCATCAAATCATTCAATGAAAGAATTCAAGTTGATATAAATTTATAAACAATCTTAGAATTGAAATTCAATATAGTGATATAAACGATGTCAATACTAATACGAAGGTTGATAAAAATCGATCAAAGTCGAAATAGAAAATGTCATAGATTTTGTTATAAAATGATAACGAATTGTAATTGTATAAACACAAATCAAATCTTATCAATATTTTTATTTGTTCGCTAACATGATTTCTTTTCGTTTTTGGCATTCGATAACGTTTTTGTTTTCAATCAAGAAAAAAATCGTCATCATTAATCACCATAAATTATTTGAGCGATTGTGGTGCTTTCGGATACAACTACAATTATAGAATAACTGTATTATTATTATTTGTTATTAGTAAAATGGCCACTATGCTACAATTAGGAAACAATTCAATATTGTTCTTAATCATTGTATTTTCCATTTGTTTATCAATTATTAATGCCCAAGATGCTACTACTGTTGCAGCTGTTGAAGAAAGTGAAACTATTTGGTCATCATGTCAAGAATTTACTAATTCGGCAGCAAAAGATGTTAAAGTTTTTGTAAATCAATGTCCACCTGTAAATGGTAGCGAAACCCGTTGTAAGCTAACTAAAGGAATTGATGCTGTGCTTAAAATTCAATTTAGTATGTTTTTTTTAATGACCAAAATAAACTTAATCATAAATAAAATATTTTTTTCTTAGAAACAATCGCTAAAGTACCATCGATTGAACGTATCATTGTTGCTCGTGTTCCAGTAGCAGGACGAATGGTTGAAATGCCATATGGACCATCGATTAGTCCTTGCGAAAATTCATCGACAATCGCTGATGATGGTAGTGAATGTGTTGATAATGGTGTTGTTGCTGATAAAAATTATACATTCACATCGTTATTCAAAGTGTTGAAAAGTTTTCCAACGGTATGATTTTTAACAAAAATTTCTATTTTTATTTTAATTAACGTAAACAACCAAATCACGTGAAAAAAAACAGGTTGAAAATATCTCTGTTCGAATTATTGTACGACAAAAATTGGATGATCATAAAAAACTTCGTTTGTATAGAAAACATCCTGGACCAATGTTGTTTTGTATTTTAATTCCAAATGTGGAAGTTATTGAAACAACCGATTAATTTTTTTCAAAAATATAAATATTGAATTATTTAAATGTTTCATCGATGAAATTTGTTGTTTTCATTATTATTTTTAAAATCGATAGCAAAAAATAAACGACAACAACAACAACAACTCATGATAATTTTGATTCTAATAATAATAATAACAAATTGCCCATTATTTATTTATTTATTTATTTGTTGATTTGTTCGCGTAATTTGAGCGGAATAAATTTCAAGGATACATAAAGAAAAAAAAATGAGAAAGAAGAAAATGATTTTTTTTTGAATGTCATTTGATTATTATTAATACTAATTATTCAAGGAAATTGTACCAAAAAATAATTATCATCTTTATTTAGCAACCATTTCATAGAACCTCTTTACATTCTAAATAATTTTAAAAGAATTTAATTGAATTTCTCCCAATAATTGTTTCAAGGTTTCCAATCTGTTTTTAATATTATTATTAATTTCATCGATTCGATTTCATCTACAAAATGAAAATCTTTTTTTTCAATCCAATCAATGAATTCCGATTGAAGGTAGGGTATAATGATAATCCATTTCATTTTTTTTTTTTTTTTGAAGGAGAAAAAAAAACATGAATTTTTCAATCTTATTATCCTTATCCCTTTCTGTTTTTTGATTTCCTTTGAATTTCATTAGTTTTTCCAGTCATTCCTTTAATCGATTGAATTGAATTGAATTGAATAAGAAAAAACCAAACCTGCCAATCATTATCATATTAAACGATCATGATGTTATTAGCAATGGTTTCTGTGTGTTTTTTTTCAAATTTAATTTCTGATGACGTACATTTTTTTCTTTTTTTTTTGTCTGATATATAAGTCCATAAGTTAATGCATACGTCAGTACATGTTATGTAAAATTGCTGACCATTTTCTATATGTTTTTTCTTCTTCTTTTTTTTTACTTTTTTCATTAAAGAATGTTAAAAACAAACTTGTTACACAATAAGGGGGTGTGGAAAAACCATTATATGAATCAAGCTGAATATTATTTTCATCATTATTTTGATAATTATATGACAAAATTAGTATTTTTTTTTTTAGTTTTCTTTTCTACCCACAAAAAATACTGATGGGCAATGGATTGCCCATTTTTGCCACTACTAGAATGACGATCATCATCATCATCCTCTTCATCAATGATTTGTCATAATGCAATCTTGTATATAAACGCATGTCGAACAAACGAAAGCGCCAATTTCATGATTTTCGAAACGACGAAATTAACGAAGAAATAAACTGACTAACCAAAAACACACACCACGAACACATAAAATTAATTTATTATTTGTTTAATTTATATTTTTGTGTTTATTTTTATTATTTTTTTTTCAAAAATAAGTGACCAATAAAACAATAATCACACCGGAATTTAAAATCCATCAAAAGTGAAAACAAATCTAATGGATCAAACATTGTTTTTGATTCTGATCGATGAATCATTAAGTATGCGTATGAAACGACAGGAAGTTGTTGATGGTATTAATCGTTATATTGAAGTACAACGAGAAATCAACCCAAATAGTAATGATCGATTAATAATGATTAAATTTAATAATAATATCACAGTAATGTATAAAGGTATTAAAGAATAGTAAATATGTAAAAACACACAAAATACAACTTTTCAGTTTGAAGTCAAAAACCAGACTGATTCATTTTTATTCATTTCTTTTTAAAGTATTTTAAATAAATTCTTTTCATAAATAACGTGATATTTGTTGAAAGATGACTCTGAGTTCAATCGTTAGGGTGCGCTACAATCACCCTTTTACTGTAAATATAAATTTGAATATCACATTAATAAAACATGATCAGTTGTTTTGATCGAATAACAATATTTTTCATCCATTTACAAATATTGATTTTATTTTTTTAAATCATAAAAATTATTATCATTGTTTTCTTTTTTTTTTGTTGATCAATAGGCATCAATATCAATATGGTAGAACCATTACGATTGTATGATTATAATCCATCTGGACGTACAGGATTATTTGATGCAGTTAAATGTGCATTAGAATTAGCCGATGAAATTCGTAATGATCATGAAAGAGTTGTTTGTATAATGGTCACAGATGGTCAAGATAATGCTTCTCAACAGAATCAATCGTGCAAGGCGATACAAAAAATGGTAAAAAAATATGAAATGAAAAATGATTGGTCATTCACTTATATGGAAAAACCGAGCGAATATTGGAGCCGAAAAAATCCAGTTTCGAAAATTAGTTATAAAGCTAAACGACCTTGTTATTCAACAATGACCAATACATCGGCTGTCGCTCAACGACGATTACGTTCATCACAATTACAATCAGTAGTATCAAGTTGAAATCATTTTTTGAAAGCATGGTTTTTGATATGACTGTGATAATTGTTTTTATTTTTGTTTAATAATTTCTAATCCAAAGTATTTGTTGTATTTATTAATAACGAATAAAAAAACATTAAATCAAATAAATAATAATTTTAAAAAAGTTTCATCGAAATATCACACATTAAGATTTCAAATTATTGTCATGATAATTAGTAGTTTGTAGAATAGATAGGAAAATTTTCGTGAATAATCGAAAGAAAAACAAATCACACGTACATAAAACGATGCTTTAAAAAAGGAATTTTTTCAAAAAGGCACAAACAATAAAAAATTTCCATTTTCATGATGATATTTTGTGACAAAATAGTGGACAATAATGAAAATTCATTTGACACAATTAGTTAATATAAATAGGCAGAGACTAGAAATCGATGTCGAAAACAAATCATTTTTTTACGTCTTATGAGGCATTTCTTTCATATCAATCTAATCTATATATGTTCAAGAAAAAATTAATAATTTTATTAAATAATAATTAAAATAAATAAACACATACCTCATTTACAATCACCCAATTAATCGAATCTTCATCAATACGAACACGTAGCTCAACAATTGGATTCAATTTCTTCGGTATTTGAATATCGATTGAACCTTTGGCAGGATCGAATGATGCCAGATTAATGAAACCATCTTTATCTATGTTCTTGAATGTATTATTATGAACATGTGGTTTGATTTGTAATGTAGCATTGTATAAAATGTCTAATGGATGTTCAATATTTCCGGAATTTATTAGACAGCTTTCTAATTCGATTGGTGGCTGATATTTGAATCCAAATACATCACCTTTTTTCGGTGATACACCCCAGAAGAATGTTTTTCCTTCATAGGCACTTGCGAGTTTATATTGCTGATATGGTTTGATTGTACAATAGTATTCGGAAACAGGTGGATTATCCAGATGTGGCTCGAATAATTTAACTTTTCCAAATCCTTTATCGCGTAATCTCTGGATCTTTCCTTTTAAACTTGAATGAGTACCAATATGTTGAAACAATGACGGTTTATGCGTGATCCATATGGATTCCTTTCGACGTTTACAATCTTTCATGTCTTTGTCGAAACGACAAACCTTTGTCTGAGCATAATTGTCCAAAAGCCAATCTACCGGTTTATCATTGTGAAACATGGTGAAAAATAGAACGAAATGTGACAAATCGATTGTACGAAACAGTTTGCCTATACATGATGAAAAATTTTAGTTTTTTTCTTATCTGAAACATTCCGTATTTTTGCGACTATATTCACTGATCTAATATGAACAGGTTATAGTTGCAAAAATACGATTATAGTAAAAATTGAAAACAAACCAATAAAACCAAGTGAACAAAAATCTAATAAAAGCCAATTTCGTTTTTTAAGGGCATTATTTGCTATAAATTTTTCCATCTTAGCCAAATATGATGGTTTTGAAATAATATCATCTTCAAGCTGAACATAATAGGTTCCTTTTGATCGACAATACATCATCAAGTAGGCGAAATCTGTCAAAAAATCTAGATAAAATTATCGATCATTATTTGTCAACAAAACTGTTTACCAAGATTTTGTTTGGTTCGCCAATGGACTCGTTCAATTGGGTCACCAAGTGTTTTTTTGAGGTTGGAAAAATCTGGATAATAATCGCTAGGAGGGGAAATTATCTCGATTAAACCCGAATCGATTTGTTTCTCAAAATTACGAATAATATCACTAGCAGTTTTCTGAAAAAATTCTGGATCGTTCTATAAATGGAAAAAAATATATTAGATTTGAATTAAATGAAAAGTTCATACTTCAGCAATGAATACAACAAACAATGATTGTTTTTGTTCTATTGATGATAAATTTTTGATCAAATTTCTTAACGTTGCAATCAGATAAGATTCAACCAAACGTTTGACCGTTGGTAATCCAAATACAAAACGAATACGAGACGATTGTTTTTGTTTGGTAGCGACACGAAATGCCGGATTTAATGATGTTATTGATGAGAGATGAGGCATAAGACTAAAAAGAGTTGGGATTTGAACTATTTCTTCTTGCATTGATAATGAAGAGTTTTGCTCAGCTATGGAAAACGTAATCAAAATTAAATCATTTTTAAATTTTTCAATATAACTTACTGAAAAGTAATTCGGCCATCGATTTTCTCATAGCAAATGAAGTATAATTAGCTTCGGCTTCTTTAGATGAATTATGATTAGTATTATTCTGTATGACAGTCCATAGATCACGAATTTCTTGTAATAATTGAAAAATTTCCTGCTTTCTTTCACCGGCAATCATTTCAGCATATTTTACTCGATTATTTAGATCAGCAAAACGATATGCTAATTGTCGATCTAATGAATCGCCAGCTATCATTTTTGCATATGTTAGATTTAAATTATTAATTGCATGTGTTATAATTGAATCACGTTCATTAGATGAATCTTGTTGTCCATAATATTTATTCAATTGTAATTTTTCTTGATTTAAAATATACGTTGACGTATTTGAAGTATTGTGAAAATTTCCCAAAAGACTTAAAAGAAAGGGAAATATAAAGGTAAACAGGAACAGACATAATAATATCTGTAGGATACGATTCTTGCGAATCATGACTTTGATGTTGAAAGACGATGATATTTACACTTTGATGAATATATAAATTTAAAAAAAATGGACAAACAAAAAAAAAGATGTGCGCTTGAATCTGTATGTTTTTTTTGCTATTTCAGTTTCATTTTTAATAATTATTATTTTTCATCAATAATCGTTCATCTTGAATTGTGTGTTCAAGCCAGAATCCATTTCTCGAAATTCTATACAAAAGAATAAGATGAAAACAAAAAGAAACCAAAGAAAAATTATTGAAAACGGATTTAGAATGATGGAAAAAAAATCAAAATAATAAACGATGACTTGGCACAATTTATTTAATGTCATAAGCCAAATCATTTTAGCAAAAACATTTTACTTTATGACATTAAAACGGATATCATTGAGCTTAGTGATACAATGTTTAAATTTTCCCTCTACTTTTATTAGATTTATCACCGGGTCATGTTGGTAATGTTGTCTGTTTTTCTTATAGGGGTTTCACACTACAGCAATATTGCTGTGAAATATTTCATTGAAATATTTCAGTCCATAAGGCTGAAATGTAGTGAAATATTGCATTTGAAATATTTCATTCACATTGCTGCTAGTGTGAAACCCCTATTAATGAAATAAGCACAAAACAAACAAATCAAATATTGAAAAAAAAACGATCTTCGAACCAAACAGAATTGAATCCCAAATATTGATAGTTACCAATAGTAATAATCAGAAACAAAGAGAAAAAAGAGCAATCATTATTATTATGCGATTGTTATTACCAATAACCAACTAACAAGAAAAAAAAAACATTCTTTTTTTCCCTTAACACTCCCCTCCTTAATCTTTGAGCTATTCAAATAAAAAAAAAATCAAATTCAATTTAATAAATAGATCCTAATCAAATCAAAATGATAAATCAATCAAGCATGACTGATGAATTATTATATTTAAAAGTAATTTAAACACTAGGCAAACAAAAAAGAGATCATTACTTACTGTAAAGTTTTAGTTGTTGTTGTTGTTTAGAATTTTAAATTCTCATCATTATCATTTGTAATTGACGATAACGATAAAGTTGATGATAGTGATTTTATTCATACATCATGTTACATCACACATAATTGATGGGAATTTTTTGAAATAAGAACAAAAAAAAAATTTCATAAAGAAATTACACAATATGATGAATGCTTGTGCGCCTGAATGGTTATTCCTTGATGAAGGAAAGAGGGATAAAATAATTGTTCGGTATATATATGGAAATTGAATTAGATCGGCAAATAAAAAAAAATAATAATTTAATAGATAGGTATTGATTTTGGTACAAATAAACACACGCATACACACACATTAAACAAAATGAATAATGAATGTTAAATTTATATAATAATAAAATCAACTAAATTTTGGTCATATCAATAATGTTTTTGATGAGATAGATAAAGAGAAAGAGAAAGAATTGAGGTTAATAGGAATTATAATTTGACAATTTGTTTACATACATACATGAAAATGCAAATGCAAATCAGTCAAACAAACGAACCAACAAACAAACAAACCAGAAAGCAAATCATGTATCATAAAAATAATGATAACAACAGTTTTAGTTATTTGTTTGGTTATCCATTTGTAATATATTTTGTTATATCAACTCATTCATATCAAATTTAGAAAAAAAACCGTTATTTAATTTAGTTTTTTTTTAATTTCATAAATGATACAAATTAAATTTTCGATCACAAAAATTTCGAAAAATAAAATAAAATTCGAATTTTTGAAAAAACAATTGTGCGGAAATAATTTTGTTTTTTTCGAAACAACGAGCAAAAACAACAGTTAATCACAGCTAATTAAATTCACATTCTAAAGCATCTTTTTTCGATATATCATAGAATCAAATACTTACAGTAAATGTAAACAAATATACTAAATTATCGTCGTCATTGTTGTTTGCTTCGAACGTATCGCTACATCATACATTCGTATTGAAATGTAAGGAAAAAAACATCATTGCTTATAAGTTGTAAATTGCATCAAAACAAACAACATCCTTCATTCGATTTGAGAAATGTAGAAATTTTTGAGCAATCATCATTCGAATTATAAAAAGGGAAAGAAGCCATGCTTGCATATAGAGATATGAATAGGGATCCATACAATCGATATACGATGACAAAACAGACGCAACAATGTACTCATTCATAACGAAAAAAAAGAGAAAACGAGCAAATGAGAATAGAAGTGAAAGTGATGGAGCGAAAAATTAAACAACATATATTTTTATTATTTAACAACAAAAAAAAACATGGATATATTTTCGAATGTATAGTGGACGAACATAAAATTCTTTTTCTGTCATTTAAAACAGTCATTACATATGAAGATAACGAAAAAATACATCGAAATATCTCAATGCATGCGCCAAAAAACCAACTATATATTCGGATTTGGCTATATCCAAAATGATAATATACAAGTATATAGTCTAAATATTTAGGCCAATTGAATTAGATAATTAAGATTTTCAAACTTTTTTTTCAAAAAATTTAGTAAAACAAAAAAAAATCCATTTAAATTTTGATTTTTCAACAGTTGTTTTGTTTCGAATCAAACAAGTTTGATTTCGCGTAACGATCCTGGAATACAAAAAAATTTGGATTCACACAAAATTATGTTCGAAAAATACTTTCGATGTATGAATTTGTCACTTTTTGGTACGAATTGATGATCGAATACTCGAAACTCCTCCCACTACCATTCTTTCGCTGTATACAATTCTATTCCTCAAAATTATTTTCCATTTTGTTGCTTATGTAAAAAAAAAGCGACTCTTTGTTTTCATGCCATATTTTTTAAAATAAATTCTAAAAAAAACAATAATAATATAATTCATGATTGTTAATATTTTCATTATTTTGAAATTTTGGTAAGCAAAAATTGAATGTGATTGTATTCAAGATTCTTTATTTGTTTCATATTTTAACAGGTTTTAATTACAAATTCAACAACGATAACACCGATTCATTGGAGTCAATCATTCTGATTTTATTCTTAATAAGAATGTTCTCCAGATTATAATTTCTTATATATCTTCCAAACAACGTTTGTTCTTTTTTTGGCTTTCGATAGTTTTGTTGAAAAAACATGTCTTCATCGTTAACATTTCAGCAATCAATTCTTCGAACTATTGTTTCGAAGATTTGTCATGATGTCGGATGGCATTCTGCTCATACATCCACATTAAATGTTCTATCTGATCTACTTGATCATTATATGCGACGTTTATCAATGTTGGCAGTTGATGCAGCAAATCTTGCAGGACGCAATGAACCGACCATCGAAGATATGTTCATGGCATTCAAATATATAGCTATTGATATGAACCAATTAAAAGATTATGTTTTAAATGTTGAATCATCACCGCTAGAATTTGGCCTTCCTGTTTATCCCATACCAAATCGACCAAGCCGTTTATTTGATCATTGTGATCCTGATGAAGAGCGGCCAGAATATTATGACGAATGGTTACCTTCGTTGAATTGTACCAAATATATCAAGTCTGATTCAAATGAACATGATAAATCCATGATTTCAGCTGACGAAAACCCAGTTGTTTCAAATTCCGAAAAAAATGCTCAACAACAACATGAAGATAAACCTGCCGAAACATCGAATAAAATAATTTCGGACAACGATAATGCACAGAAAACAGATAAAAATGATGATGAAATCGAAACAGAAACAGTTGATGATGATCAAAAGACTAAATTAGTTTTCAAATTTAGTTTGGGAAAAAGTTTGGACGAAAATCAATCTAACGCCAATCAAGAAGGAAATGTACAAAATGGAAACGATAATATGAACAAATTAGCTTTGTATCAATCAGCTTCAGCGAATGATTTAGTTAATCATTTAATGTCATCAAAAGCTTACATGCGTTTATTATCAAATACCAGTTCCGGTTCATTGTTACCTAATTTGGAAAATCAAGAAACAAGGAAAACATTACGTTTCCCTGATACTCAACGTTTACCAAATGATCATATAAGCAGAGAAAATTCGCCCGAACCTGGTGGTATATTACAAAAAATGTTTTATTTATTTACTTTAACATTAATCATTCTTTTTTTTCAATAACAGAACCAGAGAATGCCGATTTCCCTGTTAATAATCCATTAAATGCTATAAATAATAATATTGATTTGGATATAAATTTGAAAAAATTGAAAAAGTTATCCAATGTTAAAAAACCAATCAAAATAGGATCATTAAGCTTGGATGAATTCGGTGAATCAGTTACACCAAGCATTAAAGTCAAAGAAATAAGATCAAATAATAAAGAGCGTAACAAAAAAGAAGGCACTGAAAAAATTTCTAGGCTGAAAAAAGCAAAACTTGATAAGCCATTGAATTTCAAATTTACAATTTCTAGTGAAGATAAAATTGTTGCTAGCCAGGACAATAGCAATGCGGAAACAACGACTCCTGTCAAAAAACGGCAATACAAACGTAAAGATAAACAACCGAAAGAAAATGTTGAACGTAAACCAAAAAAAGTTCCTGTCAAAAAATCTATTCAAAAACAAAAAGCATCAAACAAAAATGATTTCGTTCCATCTCCTCTTCAAAATGCATCTTTTGGCTCGAATTTATTTCCACCTAAAAATTCCACAGACATGACAGATAATCCATTCGATGAGAATGAAGCAGCCGAAACATTGGTATCCATTTTTGAATCTAAAGAGGCGAAAAAAGAAAATAATGATTCATTATCAAATATCAGTGGAAATGAACTCGATTTGGATGATTCGAATTCAAAACTTACATCGACATCGAATAAAAGTTCTCGTCTTAACAGCACTATCAAACGTAACAAAAACACCAATCAGAAATTCAAATCAGCTGAAGTAATTAATAGTTCTGATGATTCTTCAAGTGATGATAATATGGATGTTGATAAAAATCCTGTTTCATTGCTTGTTAATCAATCTGATCTCGATGAAAATATGATTTCAACCATTAATCGTAGACGACGTAATTCTAATTCTTCTTTATCATCAGTTTCTTCAAATTCTTCAAAATCATCTAGGTCCACCGCTATGATCGATACTGGTATGGATATCGATGATGGCAAACACGTTAGTAAAGCATTCAATGAGGAACATCATATCAAAAATAAAAAATCAGGCGAAGAAAAATCAAAAGAATCAAGTAAACATAAAAAGAATAAAAAACATTCTAAGAATAAACATCGTCATAGTGAAGAAAAACAACATAAAAAACATAAAAAGAATAAAGATAAGGATCGAGATAGAGATGGAGCTAAAATTAAAGAAAAGGATTTCAAACCAAAACTTAATATCAAATTCGGACAAGGACCATTGGATAAGAATCAGGATCTTATTGAATTCGATACCTTGAATCAATTGCCCGACAAACATCCAGCTACAATAAAAGAATTCGATGAAACAAAATCGTTCGATTTCAAAGAATCATGTTTAATTATAAATAAAAATGAAAAGAAATCTTCAACAAAAAGTAAAAAAGTCGAAATGGAAGATAGACACAATGAACTTGTATTCATCAAAGATACTACAATCAAGACAAAAGAAACAAAAACAAAGAAAAATCCTATTATTAGTGTTGCTACATCTTTATTCGATAACGATTCGGTTGGAACATCATCAACTAACAAATTATCTAAAAGCAAGGATATTACGGTCCGTAAAGAAAATAAAAAAGCTAAAAATAAAGATTTAGATCTAATCAAAGGTCATGAAGAATCACCATTACCGTCATCATTGTCAATAAAGCATAAAAAAGAAAGAAGTATTAAAGATTCGAAGAAAGAGAAAGATTCAATACACATTATTAGTAAAAAAGATGAGAATCAAGCCTGTACAGTAATTAGTGAAACAATCAACGTCACATCTGAAACTATTGATAATAAACTTTGGATTTGTCCTCTTTGTGTTAAACCCGATGATGCTACACCAATGATTTGTTGTGATACTTGTGATCAATGGCATCATTATTATTGTCTGGGAATCGATCATGATCCGAATCCTGGTGGCCCTTGGTTTTGTCCAAAATGTTTTGAAAAACAAAAGAAAAAAATGGAAAAGTTTCAAAAGAAGCAAGAAAAACTTAAAGCAAAAAATGAAGATAACATTGTAACAATCACTGTAACCACAAATATTGATGAAACATCCAAACCAAAAAGACCGGTTGGTAGGCCTAGAAAAAATCCACCAATTAATTTGTCTACACCACAGGATTCAGGCTTGACAATTACACCAATCGATCCATCGCCAAGTTTGCTTGTGACACCATCCATGAAATATGATCATAATTTTATAAAGGACCAACAAAGACAAGCATATCTTGCGCCAATTGAAATGATGATGATGAATCCGTCCACAAGTGATATTGGCGGTGTTATTGAAAAACCTGTTCAGAAAAAAGAAATTTGTCCTAAATGTCAAAGTGTTGAAAATCTATCGGTAAATATGATCGGGTGTGATTCGTGTGATCAATGGTTTCATTGGCCATGTGTAGGCATTAATACTGCACCAAGTCCAGATTCTTCTTGGTTATGTGCCAAGTGTATAAAGAAAAAATCAAGCAAACGTTTATGGGCTGAAATTGATTCGGGTTCCGATAATGAGCAACAATCTGCAAAACATCGACGTAAAATGCATCACCATCAACGGCAATCTGCATCATTATCATCATCATCATCATCAGCAGTTATACGAACAAAACCACATATAGAAGAAGATCTTGGCTACATTGATCCAATTGTTGATATACAAACTGATTCGAAACAATCAATATGCGGTACATGTAAACAACATACAAAAAATGATTTGAATGAAGAATGGATAGCCTGCGATATATGTGATGTATGGTATCATTTTGTTTGTGAAAATATTATTAATGCGCCTGATCCTAATGAACATTGGTTTTGTCGACATTGTATTAAAAAGCAGCGAAACATTGAAAATCAAATCAATAATAAATCTAAAAGAAAATTGTAATTAATTAATGCTAATCTTGTTTATGATCGGATTATCGATGCAATTTTTTCGTATTCATAGTACTCATTTTTTTCATTTTAAAATAATAAATCAATAACTAAATTATATTAATTAATCATTGTTTTGATCGTTCGTTTAAATTTACATTCCATTATTTTTATTTTAAAGAGTGTATTTTTTCTGGATTGAAATTCAAACTAACTTCATAACTTTGAATAGTGTCAGAAAAAAAAATTCTACCATGAATAATCGACGATTAAAATCAAAAGCGATTCAATTAAAATATTCAGGAATCGGACGATCAAATGTTCGAAATATGTCAACAATCATACCATTAGATTCGAGTAATTTAAATGAAAATAAAGAAAAAATGATCAACGATGCTATTGAATGTGTTCGAAATGAAATACCAAAAACATTAATGCAAATGGATGAATTCTATAATGAAATTATCAAATTTACTGATGATAATTACGATAAACCGATGACCGAAAATGATTTTGCAAATATTCGTAATGTATGGCTGAAGAAATTGGAAAAATTCTGGCCATTTGATTGTGAATCACAATGTGAATCAAAACAGAATTCAAACAAAACTTTCATCAATGATGAAAAATGTCATCCTTATAGCGAATGTGTTCGACATTTAAACAATCTACATCATCAATGCTGCAATCACTATTCCTTTCTTGAAACGATAACAATTTTTCCTGAAATTTCTTCATCTACTATGATTTCAAATGAATTCATAGTACGATTTAGTGATAGACTTCGTGCCATAGTTATTGATCTTGCCGAAAAATTATTAAAAATCAATATGGGTTTCTCTTTTCTAATTCCAAAGACTGAAGATAACGAAGAAAGCGATATTTCGATCGAAATTCTTGATAGAGTTCTCGCTCTAACTTCATATGATTGTAGTATAGGTAATTGTGTATAATAAAAAAAACTTTATTTCGATTGATTGAACATAATTTATATAATAATTTTTTTTTCATTCCAATATAAAGATTTTGATGAAATTTTCAATGAACGTGGTAAATTGATAAGAACAATCAACGAACATCCACAATCAGAGGAAACTTGTTTCATGTTAAAAGAATATGATCACGAAACTTGTCTACAAATACAATATGAATTACAAAGCATAATGACACAATGTTATTGTTTATACGATGTAATAATTAAAAATTTTGATAAAATTATTAAAAGTAAACAATCATACAAACGTACCGATAATAATAATATTAATGATAATGATAATTATAATGATGATTATCGTTCAGCATTATATTCATGAATAAAATATATATTTTTTTCAATACCATAATAATAACAATAATAAAATGATATTTAAAAAAATAAATGTTAATGAAATGTTCAATGAATTCGTAATACTACCGGAATCAATGTAAAAAATTTTTGATTTTTTCCATTGTTGTTGTTGTTTGATGGTTGTTGAATACCATGAACGAATTTTTTCGTCAATTTTTTCATCATAATTTAATAATGATAATGGAAATTTTAGCTGTACTATAGGTGATCTATTTTTAATTAGAATGATTAATCTTGATAATTCTTTTTGACAAATATGATGATTTGATTCGAATTTTGATCGAATCAATACCGTTATAAAACCTGGTGCTAATAAATGTATCGATAATTGACAATCATTGTTGTCCATTAATGATTGCAACTGATGTGATAATGTTCGAATGTTCAATGATTTTTGTCGTAATAATAGATACTGTAAGGTTAATGCATCAGATTGATAGGAAATTTTTTCGAAATAATTTTGATCATAAATAAAATAGACTATCGATCCACAGAATGGACATTGATTAAATGGTAACCAATTTATATATTGTTCCGGACATACTATAGTTGGACAGAATTTTTTGTCAATTTTAGTATTTGCACTTCTACATGAATCAAAATAATCGACAAAAACATTAGCAGCTTGTGCTGCACATTCCGAATAATAAGTTTGTAGATCACGGCCACATACCGGACCAGACATTGAACAATAAACCTATAAATAATTGGAATAGATTGATTAATTCTGAATTGAATTGGATGAAGCAACATACTCGACATTTTCCCAAATAAGATACGGTTATATTTTGTACAGTACAAACATTGAAATATTCTTGTCCTTTTGTATCACAAACGGTTATTTGATCGTCTGGAATCATCCATTCAACTTTTTCTGATTGATTAAATTCATTACATAAATCTTGTAATCTTTCGAATGATATTCGTACTTCTTTCATTGCAAACAATTGAACAGAATCATCTATGATACAGCTAAATATTGATGAATTTATTATTTGATAAAAAAAAATAAAAAATTTAAATTTAAAAAATTGAACATACACTTCTTTATTATGTTTTTTTAAACAAATTCTCTTGAAATTATTACTAATTCTTCGACAATTTCGGCCGAATAGGAATTCCATTTCGAATTCAGATTCATCATGAAAACATTCATAAAAACATTTATTCAAATAGGTAAGACCAGTTTTCAGCGAACAAATCGGTTCATAAGTTTCAGAACATTTTGACATACAAATTCTATGAAAAAAATAAATTAGAACATTCACTAAATGGGTTATATGCTTACAATTGATCATGGATTAATTGTATCCATTCTTGTTTCTCGATGATTGAAGTATTTGAAAAACAATGATAATAACAATCTACCAATGTTCCCATTGAATTACAATAACATTGATGATAACATTCATTTGAATGATTATCATCATCATTTGAAAATTGAATTGTCGGTAATTTTATACTTGTATCTAAAGGTATTTTCAGTTCGGACAATTTTCCTAAAGGTTTTTTATTTCAATTAATAAATAAAGTATACAATTATAACAATTATTACCGATATTGCAAATTTTTGAACACCGAAAACGTGGGCAATCATTTATGAAACATTCATAATTGATTAAACATTGATGATGATCATCCTTTTGGCAGAAACATTCTTTTTCATTCAGGCGAGAGATGGATGAAATATAGGTAGAAATATCATTATCTGTCATCATTTGATTTAGGTTCAAACATTTTTCGGAATTTTTCTTTGAAAATAAAAGATTTGATGATGATCCTTTTTTCAATTTATTGATAGTATTTTCTAAAAAATCACAAACAATATTTTTATCCAATATTTCAATTTTATTTTGGCTATGATGAAAAAGTTCCGCACAATTTGATTGACAAATTGGCATTGGATTATGATTTTCTTCCATACATGGCTGTATATATAGAAAACAGGCTAGATTTTTCCACATTTCCATTCGATTTTGATTCAAAACATTTGTCGAAAATTCAGTTATATTTTGTTCAATCCAAAAATGAAACAATTTTTCGGCTTGTTTATCAGAATTTTGTTTACAATTTCTTGATGGAAATTTAACTTTATTAAAATGATGACAAAATTGTAATTTTATCGGACATTGATAAGTACATAGATTATCAGCATCATCTAAACATTGATTTAATAATCTTTCATTTGATGATCTTCGACAGAATTGTTCAAAATTTTGCCATGATTCTAACCATTGATTTGAATAGGTCTATGAAAAGAGTAGACACAAATGGATTACGGTTACCTAAAATTCATTTGTTTAAAATTATTTTACATCGTAACAAAGTTTTTGACATTTTTTCTGCAAGGCTCTTTTACAGCAAACAAATTTTGCTGGATTCATTCCACCATAATAATTTGATTGATTGATTAATGATTTGTTTGTTGATTTTTTATTCGAAACATTATCAATATTCTCATGGCCATCATTGTGTTCATTATTACTGTTAAAAAAATCAGATAATAAAAGACAATCCCAAAGTTCATCCTATCATCCAATTACAAATAGATGTCCAATTATCAATTAAACACCATTCAATAAAAATAAAATAAACCAACCGTTTCAAAATTAATCAATGGTTGATCACAGAAAATTTCTATTTGATCCAGAATTTTTGATTTATTTCTGCAGCCATAATTTTCATCGGTACAAAATTCATCGAATGATGCATGGCAACCATCTTGGCATGATGTATTTAAAGTTAGTTGACAACATTTTCGTGCTATGATGATGATAATGAAAAGTAATATTATCGAAAAGAAACAAAAATAACAACAACAACAACAACAATTAATCTGTCACGAGTTGTGTAGTTTATTTTGTCAAACGGTCAAGTTTTCTAATAGTTTGCATCTCTAATTTTAATAGTTGATTACTTCAGTATTATTAATTATTCATTATTCGATAATTATTATGATTATACATTTAGAAAAATAATAATAATGCATAGTATCGGAAAAAGTATTCAAGCATGAATAAAGTTACATATAACTGATAATGAATATTACATTCAAGTTTTTTATGTATTAAGATTTTATTATATATTAAGTACATTGGTTGTAATGATAATTCATTTGAATAATTTAGAATAATATTACAACGAAAATCTATTAGTTTTTCTTCATTATTTTTCATCTTATCATGTAGGATTGTTGTTCTCATTATTATTTTTTTGATGTATTTTTATTCGAATAAATAGTATGCAGCAAAAATAAACCGAAATATACATTTTATTCATTCAAAATTCATTTCGTAATTTTTATCGTTAACAACATCATCGTATACGATAATTGTTTTCGGATATGAACATAACATGTATAAAACATAACAAAAAAAACAATCTATGAAAGAATTTTCATTTAAATAAATGAAAATAGCAGACAAAATAAAACACAACACAACACTTAAAACCTTTGATCGAAATGAAATAAAAAAAAACTATAGAATAAACGTGTATAATTATACAAATTCTCAAATCATCAAATGAATCAATTACTGTCAATGTGAAGAATTGTGTATTCGTGTGTTCAGCATCTTTTATAAAAACAAACTAATTTTTTTTTATTGAAAAGTTTGTTTGTTTTTTTTTCAAAACAATATGAATTCTATTTCATTGTTTGCAAAACAAAACAGAAAATATTCGATAAGATAAAAATAAAGTTCACGAATATCGTCATTAAATGTAAACGATATTGTTATTCTTGGAATTTTATTCCTTTGAAACAAATAAAATTCAGTTCGATAAGATAATGTTCGATTATTATAGTGGCTATTATCATTACTAATTTTTATTTTCCTACATATTTTTCTTTATTTTCTAAAAATTTAATTCTAAATCAATCGATTTTTATTATCGGAATTGGACTTTTTTTTCCTTTCAACTTAATTTTTTTTGTGTTGTATAGAATATATGGGACGAGGTAAATATGAAGTTTTATCGGCTCAAGTCGAATTTACCAGATGTTTTTTTTTGTTTCCGTTTTTTTTTCATTATTGATCCAGCAATCAAAATTGGATAAGAATCCTGTGTGTCATAATCGATATTGAAATTTAATGTGAAAAAAATATTTCCTTTTTTTTATTTACTACTACGCAAATTGAGAAGGAAATAAAAAAAAATTAATTTGGATAATGTTGTTGCGCACAAAAAGCGCAACTTTGATCAATTGAATAAAAATCGATAAAATTCTGTAACTTTAAAATAAAATAATGAAGATAATAATAAAAGAAACCAGACTATCGTATAAATTGAGAGCGAAAGAAATTCTATCGCTGATTGCATGTCCGCTCCAAATTTGGTTTTTTTTTCGTGATTGGCTTTCGTCATCTATTATATTCAATTTGCCATTCCACTTTTTTTCTCTTCACTACGGTGATAGACAACAACAAAAAAGTTTTCATTATCGAAAAATTATTCCAGATCAAATCAGATGGAAAAGAAAAGAATCGGATGTTAATAATAAATAAGGAAATTAATCATTTATTTGCTTCAACAAAAAAAAAACTCCAAGATTATATAATTCAATGAAATTCAATGGAAAACAAAACAAAATCACATCTATGTCCATTTGAATTTCAGTGAAAAAAAATTAGAATCATGTTAATAATGAAGGTGAATGCGAAGTAAACTTGAAATCAAAACAAAATTCTTGTTTGTTATCTCTATTTTTGGTTGAAAAAAATTTCGTAATAAATTTTTGAAATTGAAAAATCGTTTTTGTTAGTCACTGAAAAAAAATCTAAATTAAATTTTCAATAATTAAATCAATATTTTTGTTTCCCATGCGATAAAAAAATTCTTTCCGGAATAACGTTAAATCTATTGAAAATAAAATTTCAGATTTGAATTCGTGTTTTTTTTTGTATGTATACAATGGATATATTCAATTTCAAATTCAGATTTTTCATTTTTTTTCCTATTCTGATCAACAACAACGACAACAAGAGAAAACCAGCTCTAATGATAACATATCTATTGAACAGGAAAAATATAATTTGATATTTTAGTTCCTATCTCTTGTGCTCAAAAAACAAAACAAAAACACAGAAAAAAACAGAAAATTCATTAAGATTAAGACAAAACTAATGTAGAAAATGAAAAACGAATATATTTTTTATATGAAATGATTATTATTATTCCCAACTTGCCTTTTTTCAATTGATAACTATTCAATTCTCTTGATGATAATTCACGAATTGTACGAAAATTTTTATATTCAGTAGTTACAATAGACAATTTAGTCGTTAAATTTAAATTCATTTGTTGTCGTTGTTCATTTGAACTTATTTCTTTTATTATTATTACAATTAAAATGTTGAATATAATGTTGATGTGCAAACAACATGGTGTCTGAATGGGGGTAGAGAAAAGAAGGGTGTAGGTGATGGGAAATAAATGTAAGAATATTTTGTTAAAATAGAAAAACATATCATATCATTCACATAATAATAATAATAATTTTTTATGATCATTTTTGTTGAATAATAATAATAATAAAAAGAATCATTGAAGAATTGACATTCTTTACATTAAATTCTGCTTACCATGTTGAAAATTTGCATTTTTTTGTTTTGTTTTGTTTTTGAAAACAAATCAATTGTATTTTTTAAATAATGTAGTTATTGTTTATAATCATTCAAATAAAATTTCATCAATTTATTTTTGCCATAAAAATTTATTCATTCATTCATTCATCATTTTTTTCTCTCTGTTGACAATTTTAATCGAAAACACATTTGTGATTGAACAAATGTTGGTTTCGGACTCGTATTTGAATGATAAAATTTTTTTTTACATACTCTCTTATTATTCAATAGTAACAAATCTAGAAAATCTTATCAATTTATGATAATAAAAGTTATCGTAAGGATTTCTGCCAACAACAACAAAAAAACATGTGAACAAAGAAATAAATATTGAAATCAAATTTTCTTTTTTATTAAATGAAATAAAAGTATTCAATTTATTCGAAATAATGATTGTTTGAATTGGATTTTTTTTTTGTTTGCTACCCCTTCATAAAAATACATCAGATTCAGTATCATTTAGTATCTTTGATTGTATTGTTTTGTTTTGTTTGTTTGTTTTTGGAGCGGTAAGGATTTTGAAAATTATTTTTTTTTTTGGATAAAAATATTATTTGGAAATAAAAACAATAACGACAACAACAACAACAATAATGAAAAAAGTGTTCATAATATTCATTTATAGAATAGAATTTAATATATTTTTTTCTTTCAATATTCTGATTGTATTGTTTGTTTGTTTGAACGTTAAAAATTTTACAAATCATATCCAAATTTAAGTGTGTGTGTGTGCATTTTTTTCATAATTTGAATGTATTTATTCATGTAAAAAAAGAAGAAATGAATAAAAAAAAACAAATGCAAATTCAAAAGGGGACAAAAACTATCAAACTGAATATTATGAACTAAAAACTAAATCAATCTTCAATTGAAACGATTTTTCAAACGGGTTTTTCTGGGTGGTGTTAATTTTAATAATGATGATTAGTGAACACTTTTTCCATTGTTTTTATTATTATTATTATTTGATTTTATTATTATTAGTGGTGTTGTCGTTGTCGTTGTTATGATTGATGAAATTATAATTTAATTCAGCCAGATTTTAATAAAAATGATCGTTTTGATCTTTGATTATTAGCATTAACCATTGTATCTGGTGCACCAATTTCTGATCCTTGAATATTACGTGCAACACGTACCGTATTCATATCATATGCATCATGTCCATTTATCCATCCTAATTGTGGATCTCTTGATGAAGCACTATCATCACCTGGTAGATCTAAAAGCTAAGATAAAATTTGAAATAAAAAAAGGAAAAAAAATTATGTCAAACATGTTTGAAAATGATGATTAAATCAATCATACTAAAACACAAATGCAAGCAAAAGAAAACTAACAACAACAACAACAAAAATGACAAGAAAAAAGCCGATATTTGTTTTGATAAAAACACCGCAAAAAAGTTAAATTTTCGGCTTAAAAAAATATGATCAAATAAAATCTGGAATCATAATAAACAACTATCCACTTACAAGACGTAAAATTTCTTTGATTTCTTGCCGTCGCAATTGATCATTACTTCGTGTCGGTAGATATCGTGCCGAAACTTTTGGCATCAATAATGTAACATTCAAAATTATGACGACAATAGCCATAATGGCAAACAATCGGCTAAATTGCATTGAAGTGGCGGCCATTTTATTTGTTTTTGTTTTTGTTTTTGCTGTATAGACATTTGAAATAATAATAATAATAACAATTTAAAAATTAAGAATTTAATTCGTTGATTTTTTTGTGAAGGAAGTAACAACAACAAAATCATAGCCATGACAGTTATTGAATCAATTGATGTTGTTATGATCAATGAAAAAAAATGAAATGATTTAAAACTTACCAAAATATTAACTCTTGATAATAAAATAATCTGGATCAATATCAATCGAATCAATTAGTAATTTTGTTTTTGTTTTTTTGCCGTTGATGGTGATTGAGATTTTTTTTTTGTTTCAATCAAAAAGCTTTTTATGGTGGTTATGTATTTTAAAAATTTGATTCAAATAAAAATATTACTAAACAATACCTATTGATGTATCCGTTTATATACCCGAATAATTTTTGTTTCTGTGGTCGAAAAAAAATAATCGGTTATCATCATCATCATCATCATCATCCACCATCATCTATTTCAATGTTGTTCTACTACAACCAATCAAGAATCTGCCATACACATAGAATTTGTTATTATTGAATTCTGCGTATGTTGAACAAAGAAGAATACATCGATGATATGGGCATACACACAAAACAAAACATACGCATAAATATCGACCAATAGAGTGGATAAGAACTTTTAAAGCTCTAACTTTTTAGCACACATACATACACGCATCTATAACCATCGAGAATAACATAAAACAAAAGGCCAAACATGGAACATAGACAAAAATTAAAAAAAAAGGTTTCCGTTTATCAACTAACTAAAAAAAGACAATCTCATAATCAGATTATTACTCTCATTCAGATGAATATGTAGGTGTTAGTGGGTGTAAAATAACCAGCATATACGAAGTTTATAACAAAAAAAAAAAAAAAATCTCATCACCTTTTTTTCTATCGTAAAGATCGTTTATTTTGTTAAAAAAAACGGATACAAATCTATCAAATTTTCATTGAATATTGTTCTCATGTTACATTCGTTAAACACATATATAATTATTGTTAAATGAATTTGATTAATTGGAATAAAATATCGTACAGCCTCGAGCAAACAGTAACAATGAATTACTTTTTTTTTGGTTTTCATTTGAATGCGGTGTTTCCAATCGAAAAAAAACCGAAAGATAGATAAATTAACACATTTTCATGATTCATTGTAAATAAAGAATTCTTTTTTTTATTTCAATTTTAATTAGATTTACGAAACGAATAATGTGAGTCCAATCAGAAACAAAAACAATGACGATTTTATTTTATCATTTTTATTGAAATGCCGAAATCGAATACTCTTTGCCATTTTATGGAAAGATCAAAAGAAAAAAATTTACTTGATTATGATCAATGATTAAACAAAAAACAAAAAAAAAAACATAGAACAAATCGATGAAACATCTGGAATATATCTTGTTTGTTTGTTTTTTTTTTTGATACAGTTTATCTCCATCATCGTTTGTTTTGTTAATCTATCGGTCAAATATTATCATTGATTGATTATCATTGATCGAGAATACATGTTCGAGTGATTGATGAAAATTATCCTAAATTCAAACAATAAAAATTTAGTGTTTTTTGATTCAATTAATTTGAGGGGGAAAAAAACTAAGGAAATTTATATTAATTTTCAGTATATAATCTCCATATCCTGAGGTATGTTATCATAATCGACATATTTGAACTTTTTTTTTGCAAAAGAATAATTAATCAAAAATTTTTTAATCCGACATTTGTAATTTGTTGACTTTATTGATCATAGTTTTTTTTGGATTAATGATAAGTGATAATGAATTTTACGGCCATAATTATCCGTTGTACTTTTTTGGAGTGTCATCAAAATAAAAATAATTACAACAAAAAAAATCTGGAAAATTCGAACATAATGTACAGACAACAGTTTCGCCATCTGTCCGTGAAAATTTTTATGATTCATGAAATGAATGAATTTGATGAAAAAATCGAACGTTCGAAACAAATTACGAAACAATCGAATTAAAACATTGAAGATTATAATATTGTCCTTGTCGTATCATTTTGCATATGAAAGAAGGTTGAAATGTATCCGTATTCAATATTGATATTCGTTGTTGATCCATCGTTGGTAATAATCGATGTTCAATCATATCATTTGTAAACATTTTGTCATTATCCGAATATAATTCTAAGTTATGTTAATAGTAAATAATAATAAAATCAATTGAACTCGAACAATTGACTCAACTAACCTTTACTATCGAATTGTCGTTTACCAAAACGTGGTGGAACTTTTAATCGTTCCATTAATTGACTATTTGAACACGAAATAATTTGTATGAACAATTGACCATATAAATAAATGGCGAGAATAAATATTCTCATTGATAATTTTGAAATGAACATTGTTGCTGTTGTTTTTTTTCGATATTGATTTGATCATTTAATATCAAAATTTCTTTTTTTTCAGTAAAAATTTACGAATGGAATGAATTTCCGAATGATGATTTCATCATCGTTAGCTGTTGCCTTTTATACCTGTCTCAAATCTAGAATCACCTTTGTCCATCTATTTTTTTTGTTCGTTCCAGTAATGGAAATTAATTTTCACATTTTAAAGGTTGTAAACAAATGATGAAAAAAAAATTATTTTTCTATTCATTAAATTAATTAGTTCAATCAAGTGTGTGTGTGTGTTTGTGTGCGAAAAGCAATTCAGGAAAACAAAAAACATCGATAATGAAGTTTATTCTCAATTTTTTTTTCAATTTGTTGGAAAATTAATTCGATTCAATTTGAACATTTTGAATATCAGGATAATTAAAAATATTCAATCTCTTGAGACCTAATAGTGGTGATAATCATCAATGTAGTAGTTTTGGGAAAACATTTCAATCAAATTATCCTCATCATTGCTATTCAATTTACTAATCATCATTTTTTTAGACTTTAAACAAACAAAATAGATCAATTCAATTCATTCTCTCTTGAGATCATTAAATTAGGCCAGTAAAAGAGTTATTTTCAGATACAGGTACTGTTTTTACATCTTTCTTTTTTCTTTATTCATTATAATCTCACAAAAATTTTATCGATATTCATGTTAATATTTAAATTGGATTGGCCATTCAATAAAAAAAACTTGTTGTAAGTAGCTATATCACTATATGAATCATGATACACGGAAGATAAAATAGCTAGAAAAAAATTAGCTTTCAATGACGCCATCTTAAATAGCATTTTAGCTTCAAGCATAATATTCGATTCGAGGTCATTGCCATTGTCATTTATTGTGTTAAATGCCAAGAATAAATAAAATTTCTTTTTATTACTGTTGTGCTTCATCAGAATACGGTGGCTCTGCTATCGATTTTATATTTGGGCGCAGTTTTGTTTGTTTGGCTCACTCGAATCGTTCGTATTGGTGATTTTGTTTGTTGTGTTGTGTTGTGTCAATTACGTATTGTTTTTATTTTTCATTCACAATTTCTAGAAAAAGCACAATGACATCGACCGTATCGGATACATTATCTTATGATCATAAATTCTATCATGGAACGGGTGTTGAAACATCGAAAACAAAAAAAGCAAAAATCTATTCATTCCATGATGATGATGATGACGATAATGGCGATTACATGACTGTTGACGATGAAAGCATTAAGAAAATTAGTAATCAAGAATCAAAACCAGCTCGAATACCATTCAAATATATAAAATCATTCCAACAGTTGTTGAAATCGATTGGCTTCATGAATCTTGATGAGGATGTTTACAAACAACTTCGATCATTGTTTCCATTGTTAAATCATAATAATGACAGCCTAACAATAGCTGAACGTAATTTGGCCAATATTTACAAATGCGATGTCTTTCATGAAGAATGCTTTTTCACATCAAATGATTCAATAACATTTTGTAAACATATTGATGAAAAACATTCGAATCGATCATTGTTTTGTTTTTATTGCAATAAATCTGATGATGACCGACATAAACATTGTTCGAGTGGCTCGAATTGTTTTGAAAATTCCAATGAATTGGTTAGTATTTTTTAAAAATACAATTTGAACATTCTTATCAATATAGATCTTGTATTCATTTTATAGACTGATCATATTACAGAAAAGCATTCATGTTTAGCATACCAATGTAATCTTTGTTTTTATCGTGCATACTCATTCGATCACGTTTTATTTCATCAAGCATTAGAACATTCAAAGAATTTTTTTGAAACAATCAAACGATTGGTATTGGAGAAAAAAGATGAACCAGATCATCAATTGAATGTTTTTGAAAAAACTTTTCTCAATCAAGTTATTCAGGATGTTAAAACAAGCGATGATGAAACCGAAATTGAAGAATCATTTGATGATCAAATTGATCACTTAGATATATGCAAAATCATCTCTTGCTCAGCCGATAATAACGATGACACTGATTATCAGGATTATATCGATCGTTTTGAATATAAACCCGAATATCAAGATCTTTGGGATTTTGAAAATTATCCACTACATTGTGCATATTGTAATGAAAGCCGTGGCCATTTCAATTATGATGACAATTTGTGGATTCATTTCATCACATGTCATCCTGAACATCCGATTCTTTCATATGATCTACAATCTGAACAAAATAAAATATCAGCTGAAACCAAAGAAAAAGATGTCATTCAAATGATTGATGAACTGCAAAAATTAGTTTGTAAGTTAATTTCTATATTAATACTTATTTTTCATCTGTTTTTTTTGAATTATAGATAAGAATTCATTGCCAAGAATGTATGGAGAGAAAATGATGCTCGATGCATTTGCTTTCTATGGTGATGGTTTGAATCCAATTCCTAAAGGAATGAAAAGAAAACAAAACGAATTGCAAGAGAATATGGTAACACCTGGTGAGCAAAATTCAAATGATCAAACTGGTTTTTTACAAAATAAACGACGTCGAATATTTGAACGATTCATTCCGGAATCGGTTCGTAATAGAGCAAAAACGGCCGTTGGTGTTGCTACCACAGCTGTCGTAGCACTTGGATTCTATCATTTTGCTCAATATTTACCCATCGGTGTCCAACGATTGTTGGAGAATAAACATTAAATACTCATATTGATAATTTGACCAAAGAAAATATGAAGTAAGCATAAAAATTTGGCATTATCTAATCATTTACATAATTTTCAAATATTGTTTCAAAATAATAATGTAAACAATCAAAACGAAAAAAAATAAGAATATATTAAAATATCAAAGCCAAAAAAAAAAATTATTCTAACGTTTAGGTTTACATTTTTAAATCTTAGATTTTTTTTTATATATGTTCATTTTATATCCAACAATTTTTTTTTGTAATTTCATCTTAGTTTTTTGTCACATTCACACACTTACACATTTCCTTTCATATTTTGTATTCCGGACCTATTTTTTCCACTATGAATATCTTAATTTTTTTAACCCTTGATGACGGAAGGATGTAGCGATTTTATTACATTACATAAAATATATTGTAAAACAATCCTGCCACGCTGGGAAAAAAATTTGAATTTTTTTTTCATAATAAAATTATTTCATCATTGACATTAAGGTTTTTTTTAATCCAATTTTTCTTTCATGTTCACGAATATGTAAACAAACAAAACAAACATTCAAGCACATAGTTTTTTTCTTAAATTTAATTATTACAAAATCGAATAAAATGTAATGAATGAAAATTTTATAGGAATAAATTCCGCGTAAAAGTGTTAGACTGTTATTATTAATTTTGTGATTGTGTTTGTTTGCTCTTGTTTATGCGTTTTTTCTTTTCTGCTTTATTTTAACGAAAATCAATTTGATATTTAAAAAAAAAAACATTTCTTTGCTGATTACCGACGATGATGATGATGAATGAAAATGGAATGATTTCAGAACCTGAATCTACTGTAAAAGATGTTTTAAAGAACGAAAAAAAAGTAGACTTGGAATTTGAAAAGAATGTTGATGTTGTTAATGATGAGGATGAGGATGATGATGACGACGAAGACGACGGTATGTATTGGGATTAAATTTTCAATAAATTAAACGATAATGGTCAATGTTGTTTATTTTGTACAATTTATATAATGTTAAACAAAAAAAAATTAACTCTAATAGAATTTGATTCGCAAAGTAGTGATGAAGAAGATACTGAAAGTAAAATTACTGATGATGATGATGATGATGATGACGACGACGACGATGATGATGGTAACGATGACAGCAGGAAATCTCATGTTTTTGAATGGAATGATGAAGATGATGAATATTTGGAAAAATTTGCCAAATGTTTTATCGAAACAAGTGATGATGATCAGGAATTATTACGAAAAAAATCTAACACAGATAATGTAGCAACAACAAACGTTGCTCAAAACACGAATGTTTCGAATGTTAATAGGCGACGTCCGGCAAACAAACGTAACAATACTGTTCATTTTAATGGCTTTCATCGTAATTCCGTAACATATCAACATTATAATCGTACAGCTAACAATTCGAAAAATGAAAATGATAATCCATTTCTAAATGTATGGGGACATCGTACGAATATTGTAGATATGAATGGCCGTATCCATCGTGTAGTTATGGAATTGAATAATTATTTGGCCGTATATAAAGCACGTTATCTTTATTATTTTGATCTTGTTAATGGTAAATATCCACAATTTGTTCGTCGTACTGATCAAAATATGGAAATATGGCGTATGAGTTTTAATATATATGCAACCGGTTTTTCTGATCTAATCGCTCATATTGGTAAGTTTTTTTTTGAAAATTGATAATTCTCAGTGTATAATTTTTGTTGTAAATCACACGAAAACAAGGCGAAATTCATGCATTTTATCAGATGGAAATCATTGATAATGAATTAAAATGGGTTTATAAAGATTTTAATTTTTATCCAAACAAAATGCGTTACGGTATACCTGTTCATTCATATGATATTGCCGATATTTATTCACGATTTGTTAAATTTGTTTGTCTCAAGGATAATATTGTCAAAAATTTTCCAAACATTATTGTTAATCAAAATTATTATGTTCATCGAAAATTTCAGGAAAATTTACATGCAATGAAAAATCGTTTGAATCAAATTTCATTGGCTGAAATCGATGAAGGAGGTGAAAATGGCAATAATGTTAATACGAATGAAAACGATATGATAATCAAAGATGTTCAACAAAATTCAAATGAACAAAAAACAACAATACATAATGATAATAATATTGTTGGAAAAAATGAAGCTTATTCATTTCATGATCGAGCATATCGTTATTGGACAAAATCTACAAATGAAATGAATCGTCGTCGTAATGCGGCTGGTAGTAGTAATTATAACAAACGTTAATGTTTCAATTATTTAAACCTTAAATATATATGGATAGGAGATTATAATGATGATGTTTTATTTTCATTAAAAATATTTCCAAATGAATTTTTGTTGTCAATTTTTTTCTCTGCATTTTTTTTTACAAAAATTATTTTATAATTAGATTGTCATCATGGATTTGTCTATGGTTGAATGGTTGAAAATAACATGCACACACACACACACACAATTCATTCAATCCAAAACATTTAATGTCAAATCTATAATCATCATCATCATCTTCCGATTCTTGAATTTCCGTGAATTTCTTTTCATTCATAGATAAATAAATGAAAAATTACATGAAAATCAAACATCACATTTATAGAATTCAAAACAAAACAAAAAAAAATCAATTCTTTTCTTTACCTGTTTGAATCAACTTTCAATCATTATTCGAAATAGACAATAAAAACAAAATAAACAAACCAAAATAGAGTAAATCGAAACAATTGCAAAAAACAATAATCTAAATATTTAATTCATATGAGATTCAGATTCAAACTTCATGAATGTTTTATGATGTTATTTCGCAAATGACTATAATTATTTCATTCTTCCGACAACATAGAATTTAACAACGAATTTGAAACATATGATCATTGATCAATCTATAGTGATCGTTATAAATTTTATTGTTTGATTAAGGAAAAAAAAGAAAACATTGATTGAATAATGATAAAAAATTAATTTTACTTTTTTTTTACTATTCAATTTGATTAAAGCAAAATAATGATAACGATATTCATTGAAAACATAAAGAAAAGAAAAGAAGCCATTTACTTAAGCTCAAATCTCATCATCATAAATTTTCTTATGAAACTTTTTTCTTTCTTTCTTTTTTTTTATTTTCTCGCTTGTTATTAGTCGTTATTTTTCTAATTTAATCTCGAATCTCGAATTTCAAATAGATAATTTAAGTTTATTTCTTTTGATCATCATCATCATCATCATCAGAATAATTATTGCAACCACTTCATTTCAATTGGTTAAAAGTTGTCATTTTTTCTTCGTTGAATTGATTCTTGAACCAAAAGATTGCATATAATCAACAACAGTAATAACAGAAAAATAAATATATAGAGATCAAATTCTTTTTTTTTTATTTTTCTATAAATTCGATTACGGAATAATAATAACTACAAGTGATGTCCTTTAATAATAATCACATGAAAGAGAGAAAAAAAACAGAACAAACTAATTCACCGTTCATTTAATGTATGGTTTATAATGATTAAATTACATTGAATTTTCAAGGGTGTCAATTTTCCAAAAATGAATGTCGATTAGGTTTTATTCATGAATTTCATCATCATCTTCATCATTCGAAAATGTTATTGGTATTTATATATTCTTTGCTTTGTTGTCATCATCATTATTATTATTAATAATGTTGTAGTGTTTGTTGTAAAGTTATAAATAAAAAAAAAATTCTCGTTTTCTCTCTTTCTAAACATCTTCCATCGATATCAATAATCATAATAATGTTCAATAACATTATGGACCAATGAACACAAACAAACCAATCAAACAAGAAGAGAAATGAGATGATAGTATTGAATTGAAAGTGAAAATAAAAATCGATCTCCAATAACCAAATCATGATTGTTGATTGTTGATTATTATTATCATCATCATCATCATCATCATCATATTACACAATAGTATATTTTATCCTTGATATTTATATTATGATCATGATCATGATGACGATGACGATGATAATCAACCAAGAATATAGTGGTAATTATTATTATAACAATAATTATTTTCTTTTCCAATCTACTTTATTTTCATACATTCATACTTGTTGACAGAATTGTGAACACAATTTCCGATATTTATTATTGGACATGGCGGTTATTTGGATTGTAGTGATGATTATGATGATGGTAGTTTTTCTGATGTTGTTGTTGTTGTGTGTATCAAGTGATAAGAAATTTTTATGTTCATTTCATTTATTTATTTCTATAGGGAAATAAATAATCGCTTTCAGCCATGATTAATGAATTTTCTTTTTTGGTTTTCTTGTTTGCTTGCTTGTATGGATTTAGCTAAAACGTCAATATTCTATTGAGAGATAGTGAGAATGATGGTTGAATAACGTTGATAATATAATATTTTTTTTTCAATCAATAAATTCAATCGTTTCATTGTATATATATCGGATATTGAAAATGATACATCTTTGATTGGATAGTATCTTCTTTTTTTTATTTTGCTGGTGGTGGTTGGTTTATGATTATGATGATGATGATGATGATATAAATAACAATGAAAAAAAAAAATAATATTTTGATCAATCGATTGGATATTTGACATTTTCATAGTCTATCCAATAATAATCAATAGATAGATTATTATCACCTTATAAATTTATCCAACATACGCACACACACCCATTGGTTGATCTAAATTTTACTTGTTTTTTTTATGGCTATCAATTTTATTAGTATTGGAAATGATTAAAACTCTTTCATTTTTTTTTCTTGATCATTCATGACATTCAATAATGACAACAGTTTTGTTGACAGAATCATTCTCCTAATCATTAATATTGTTTGTTTTTTTCTTCACTCTTCCATTTCATTAAAATGATTTGTAGTAATGAAAATCGGTCATTCAAAACATCGATTGAAAATTGAATTTTTATTCGATCGATTTCAGAGAAAAATGTTGTTGTTTTCATTTTGTATTGTTTTGTACTTATTCTCTCTTGTTTTTTTCCGAATAATCAATAATTAAACATAATAATTAATTATGAATAAAAATAATGATCAACAATATTCCGTTTCTCATCGAACAAAAACAAAACGAAAATAAAATTCCTTGTTTTTTTTCATTCATCATCATTATCGTCGTTGTTGTTGTTGTTTTCAAACGATTCACGGTGTAGGTGTGTTTTGCTTGTATTCGTTTGAATAAACGGAAAAAAATATGGAAAATCTACACATGTTTTTTTCTTGTTGTTTTTATTGTCTAATTATTATTGATTGCCCAAAACAAAAGATTTGATTAAAATCGTTATTTTTATCGACATAATTATCACATTGATAAAATAAAGATTTTTTTCGTGTTTCATTTAAATTATAAATTTTATTGATTTGTTTTTGTTTTTAAGTTTTTAAAAACATTGTTTGAATGTACATTTTCTTTGTATCATTTATTACAATTTTTTTTTGGATAAAAAATAATGAAACAAGGATTGAAGATCAATAATAAGTGTGTTTGTGTGTATGTGTGCGAAAAAAAAACATTCCAAAAAATGGACATAACATTCATTCATTCGATTCATTTTTTTTGGTTCGGTAAATGTTTGTTGATAATCATCATTATTGTCAAATTGATCATCATCATCAACATGATCTTTTGAATTTATTTTTTCTTTTCATTATTTTGCGTTTGTTTATTGTTGTTCAACATCATATCGCGAATGATTGATCGTTTATTTTGTTTCAAACAAAAAAAAAAAAAATTCCAAATTGTTGAACAAACTAATCTCTTTCATATGGAGAGATCATAATGTTTGTTCAAAACACACACACACACAATAAATTGATAAATAAATACTTGTCAAAATAGATTGTTGTCCATTTAATTGTTATTTTGTTTTGTTTTTGAATGGAGAAAAGATCGAAAGATATACGAAGAAAAACAAATGTTTTTTCATATTATCACTATCATCATTCTCGTTTATCATGATAATTTCTCAAAAAAATGAATAGATTTTTTTTTGGACTCATTCATTTCGGTTTATCAATAATAAATTAATTTAAACAATATTAATTTTTTTCTCATTAGCATATTGAAATTAACGGTTTTTGCCTTTGTTTTTTGTTTTATCTCAAAAAAAAAATGATTGAATGAATTGGATAAGCCAAAGATCTGTCAAAAGTGAAAAAAATTCTCACTTTTTTTTCACTCAATCCTCCTGCATTCAATATCCTTTTAACAAAATTAGACAAATTTTATTCTCACTTTCTCATTAATTCTTTTCCAATTAATTTTAGTTTTACATAATTTGGTTGAATAATTATCATTACTAATGGCTTGATAATGTGGCTGAAATTCTTTCATTCATTCTTTCTAATTGATTAATATGAATATTTGCTTTTTTGAGAAGAAAAAGAGCAAATGCGTATGATAATCATCAACATCATTCCATTGTGTTTATCATTCGAAAAATAAATAATAGAAAAAAAAACCATTACACCCATCAAATTGATTGTTTTTTTTTAATTGTCAAATACGATTGATTTTCAATTATGCATTTTAAGTATATATTCGTTTTGTTTTAAGCTTCAACACTTAACCACAAAAAAACGACGTTGATATCATTGCAACACGTTTTAAAATCTAAAAATAGTTCATCATCATCATCATTCATTGAACTAAAGTTATCAATACTGTTTTTATTAACTCTTTTTCAAACAAATTCTTTGTTTGTTTCCTGAATAGAAACAACACAATCACACACCAACACATACAAAATAACAATAATTATTGAAAATCTTTTTGCAACAATAATCAATTGTTAGTACAATCTTATTTAAAAAAAAAAAATTTTCTTTGGAATAAATTTCAAATTGCAATTCTTCGTAATCTTTTTGTTCTTAACACTTGATTGATAAATGTTTACCAAAAACACAGCAACAACAACAACTTAAGAAATTTTGTTTTGTTTGGTTTTTCACTTAACAGCTTTTTTTCAACATTTTGAATAAATGATGATGTCTGAAATATATTGATCTATGTAATTCTTTTTTTTTTCTCGAATCAATATTCTATTTTGGTACGATTTTCATTATACGAATAGGGAACAAGGGATTTTACATAAATGTTGATTGTTTTTGTTTTGTTTTGTTTTGTTTCGTTTCGTTTTTGTTGAAAAAATGAAAACGCCAAGAGAATTGAAATAAAAGAATTCAATGAAATATTTTTTCTTTTTTTGATATTTTGCAGAATATACATCCCAGTTATTTATCTCTTATGTAAATAAATATATTGCATGCGTATTGTTGTTTGTCGTTTAATGTTCTCACAACTGGGCGATAATCCACAATAACATAAAAAAGTAAAACACTGACTGGCTGGCTGGCTGAGACGAAACACTTTTTTCAATTTCAATGCGCATGCTCGAAAAATGGATGGCTTGCATTATGAATTTATAAGGGTCTTTTGATTTTTACATAAACAAATGGCTGGCTTGCATTGGACTTGGCCTTCGTCTACTGGAGTAGACGAAGCAAATGGCCAATGGCTTGCAATGCTAGTAAATAAATAAATAATGCATATGGATATTGTGTTTTTATGTCAATTTTCAACTTTCAATCATGAATCTATTCATCATAAAATGAAAAATAATGAATGATGATAATAATCAGAAAAAAAATGAAATGATAATAATGGTTAATGCCAGTAAACAAAAAATTCATTGTGTTATGTGTTATATTGATCAAATTCATTATCACAGTAGAGCGATTTTTCTTCGTTGATGAATGATGATATATTTCTATTGTATCCCAAAAAATGAAAAAACAAACCGGAAAAATCAGATTTTTGGATCGAAATTCTAATCGAGTTTTTCTTTTTGCTTTTTTCAATTACAACAATCATATGATGAAATGAATACATGAAAACAAAAAACACTGTAGCAATAAGAAAATATCAAATAAAAATCTTCAATACCCACATCATCATCATTATTCTCCTTCTTTGTCAATCGTATTCTTTATTAATTACTTTCTTTTACGATATCAAGAAAACTTATTTAATTTGTCCAAAAAAAACAAAAACAAAATTTCCAAGAAATCAAAAGAAGGATTCATTTCATTCTTTTTAACGAATAAAATCTTTTTCATTTCTTATTTCCTAATAAATAATATCGATTCTTTCATTCAATTAAGTAGGACCAATATGATTATTATTAGTTGAACAAAAACAAAAAAATTCTAAAAAAAACTATACAAACATACATATTTATAACGACTTTCAGCCTTTTTTTTCTAGAAATTGTTCTGTTCTTCTTCTTCTTTTTTCATTGTCCGGAAATTGTTCATCTATTCTGCTTGTCCTTTCGTTTTATTTACTCGTTCTTATTGTTATTTTTTGTTTTTCTTCCTTGCATAAAAGAAAAAACAAACAAAAACAATAATCATTATTTCATCATTGTCGATGTTAGAAATGAATATTATGCAATGCTATATAATTATAAATATGATGTATTTAATAATGTGATCATCATTATAATAATCTTCATCATCATCATTATCATCGATGATCAATTGATTATCGTCATCATTATTGTTACTATTTAATATTATTATTATTATTATTATTATTATTATTATTTTCGTCATCATCATCATCGATTTTGTTTCTTTTTTTAAAAAATTCAATATATATAGATAGGCAGGATATATAAGTTTGCACATGCGAATCTTTTTTTTTCTGGTCTTACATTCATATGATTCATTTCATTTGTTTTTTTTGATATAATATTCTTCATTCAAATTCTTTATTATCGTATACAATCTCACTATACATAATACCCACATGCACACACACATTCGAAAAACTGATGTGCGCTTGTTTATATCAAATTCAAAAAGATAAATGCATCAACATCCAAACATAGACATATATATGAAATAACTAACCACCACTAGTATCAAGAAAATATATTTTTTTGAACTAATCAATCAGTTAGTGAACATACAGAATGTGTGTGTGTGTTTATATAACAGGGATATACAGAAATGATCAACAGAACGAACGAAAGAAAAAACGCGCGATTCACAAAAATAAAATAATAAAATTCTCTTCAATGTTTAAAAGAATTAGGAGAAGAAAAAAAAAACCTAAAACTGAATCATTTTTATGTTGGCTATTGACAAACACAGACAATACCAACAGTTAGATAAATTTATATGAAAATTGAACTGAATTTATTCTTTGTTTGTTTATTTATCTGGGTTTTCACAATATAATAATATAATCAAATGACAATATTCAAATGTTTATAAATGAAACTGTCAACTATTCATTTATATGTGTTTGATATTAGTTTATGTCTGTGTTGTTTTTTTTTGCAATTCAAATACAAATTGAAAGAATAATTTTATTAAAATTCATATTATTATCATATAAATGTAGTAGTATGAATTATTCAGGCTATTATTTCGTCATAAATATTTTCGCGTTGCTACTGAATTTAATTATATCAGTTTTTTTTTCTCAAAAAAAGTTCAACTATTTTACAGAATTAAAAATTCAATGGTTGACCTAACTACCAACCGACCGTCGAAAAAATGTTTATTTTTTTCTTGCGAAACAAATCTGATTTTATAATGTAATCTGTACAACATCAACGATGATAATTCAAACTTATATTCAAGAAAAAAATGCAATGCATCAAGTTTTTCGTTCTGTAATTCTTTATAAAACACTAGAATTAAAATTTACGGAGATTAATAATGAAAAAAAGTATATGTCAATGATACATTGTGAATAAGTTTTTTATTATTGTTTTGATGAAAGCGAATGTTGTTTATTTATTTATCCATACTTTTCTTATTAAAAAAAAGTTGAACATTTTTACAAAGAATCAAAGATTGAATTACGTTGACGATAATCGTGTTATTGTGCAAACTTTTTTGATTTTTTTAAAAGGAAAAAAAATAACTTTAACAAGAAAAAAAATCGTTCAACCGATCAACAATCAGTATGTCATTATGATTATATTTTATTTATTTATTTTTCTTATTCTTAAAGCTTGGATGAAAAAGTTTTCGCTGCTACTTTATTCTTTTTACTTGTTTTTTGTTTTGTCTATCTATCTATGGATATATTTTTTTGTTGCAGCTTTCAACTAATTTTCCGTTTTCCATTAACAATATAAGTAGATGTGTGCTTTCTTTTTACTTTGATTTTTTTTTCATTTCCTGAAGTTTAAGAGAAAGTAAATCATTTTTAAATTTAAAATATTATCCCCTAAATTATCACAAATTTTTGGCCATTTTAAAAAACATTTTTTTTTCGTAGTTTAAAATGAGTTTTGTCTCTTTCAATAGTGAAAAGAAAAATTAGATCAAAATTTAATGAATCGATTTTTTTCTCATTACAAAATCATCATTATTCGATTAGATGATGATGATGATGATGATGTTAATCACTTATGATCTTTGAATTTTGTTTTCTAGGGAATTTCTTTTGAAATTTATACCAACAGATTTTTTCTTTTTCTATTTTTGGTTGATTTTGAAACACATTTTGTCAGAAAAATACTGCATTGCAGTGTTGGATAAAAATTTAAATAATACCCGCATATAATCACAGAAATGTAGCTGACAATCCATTTAATTAGAAAAGAAATTTTCAACAAATATTTCAAACAGCAATTTCAAAATGTTATTTTTTTCAAATTACAAAAAAAAAGTAAACAAACATTTGACATTCGATTCCAAACCTTAGAAATAACAGTGTCCGAGAAAAAAATGAAATGTTTTTATCACTATCAAAACAGACAAACACACATCAATGAATCATAGCAACAATAGTGATGATGATTCTTAAACAATAAAAATAATAATAATGATTATTGATCGAGAATCATCATCATCAATTTTTCATTGGACAAGTATTGCTTTTTGGATGAATTGAATTCGAATACCAATATTTCTATGTTTCTCTTTCGGGAAGAAAAAAACATTTTACGTTTTTCTTTTGTTAAATCAATTATTCTGATTGTGTCATCAGTACAGAATGAAACAAAAAACGATTTCTAATGTTTTTTTTTGTTTTGTTTTATTATTGCAACTAATTCTATCTATTTATAAAGTAGTTTCGAATCGATTCTTATTTTTTGATTGTTATTTGATGTAATATTGATAAAGATTCCAATTGAAATTCCTTATTTTGTCTTTCGATTGAAATCAATATCAATTGTTCATTTTTATGTTATTATCACTTAAGAATTTTATAGAAAAAAAAATCATAAAAAATTTATCCAATAAAATGATTACTTTTTTTCATCAATTTTCAAGGTTAGATCATAGATTTTCTACTTTTTTCCTATATAATAAAGATGCATGGTTACGGTTATTTCTTTTCACTATCATCATCCTCAAACTTATTTCCGATTTTTTTTTTGTTTTGATTATTTTTAGCAACAGAATTATGTTTTTCTTGTGCAAAATTTTCTGATTAATAATTGGAGTAAAAAAAATTATGATAATCTTTTCTTTTTTGCTCCTCTTCAATCATTAGAAAAACATGTTTTCATGATTGATTTTGTTTTTTTCTCTTTACAACCTTAATGTAGGCAGCCAAAAAAAAAATTGGATTATCATAATGGCTATTTACGTGATTGATTATAATAATAGATGAAACAAATGAAAATTGATGGATGAAAAATTATTACATCCGATAACATCATATTTATTCTAATATAATAAATATGTTATAATGAAATTAAACCAAAATATAAATACAACAGCCATTAAGGCAACAGAAACAACTAAAACCGAAACAAATAATATTATTCCATTTATGACACCTGATGGATTTTATTCAGCAATAATATTTGAAACAATGAAACATTCAACACCAATTGCAACAATCTATTTACAACAACAAACTCATCAATTTACATTGCCATGGATAACAATGGCTAACAATATAACAACAAATTCTTATTTAACATCTTTATCCGATTATAGTCATACAACTGTTAATAATCCAATCAATATTGTTGATAATGTTTTGGATATTAGAAAACAACAACAATCTTATCATCATCATCATCATCATTATTATCATTATCAACAATCATTATCACCATCAACTATGGCCTTTTATACTGCTGCCGTTTCATTATCGTCACCACCCTCGTCATCCTCACCATCATCATCATCATCATCATCGCCATCCACTTCATCATCATCATCATCTTCATCAACATTATCTTCAACATCGGCATCATCATCATCATCAACATCATCATTGTCTTCGGCAACAATCAATTATTCAAGTACATCACCTTATTCATTATCTTATTCTCCATATTTTACATCATCACCAATTGTCAGTAATGCATATAACTATGATGATGGTTTGTATTATTTTTTTCATTTCTATTGTCATTTTATCTATTTCTATTCCCATTTCCTTTTCTTATCTATTGTTTTTTGGTTGTCTGGTTTGTTTATGTTGATGGTCTGTGTATGTGTTGAAATTTAACAACGGAAATTCATGTCAAAAGCCAAGAATAAAACCTGAAAAACTTTTTTTGTGTCTGATTTTGTTTGTTTTCTCTATCTTCGGTTTGTATGTCGTTATTTTAATCAATCCAATACGCACACACTTCAAATTTAGGTAAAGAAAAAACAACAACAAAAACTCAATTTACACGATCAACATTAGTTAAAAAATGATGATAATGTTTATCATCAATCATCGATGACGATTGCACAATAGGCTTTAACACATTGAATTTTCATTAAAATAATTATAATAATAAATTTAATAATCCAAAAAAATATTGAACAAAGAAGAAATTTACGATAATAAGAATGGACATTAATTTTTTTTCAACATTATTCAATAATTGAATTATATTCTCTAATCAAACACACACACACACAAACATTCACATTTTTTGCTTAATATTTGCGGAAGTTTGTTTTAAATGATATGGATATGGGGAAAATGAAAAGTTCATTCAAATTAAAATTGATTTTCTTTTTCATGAAGTATATAGTGGGAAAAAAAGAGATGATTGTTAGTGTAGAGAAAAGAATTTTTTGCCCCAATTTCATTGGATTGACGACCGAAAAACAGATCGAAATTCATGGAATTTTTTTTAATTAAATAATTTTCTTTCTTTCTCAATTCTTTCTCAATAAATGGATGATGTTGATGATGATAAGGCTGATTTGCGACGTATTGCAAATCACAGCAACAACAACAACAACAACAGAATCTAAATTGGAAATTGAAAATAATCTTGACAGAATTCTCACGTTTCATACGATTTCTATCTCTTGTTTTTCGTTTGTCAATTTTTTTCTTGTGAAAAATACCGAAATACCATCATCATTTTCAACATTTTCAACATCAAACATCATTTTGATAATCTAATTTTTTTTCATTCATTCAATTTGTAATTCAATTTTTATTTGAAAATTTTTTTTCTAATATTTTTTTCTTAATTTTCGCCTACTCATTATTATTATTATTATTATTATTCTTTGATTTAGAAAGTGAAAAAGAATTATTTCAACAATATCTACGAAATCAAGCATTGGAAACTCCTATACTGGTAACATTGATCATTGTTTATGCTGTATTGATATTTATTGGTGCATTTGGTAATGGTTTGGTTTGTTTGGCTGTTGCAAGAAATCCTCGTATGCGTACACCACAGAATTTATTCATTGTAAATTTAGCAATTTCCGATCTATTACTTTGCTTTTTTACCATACCATTTTCATTGTTTGAGATTGCAACAAAATTTTGGCCTTATGGTATGTATTTATTTGAAATTTTTGTTTTGTTTTTTGTTCTTGTTTTTCATATAATTCAATCAATGATATGACTATCATATAAAAGAGTATGGTTATTATTACAAATTAGATATGTTAAAAAAAATAAATATATAAATAACCGGATGATTTTTGACATATGTCATGATCAATATTTTATCAATACAGGAAAAAAAAGTAATAATAATTTTCATAAATTTCAATAATATATAAAAAAAAGAATATTGATGAGAGTATCAATGTATGGCATGTGGGTTGATTTAGTGTGTTTGAATTCTTTCATTCATATATGAATATTGTACCCAAAAAAAAGTACACTTGATCAAAACAAAATGATGGAATGCAACAAAAAATAACAACAACAGCAACAAATTTTCCATCGTCCTTTTCATACTTTTTTTTTAAAAAAATTCTATTTCGAATATAAAATAAATAAAGAATTTTTTTTCGCTGTCATCTTCTTTTCTTCGAATCGATATGTTTTATTTTGGTTATTATTATTTTTTGTTGTTGCTTTGTTTCGCTGGAACATCACCAAACAAAACAAAATAAAACAGAAAAAAATCCTTTAATATTCAATCAAAAATAAAACGAAATTGTGTCCAGATGTTTGTTAATAAGCGAACATTTTACTAAGAAAAAAGATTTTTTTTTGTAGATTCTCATTCTCAATTTAAATTTTTTTTTCGTTGAATTTTATTTCATTTTTTCCACAAAATAAATCATCGGCTTTTATTTGTGTTGTTTGTTGTTAACATTTATCCGATTGATATTGATTTTGCCTTTACTTTTTGATCTTTATTTTATTTTTTTCTTTTTGCATGCTTGTTTGTTCATGTGAATGTACCCGAATGTAGAGATCATGTTTGTCATATACACACAAACATATATACTCCTAAAAAGGAATTGAACAATTGTGATGGACAAATGTTCTTGTTTTTCTCTGATGGATTCCATAATAATAATTGTGCACTTGAAATGTATATTATTGAATGAATGAAAATAAATGAAACTCTATATAATAAGTTTTTGTTTTGTTTTTCATACATAATAATAATAATAATAATAATATCACGAAAGATTGTGCAAGAAACAAATGTCAAGGATTAGGATATTTCATCAAATATTATCAGGGAGAGAAGGAGGGGAAAAAACAATTTTTTGTTTTGTCAAGTGCAAACAAGAATTATACATATAAAATGTTTATAATAATAATCTTATTACGAATATTCCCGATTAGATATTATGTTCTTTTTTTATAACCGTTTTTTTATCGTTTTTTATTTCTATTTGCATCACTTACCACAAACATCTTTTTGAAATATTCGTACACACACACACACACAAACTTTGTATTGAATCAAAATCCTTATTTTTTTTCTCTTTTTTTTCTTTACTAATTCCTAAAAAATGTTTGCCAAAATCAAAACAAACAAACGTAAATCAGATATATTTTTAAATTTTTTCATTATTTTTTCAAGTGTAATTTTTCACATGGTTATAGATAATGTTTAAATTTAGATACAAATGTTGTAATTTTTATATAGATTTTTGCATGGACATTTCCTTCTTTTTGAATTTAGTTAGTTTTTTTTTATTATGAATATTCACTGCAAAAAACATGAATGATAAATTTGCATTCCGATTCTTTCTTTTTTTTATATGTTCGCGATATTTCAAATATGTTCTTTTCCGTTCTTTCCAGTCATGTACTCGAAAAATTTCCATCCATAATTTAAAATTTCACAATTTATTTAGATTTTTCCCAATTTGCACTGTATAATGAATGTGATTTGGTATTTGAAATCGATAGACTGCTGATGAAATACAAAATTTTCATGTATTCATTTTAGTTCAATTTGTAAGTTGAAAAAAACTTTTATTGAAAAAAATGAATGAATGTTTGTAATCGAAAATAACATTTTTTTTCGTAATATGAACCATAAAATTAGTTGAGAAAAGGCGGAAAAAATACCATCCATTCATAAATCTTTACTTTTTCAACATTATCATCATCATAAATCAAATTGATGACAAATAATAAATATACTTGAATATTTTATTGGAAAAAATTGTTCATTGATTCAAATTTACTCGATACAATATGTCTTTTGGGGAATTAAATTTTTACACTTGCATTCGATCATCAACTTTCTTTTGTTCATTCAGTTTAGTTTTTTTTTTCCTTTTCAACAAATCGATCCTGTTTTTCAATGAAATTTTTCCGGTTATATTCTGTCTTGATTTCAAATAATGATGAAATTTATTTTATTTTGAAAACAACTTTTTTTAGAAAAAAAATGTTTTAGAAGAATTTTGCAACGATGTTTTACATGGAATTACTAATTAATTAAATTTTCTTGTTAATTTTTTTTTTTTTTTGAAACAAGGTGTTACAATGTGTAAATTGGTACAGGCATTAGAAGGAACATCAATTTTTGTATCAACATTATCAATTATTGCAATAGCATTGGATCGTTATAATGTAATATTACGTTCAGTAAGTCCAGATCAACATCGTCGTACAACAGTGGTGCCAATTTTTTTGAAATTAATTCTAATCTGGATTATTGGAATCATATTATCAATGCCATTATTTTTAGTTCGTACAGTTGAATCACATTATATTGGTATGTGTTTTAAAGAAAATGAATTGAATCTTATGTTGTTTTTTTTGTTGATCTTTAATGTTTTTGTCATATTAATAATAACATTATATACTTTTCTCTTTTTTTTCTCTCACTCTTTTACCTTTTTTCCATACAATGTCATTATTTTTGTTCTTTGGTTGACATTAAATTTTGATTTCACACACACACATAATTCAAAGGAATGGGACCGATAAATACTATAAATTTTTGTATTGAAAAATGGCCAATTGAAAATGGTCGAGCTTATTATTCCGTATTATCAATGTTGATTCAATATGTTGGACCAATAATTATCGTATCGGTTGTTTATGCACGTCTTTGTATAAAATTAAGATCTCGTACATTACGTCGTACATCGACTACACAGCTTCCAAAATTACGTACACGATTACAACGTCGTACACGTAAAACAAATCTATTATTAATATCAATTGCATTGATTTTTTTCATTTCATGGTTACCATTAAATGTATTGAATATTGTGGCCGATTTTTTCTTTCCCGTTAGTGCATTTCGTATAACATTTGCAATTTGTCACATGTTTGGTAATTATATTTAGTTTATTTTTTTTTCAAAACAAAACCGGAAAACTATTCTAATTTATCACTATTAATGACCTTTTTGGTATTTTCTTTCTTTCTTTTCTCCATTCATCTTTAAATAATTGAAAAAAATCAAAGGCATGTCATCTGCATGTTCAAATCCATTCTTATATGGATGGTTAAATCAAACATTTCGTAATGAATTTAAAGAAATATTCAATTCATTTCAACGTTTATTTTGTCATCATTGTTATAAAAATCCAACAATGCAACGACATCAATTAACATCTGTTATTCGTGAATCTGATCATTCAATGTCATTCTCACCAAATCATCGTATAATTCATTATCAACCAAGTAATGGCCGTTGTACAATAACTGATTTTAGTCATATTAATAATACTCGTACAAATCCAATCAATAACAACAATAATAATACTAATAATATAAACAATACTAATATTGTAAATAATAATATGATAATTACTAAAGAAGATAATGATCGAAAAAATCCTTTTCTAACAAATGACAATAACAATAATATTTACCATCGATTAAATTTCAATCCATCAATAGCAACAGCAACAACAACAACAACAACGAATTTGAATGAAACAACCGATACAACACAAATCTATCAAACAAATAAACATGAAGATGAATCGAATGGTTTTCAAAAACAAAAACAACAATCAATACAGAAAAAACAATCAGATGGTCAAATAAGAATTAATTATCCAATAAAATTGGATAATGAAAATCAATACCAGAATACAAATACGAATAATAACAATCAAATTAATTTTAATCGAAATGCACATTGCAAATTTAAACGATTATCATTAGTTGATTCAAGAAAATGTCGAAGAAAAAGAAATTCAATCGATCAAACATCACCATCACCATCATCATTAACATTACAATTACAACAAAAACATCAACAACAAATCAATCAACAAAATTCAACCTTTAAAAATCGTATTGAAAATTATCATAATGAATTAAAATATTATGATAGAAAAACGAATATTAATAAGAATAATATTGATGATAATGATATTGGTGGTGGTGGTAATAGTGGGGGTGATAGTAGACATTCGCACCAGAATCAACAACAACAACAACAACAACAACATAAAAAATAAATATTTCAACAACAAAACAAAGAACAAAAACAAAATTCTAGCTAAAGAATTAATAATATTTTTGCTTGAATAATTTGCTTGGTTCGCAGAAAAAAAAACAACAAACAAACAAACAAACAAAATATGTGGTTGTTATTTTCAGCATCCAAATCGATAATATAACCACATGCAAATAATAACAACAACAATAAAATAATAATAAAAAACCAACCGGAAAAATATAATAAAAAATGTGGACCATCATATTCTTCTTTTTTTTACTTTCTATCTCGTTTCACGAAAAAAACAAACAAAACAAAAACAAAAACAAACAAAAAACAAATTCAAATTAACAATTTAAGTATAAATGATTAGGTGATAATCATATATTGTATATATCATCATTATTTTATGTTATATAATAATTCTATGGTGAATAAATGTGAAATTGTTTTGTTTTTGTTGTTTTTTTTGGGTTATTTCATTTCACAAAAAAAAAATTCGAACCACATTTTTTTTGTTTTGTTGAATTTTATTATCATTCTATATTTGTTATCATTATTGTTTTACATTTATTATTATTATTATTATTGTTAGCTGGATCATTCGTTTTGTTCGTGTTTGTAATCTTGTTGTTGTTGTTGTTGTTGTTGCCTAGAATAGAATTGTCTTTACTTTCGGTGCAAAAATACATCGGACTTACTTAAACACACAAACACACGGATATTATTACCATCATTTTGTTGTGCGTGTAAATCTTTCCAACAACAAAAAAAAATTAATTCAACTCATATTAAAAATTATTATCCGGATTCATTATCACACACATTGTATATATCATTCAACATTGTAATAAAATAAAATTGATATCATTGTAGTTGTTGATGATCATTATCATTACCATAATGATAATATCATTCAATCAGATTATGAACAAACAAAACACCATTATTATTATGTAATTTTTTTTTTGTTTCTCTCATAGACCTTTATCGTGATCATCATCATTATGCGAATTTCATTTCATTCATTGTATCAATTAATGGGAAAAAAATCTAATGATTTTTTTTTGTTTAAAATGAGTTTTCAACAAACAAACAAAAAAAACGATTCCAATTAACAAATAATTAATTTCAAATAGCCATATTTCTTCATCATTTTTCATTTTTGTTTGACAAAAATAATGAAATTTTCTCCAAAGAATTATTCAACATTATGTGATACATACATACATCATCATCATCACATTTTAGATTAAAACAATGACATGATTTTTGTTTTCTCATTCTGTTTTTTTTTTGGATGCCAAACCTGATTTGAATAATAAACAACCGAATTACATCATCCATATATTGACTTTCAATTGAAATTAAAAGTCAAACAAAACAAAATGTATTTAAGACAAAAGAATTTAACCAATATTATCAATGAGAATTTTGTAAAAAAATGAAATTTAATTTCAAATAAATTAAAGTAAAAATCAATGGTTTTAATTTTCAAACAAATTCAAAAAGGAAAACTAAAATCCAAAAACATTTGTTTCAGGAATGATTTCACATGACTGTTGTTTTTATCCAACATTTGTTAGGTTGACATTATCAAATTATTCATGAATCCTGATAACATTTTATCGTTTCGAATGTTTATTATTATTATTTCATGTTCTTCATTTCATCAAATGATCGATTTGAAAATATTCAATTCGAATCATTATTGTTCAATGATTTAGAAAATCAATTACCATTTTTTTCTACCATTACGACAATAAACATTTAAAAAAATCATTGCATCATAAGTCGATACAATTGTTGACTAAAACAGAAATTCTCAACATGTTCGTATCGAAATTTTTCTTTTTCTTTTTCACCTGCTGTGACTGACACATGAAAAAAAATCGAAATTGAAACTCCGATTCGTGATTTCGAATTCATTTCGATGATAATGGTAAACATGGCCACATGTCTTTTGACATTATCTATAAGTGAATAAAAGAAACAAAAACAAAATGTCTGACGTTGCATATATTATTGACAAGTGATGCTTGTAAAAAAAATAAAATTATTCAACAACAAAAAAATGAATGGCAGTGAAGATAACATTGCTAAAAATATAAAATTCATTCAATTCCTAAATTTAAATATACAAACAAGCAATATTATTCCTGAACTTTATAACATACGCTTTAATTTCAATGGTCATTTATAATTTATCATCATTTTTATTAATCGGAAATCATATAAGTACAAATTTATAAGTTTGATTGAATTTATGTTGTATTTTTTTCCGTAGAAATATTTTCGAAATCATTGTGTATGTGCAAGACAAAGAAATTTTCCCAGGAAATGTTGTTCCATTCGATTCATTGTGGATATGAGTAAATTAATTTTTCGCGCTATTTATAATCAAACACAAATATCATTTACATTATTGGTATATAATTTTTTTAATTCCAAGTATTTTATAGTTGATATTTGTTTTGTTTATTATTCTTTTATTATCAGCCCTTCATTCGTATTCATTGGAAATTATTTTGTACAGCTGTTGAATGTTGTCAACAAAGGCGTGTCAAAAAATCGAATAGAAAAATGTTTCTTTTCAAACCATCGAATGAAGGTAAAAATAATTATGATCCAGCCAAATCTAAATATGATATGGTCAATGACGCCTGTTGGAAAGCAAACGAAAATGTACCTTTTATTGCTTTAGCTAAAACATTCGCAGCAATTGAAGATGTTAGCGGTCGTTTGAAAAGTATTGAAATTATGAGTAATTATGTATCATCAGTTATGGCTTTATCAAACAACGATTTAGTTAAATCAATATATCTTTGTCTGAACAAAGTTGCACCTGATTATGAAGGCATTGAACTTGGTAAGAAAAATATTATATTTACACAAAAAAAATCATTTTTTCAACTCCTATTTACATAAGGTATTGGAACATCAATATTAATGAAAGCATTATCAGAAGCTACTGGCCGTAATATGGCTCAGCTGAAAAAACAGCTAAATGACATTGGAGACATTGGTTCTTGTGCTGAAATTTCCAAAACGAATCAACGATTGTTGATTCAACCAAAACCACTTACAGTTCAACATGTATTCGATACATTCAAATCGATTGCTATAATGACCGGTCGTAATGTCATGTCAAACAAAGTGGAAAAAATTAAAAGTTTAATCACTTGTTCACAACCTATTGAATCACGCTATATTATGCGTGCATTATCCGGAAAAATGCGTATTGGACTTGGTGAAAAATCATTAATAACAGCAATAGCACAGGCATATATGATTTATAAAAATCCCGATTACAGAACACAACTTGATACGGAACGATTCAAAGAAAAACTTAACAAAAATGTTTCACTTTTACAAACAGCATTCAATGAATGTCCTAATTATGATAAATTAATTCCGGCCTTGTTAGAAAATGGTTTCGATGACCTTTCCAAATCATGTTACCTGATACCCGGTATACCACTTAAACCTATGTTAGCACATCCGACCAAAGGAGTCCATGAAGTATTGAAACGATTAGAAGGATTAGAATTCACATGTGAATATAAATACGATGGTGAACGGGCGCAAATTCATTTGGATGATCAGGGTAAAATCTACATCTATAGCCGTAATCAAGAAAACAATACTGGAAAATATCCTGATATTGTTAAATTAATGCCAGATGTTATAAAATCCGAAGTAAAAAGTTTCATCATTGATTGTGAAGCAGTGGCCTACGATGTTGTAAATGAACAAATTCTTCCATTTCAAGTGTTGAGCACGAGAAAACGTAAAAACGTGGAAGAATCTGATATTAAAGTTCATATTTGTCTTTTTGCATTTGATCTTATTTATCTAAATGGCGAATCTTTAGTTAAAAGATCACTATATGAACGACGACAATTTCTTCAGGAAAATTTCGAATTTATAAAGGGCAGATTTATGCAGGCGGCGAGTAAAGATTTAGATGAAATTGATGCTATTCAAGAATTTTTGGATGAATCCATCAAGAATAAATGCGAAGGATTGATGGTGAAAACACTGCATAAAGATGCAAGCTATGAAATTGCCAAGCGTTCATTTAAATGGCTTAAACTTAAGAAAGATTATTTAGAAGGCATTGGTGATACGTTGGATTTAATACCGATCGGAGCATATTATGGACGCGGAAAAAGAACCGGCGTTTATGGTGGTTTTCTTCTTGCCTGTTATGATGATAAGAATGATGAGTTTCAAAGTATTTGTAAAATCGGTACCGGATTTTCCGATGAAGATTTGACCACCTTATCTACATCGTTAAAAGATTTAAGCATATCAAAGCCAAAGTCTTATTATAATGTTGATGAAACATTGAAAGCTGATGTTTGGTTTGAAGCAAATCAAGTATGGGAGATTAAATGTGCCGATTTATCTATTTCGCCTGTTTATAAAGCTGCTATCGGTATTGTTGATTCTCATAAAGGAATATCATTACGTTTTCCCCGATTTATCAAAGTCCGTGATGATAAAAAGCCTGAAAATGGTACTACAGCTACTCAAGTAGCCGAAATGTATTTGAATCAGGAAAATCAAATGAATTCGGCTGCTAATGAAAATAATAATGATGACGATGATGATGATGGTGATGGAAGACAAAATGAAAGTAATTCAAAATCCGAATCTGATAATTTCTATTAGAAAATTATTCGAACGTTTTGTAAAATTCTGTTACATTCTATATGAATAAACTTCTCTCTGTTGCACACTGTTCACGTGCTCTAAATTTTTTGTTCCATTCGATTCGTGATTTTCTATTAAATTATTTTTATTTTTTATTTTAATTAATTTCAATTTATTTCTGTTATTTGTTTGGATATTTTTACTCAAAAAAATGCCATCCGATAATAAAAAACGACGTGAAGCAAAGAAAAAAGAATTGGCCAAAAGTAAACATACTAATAAAAAAGATTCGACCAAAGAACAATCAAATGAAAATGGTTCTTCATCCAATTTCTTACTGATCAATGGTGATAACAATAATCTACCTCTCACCGAAGAGGAAGAATTGGTCAAAAAACTTGAACATGATATGAAATTGAATGCTGAAGCTCGTTCATGTACCGGTGTATTGGGTATTCATCCTCGTTCTCGTGATATTAAGATTGATAATTTTTCCATAACTTTTCATGGTGTTGAACTGTTGTCTGATACTAAAGTTGAATTGAATTGTGGACGGCGATATGGTTTGATTGGAGCAAATGGATGTGGAAAATCTACATTTTTATCATGTCTTGGACGACGTGAAGTGCCCATTCAAGATCATATAGATATTTATTATCTAACACGCGAAATACCACCATCCGAAATGACCGCACTTCAAGCTGTACTTAACGTTGATCAAGAACGAACACGATTAGAAGCTTTAGCCGAAGAATTGGCTCAATATGATGATGAAGAAAGTCAAGAACAATTGCTCGATATTTATGATCGTCTTGACGAAATCGATGCGGACAAAGCAAAAGCTAAAGCCGCTTATATTTTACGAGGTCTTGGATTCGATAAGCATATGCAAGAAAAAAAATGCAAAGACTTTTCTGGTGGATGGCGTATGAGAATCGCTTTGGCCCGTGCTCTATATGTTAAGCCTCATTTATTGCTTTTGGATGAACCAACTAATCATCTTGATCTAGATGCATGTGTATGGCTTGAAGAAGAACTGAAAACCTATAAACGAATTTTGGTGATTGTTTCGCATTCACAAGATTTCCTAAATGGGGTTTGCACCAATATTATTCATTTGGATAAAAGTAAATTGAACTATTATACTGGCAACTATGATGCATTTGTTAAAACTCGTCTTGAATTGCTCGAGAATCAAATGAAGCGATATAATTGGGAACAAGCACAAATCGCCCACATGAAAGTAAGTATAAGATTAGTGTTTCTCCTTATCCATCATTATTATTTCTAATGAATAATAAAAATTTTTTGTTCCATAGGATTATATTGCTCGTTTCGGTCATGGTAGTGCTAAATTAGCTCGACAAGCACAAAGTAAAGAAAAAACATTAGGAAAAATGATGGCCAGTGGATTAACAGAGCGAGTTACCAATGATAAGAATGTTTCATTCTTTTTCCCATCTTGTGGTACGATTCCACCGCCTGTTATCATGGTACAAAATGTTTCTTTTCGATATAGTGACAGTACCCCTTGGATCTATAAAAATCTTGACTTTGGTATCGATCTGGATTCTCGTTTGGCTTTGGTCGGTCCGAATGGTGCCGGAAAATCTACATTGTTGAAGTTGTTGTGCGGAGAATTAGTACCAACTGAAGGACTAGTGCGGACGCATTCACATTTGAAATTTGCTCGTTATCATCAACATTTGCATGAACAACTTGAACTAGATATTTCAGCTTTAGAATATATGATGAAAAGCTTTCCTGAAGTCAAGGAAAAAGAAGAGATGCGTAAAATTATTGGCCGCTATGGTTTAACTGGCCGACAACAGATTTGTCCCATTCGACAATTATCTGATGGACAACGATGTCGAGTTGTATTCGCTTGGTTGGCATGGCAAGTTCCTCATCTTTTACTTCTGGACGAACCGACCAATCATTTAGATATGGAAACCATAGATGCTTTGGCTGATGCTATCAATGATTTTGAAGGTGGAATGGTATTGGTCAGTCACGATTTCCGTCTAATCAGTCAGGTATATTTTCAATTCACATTATAACCTTCATAACTAATTTCTATATTTTATTTTTTAAACCAAAAAAAAGGTGGCCGAAGAAATTTGGATCTGTGAAAATGCAACGGTTACCAAATGGAGTTCAACCATACAAGAATATAAAGAAGTTTTGCGTGAAAAAGTATTGAAAAATAATCAAAAAGATTAAACGCATGAAAAATCAATTATCTTTATTAGGCTATATATTTATTGATATGTCATTAATTTTATTATTAATTAATTAATTATTATCAATTTATCAGATTATGGTTGGTATTTAATTTTGTTTGTTTTTGAATTGTTTATTTGTTGAAAACAATAAAATAAAACAATAACATCATTATGATATCATTTATTATATAGACTTACAGACAAAACATTCGTTTGTATTAATCACGGTTAATGATGTATGTCGTCATCAACGATCGATATGCACCAATCTACGATGAACACGTAATCATTCATCAATCGAATTTATAAATTTTTCAATAAATTTTGCATTCAAATCGAACTGTTAAGTTAGTGTTGTTGTTTTTTTCTTCATTATTTTGGTTTGTTGATCCTATATTGTGCATTTAAAGAAGCATTATGATTTCGATTAATTCTTTCGTTGTATTATTAATTACATTATTCGTATTGCCAACAAAAATTGTTTATTCTCAAGAAGATGAACTAATAGTTGCTAAAATTTCCTATTGGAATTTGAAAAAAGTATTGAAATTTTTGTTGAAATTTTCCAATAAAAATATTTTTCCCATTGAATATAGGTTGTTAACAATTTTAAAGCTGTTATTGTTAAATTTGATGAAAGCTATTCGGTGGATCCGGAAAAAGATGCAGTGTTTAAAACACTTGCAGAGGAATTACGTTCCAGTATGGATATATTCGTTGGACATCTTGTCATACCATATCCAGGTAATGATGGTGAATTGGCAGAAGAAGAAAAACTAGCCAAACAGTATAATATTACTAGTCATGAAGATATGCCTGTCATATTTCTGTATCGACAGAATAATTTCGAAAATCAAATACGTTTTAATGAAAAAAAATTCGATTCATATTCATTACGTGATTTTATTCGAACCAATGTTCCTGGATTATCATTACAATTAGATTCTTATATTCCAGAGTTGGAAAATCTTGTCAAAGATTTTATTACGGATAAATCACCTGAAAAACGTAAAAAAATATTGAAAGAAACCGAAAAACAGGTGAATGGTATGAATGATAATAAAAAAGAATCGGCAAAAATTTATGTTAAAATAATGAAACGAATTCTTGAACGTGGAGATATATTTATTGAAAGTGAATTTGAACGAATTCGTAACCTGATGAATAGAAAATTATCCCAAACAAAAAAAAATATTCTAAAAAGTCATTTGAATATTGTGTACGCTTTTCGTTCATTAAACACAATGAATATTAGAAAAGATGAATTGTAAAATTTACAACAAAAAAAATGAACAATTTATTGAATAAAACTAAAAAAGAATTTCTTTATTTTCTGTTTTTTTTATTTGAACTAATAAGACAATTGTAATAATTTTGAAAAAAAGTTTTATCAATTTAAATTAGTAAACGGAAAATCAAACAGGAAAAGTAAAGTAATTTACTATTGTACGATGATAGATTTGAAAAATTAAAAAATTAATGCCATTTTTTCAGAAAAAAAATATTTGACCATTCATTTCACTTCATTATGGTCATATTGGCCACGTATTTTTCTTTGTTAATTCAATTAGATTTAGGTGTTGTGAATTATCATTTTATATGGTAGTGATAGTTTCATTCACATTTAGAATTTTATAATAATAATAACAACAATATTCATAATGAATAACATTTGAATGACATTTGTATCGCATTGATGGGACAAGGAAAAGAGATATGCATTTGTATGTTTGTTTGTTTTTTTGGTAGTTTTGATTTGGTGGAACCAATAAAAATGTTGACTTTTTTTTGAAAAAAAATTAGAGGTAACAAAATATCAACGATAATTGATTGATTGATTGATTGATTTTTGAGTTGGAAATTGAAGCAAGAAAGAACGTTGCAAATTTGACAATTTTTTTGTTCATCATTCAGAAAAAATATGAAAATTGTGACTTATTTCTCTTTTTCTATATTTTGTGTTGACTTTTTTGAGTATCTTCGATATACATTATTACAAGCTCTAAAAATTGGAAAAAGATTATTTTTCAGTGATTTTTTTTTTGAAAATTATCTTGAGAATTTGTCATCATTTACAATTATTTTCTAAAATAAAATGATGATGATGATGTTTATCCATTTATTTAATTATCAGTTGTTTTTTTCTTATCACAGTTCGTATGTTAGATGAATTTTTGTGATTTCAAATATATTTTTTTTTTCGTTTCGCAACGATTAAACAATATGTTTCGTTTGAAATACAATCACTTTGTATTTAATTGTTTGTTTCGAAATTATTTTTCAATTGTGCTTGCTGAAGGGGTGTGTGGATGAAAGAAAAAATTATGATTTTATAATTTATTGAACAACAAAAGTGGTTGAAAAAAAAACTAGGCTTGAGATTCAGATTTCAATAAGAAAAAAAATGGACTTCATAATGATGATAATTAATCAAATATCTGGGATGAACTGAATTTTTCTTTTCCTTTCGTTGTGAAATGTGAATTAAATTGAATTTTTGTGTTGTTGTATGTCGAAGATCACAATCGAGTCGGTTGGTTTATTTTAAAATTTTATTTAATGAAATGATTTCGTTACGTCATTGTTTATCGTATGAAGGAATGTGTGTCAGATATATCAAGGTAATAGTTAGTGATGATGGTTATAATTATTAATTTCGTTGATAAGAATTTAAAATAATTGATTCATAATAATGATGATGATGGATAATTTTGAATGTTAATTAATGATGAAAATCTAAGATTTGATTGCTGATTGATCAGTTTTTTTTAAATCGTATTAGTATTTGAATGATGTAGCCACGAAAATCAAAGGCAATCGACATTGTTATTTGGTTGGTTAAAGATATTTTGTTTGACAATTGTTTTTATTGCCGTAATTTTGTTGGTTCAGCGGCAACTTTGATATCACAGATGATGTTTCATTATTATTTATTTATAATATATTATGATTTGCTTTCATTTTCGGATCAAATGAATTAAGTTTCGAAATTTTGCTTTTTTTTGAAATTCAGATTATAAAGATGGCCACTGGAATACTCATCAGGAATTTAAGTTTTTGTTCCTATGAGATAATTTACATTGTTTTTTTCTCACTATTTCTCAAAGGATGATTTTTTTTTGTTCTTGATCACAGTACTCGTTTGTAATTTCCTACAAGATGTTATAATTATGAATTAATTTGATGATTAGAATGACGAGCAAGAAAAATATAAAAGATCAATGAATACAATGACTATTTTTCTGTTCTAAAATTGTTCGATGATAAGTTGTTTGCGGAAGAAATCCGGTGACTATTACTTCTGGTATTTTATTAGTAGGTATTGGTTGCCAATTACGTTTTAATGGTATTGAAACAGCATTACGAAAACTGCGTTGTGCATATGGATTAGCCAAATCAAAATTGGTGAAAGATTCATTAAAAATCGATGAATTATAATTATATTTAGTGAATATTTCGCTCAACTGTATACAACAAGAAGGAAAATGAAAAGAATGAAGAGATCCACCACGCAATCGAGCCATTGCAATAATATCTCTATCGGTTGTTTCATAACCAATGACAGTAAGATTGTTAAGATTTCGGCAACGCCAACAAAGCATGATTAAAACGTTTGGTGTAACAACTTTTAAATGATTTTTAGGACTATTCAAATGATCGATCAATGTCAACGATTCAAGAGTATTCATTTGAGCTCGACTAAGTATTTCAAGCATATTACAAAGTATTGTCGATGAATTTTCATCCTTAAATTCAAGATAATATGCTTTAAAATGTTTGAGAGGCATTTCGGTATTCAATAATGAATCGATGATAATTTGAAAATTATTGCTCTCAGTATGCAACAGATTGAGATTCACACTTAGATTTGGCAGAATTGTCACAATTCGTGACCAGGCTGATGACGAGATACCAGGATGATTACGATTAAAACGATGTACGTTGATTGATAATGATTGAAGTGTATCAAGTTTGCTTAAAATACTGATTACTTTTGTATTGAGCACATCAAAATCTAATGATAAATGATTTAATGAATGGAATTTTTCAAGATGTTCAAGCATTGTGATTTGTTGCGGCATATATCGAACAATATCGCCTTTGATTGAACTTAAATGTAGACATTGTAATTTTTGATGTACACCAGTTTTAAAAAATTGTGCTAAAAAAGCATCACTTGAATGAATAAGTTCATGTAAATCACCAAACGATACATGTTCCAATTGATTACATTTAGAAAATAGAAAACGAATTGCTTCAGTCAGACCAGAATAAAGTGACATAAAACGTTGATCGGAAGCGCACCGCACTAATGTAGTCACAGGAATAATTGAAAAATATTTAAGATTACGACAATTGGCATAAAAATTCTGACGATTATCATTCAATTCATATATAGCAACTTCATTTTCAGATAAAAATTTGATTATCTTGATCAAATCTAATACGTTATGTGACGAATTTGGATCGAAATAAAATGTAATGCCATTCAAAAAACGTGAACATTTTTGTATGAATAATTTTAGCTGTTCATTGAAATTTTTTCGATTTGGTTTACGATTATTTAAATTATCATTACTTAATTTCATGTAGGTTAGATTATTAATATGTTGCTGATAAAGGTATGAATCTTGCAGTCGAAATGTATTAAATCCATATGATAAAGATTGTTGTTGCTGTCGTTGTTGTTGTTGTTGTTGGCTTTGATGCTGTTGTTCATTTTCGCTCAACACAAATTTGTGCGGACAAAGATTGACTTTTAAATGTTTTTGTGGCCATAATGTTGAATGATAGATAACATTTCGCCATGAATTACAAGTTGAAGATGCTTGTAAACGTTCGTTTGATGAAAGATAGGCAAATATTTTGTATAATATCACCAATGGTATATTTTTCCAATCAATTATATTCGATTGATTATCATTGTATTCTTCATTTTTCGATATTGAAGTATTCGAATTATGAAAGGATTTTAAATCTCTTTTCAATGATCGATTTCTATATGATAAGATTATATATCGTTGCTGATGATGATGTTGGTTATTATTGAATTTGGCATCTGAATCACGATTCATTGGATCACATTGATTGCTATAATCAATTTTTTTTTTAAAAACGGAAACAAGGTCAAGCTATAACTAAATGTATCAACATCGTATTTAAAAAAAATTTCAAACCTTTTGGACCAGAGAAAATGATAGAATTTTCAAATGTTTTGAAAGAAAAATCGTTTTTGTTGTTATTTTTTTTGCTTTGGGGTAATCTATCTAAACCTATTTGTTTATCTAATGATTATAGCAGCGAAATTGAAAAATAAAAATTGTGAAAAGAAAAAAAGAAAAACAACTTAAACTGCTGCCAGGATTATCGAGAGAGAATCATTATCATTAATGATTAACAACAGCAACAACAACAAAATTAAAACAAATAAACAAACAAAAATCTTATTTATTATTACGACGAAAAGGACAACAAGAAAACAAAACAGAAAGCTATACCTTTATTTTTTTGTTACATTGAGATCATACACAATATACGCCATTGGATTGGATATAATTTCTATAGAATTCGATGACATTCGACAAAACGACGCCTGCGTTATAATTATATTTATCTCTTGTAATAATAATTTTTTTTCTTCCTTTCTCCCTTTTCTCTCTCGTAAATAAAATGAATTATCTTTCAGATCCACCAAATGGTAGTAGCATTAAACAACAAGAAATAAAGTATCCAGTTTGTTTAAATACTACTTCTACATTTTGTTGAATCTTTAAATCAAAAGTTATCATCAAATGATGGCGCGCGCGCCCGTCTTCAATACGATTATATTTGAAATGAAGAAAAAAAAGTAGCTAATGAAATTTCAATTGAAACTTCCGCATAATAATCGTTTAAAACTTTATTGAATGGAATTGATTTTTTTTTCTTATAAAACCCAAATTATTCTATGGGTTAAAAATTATGTACAACAACAAAAAAAAATCCAATTAAAATCTATCCTCTTAACATCAATAATGATGCAAGAGAAATTGGTTGTGGAGAATTATTATCACGTTGTCTATCATTATTAAAATCGGTTTCATAATCGGGATAGAATTTAAAATTAGCAATCGGAATACAAGCACTTGATAATTCAGTAATCTTCTGACAACGTAGACCACGACAACAAGATGTTTTTGAATCATTTCCACATGATTCACCAATATCAAGACACATCATACAAACATTAACAAGATTATTGTTAATTTTCCGTACACCACAACTAGTTCCAGGACAACATTGTTTTTCCGGATGCATAATATCGCAATGCATCTCTTGAAGACGACATTTTCGACCTTTTGTTTGAGAGTTGATTATAATGGAAAATATAAATTATGATTATTCAAAATGAATAATTTATTTTTTTAAAAAATAAATCATACCTTTTGGTACAAATGTCTGATGAGAAATTATGACAAATTCAAATATAATGATTGTTGTCAGAAAAATTTTAATTATTAAAAATTTTTGATGTGCAACTGTTTTCGATAACATGACAATAAATTTTGATAAATTTTTTTACAGAATTTTTAACAAAAACTTTTTCTTTTCTTGTTGAACAAAACAAAACAAAACAAAACAAAGAACGATAGTGAAAGTATAACCGAAAGTTTTCACCGTTTCATAAAATAATGAATGAACATGATCAACATAATGCTCACTTCATTTATATCTTTTGTTATTTTGCAACAAACATTATGAAATGGACAAACATTTCCGAATCGGGATGTAAAGTGAAGCTTTTTATTATTATTATTATTATTATTATTTAAAATAAAAAAGAAAAGAAAATTACCGGACACACACTCTTTTGAAAGAAATAAAGTACCATACAGTTTTTTTTTCAAAACTTGTTTCAGTATGCTGTTGATGTTGATGATGATTTTTTCTAAATATAAAAAAAAAGAATGATACAGATCTAAAAATAATCAAAACATCCGAAAAAAAACAACAAAACAATTCCAAAGTAAACGAGGGAAAAAACAGGTGGAGTCAAATTTACGGATTTCGAATGTTTTTGAACATACATAAGACAACGACGAAAAAAAATATAATATAAAGATGAGATAATCATTCAGAAATGGGGAAATTGAATAAAGTTTTAATTTTAATCCCGTAAACATCGTTTATAAGATTAAATAATCATATGAATGAATGAATGAATGGATTGATGAAAAGGGAGGGAAAAATACGAAATTTTTATTTCCTTATTTTTTTCGAGTGTGAAAGTATGTGTGTGGCGGTGTCCGTGTGAAATAAATCCGGTAAAATCAAGGAAATTTTCATTAATAAATTTTAAATGATTTTTTTTCAAATGAATGAATTTTGTTGTTGTTTTTTTGTTTTTGTTTCAGTGATATAAGGTTGGATATGATTTTGTTTTCAATGATAATGATTATTGTTATTTGGTATGCATTATTGAATATCGTACATTTGGATCACGAAATAATGTCCATGCATGTCCTGGTTGTTTATTATGTTCATATGTACTAGATAGACTTGTACCAGTTAATACTTTATAGCCAAGATCCAATAGTTTATTCAATACACGTACAGGTGCATCTTCAACACGAAATTTCCAATATCGTCCATGTGGATCATATTGTGGTTCAGCCTATTATTGACAATGTGATAATTAAATTATCAATATTCAAATCAATTAATGGAAAAAAATTGTTTTGATTTAAAAATGATTTTATTCCATTTTTTTTACCTGAAAATATAGACTATCTTTAATAACAGTGAATGGAACTTTTTCATGTAAATATGGATCGATTGTTGATATTCGTGTTGGACCACGATGAAAATCATCCGTTGATATCAATACATATGACATTTTATAGCAAGCTTGCCGTGTATGTTGTAATAGATTACCCGTTGATGCTGATGTTGATGCGGATGATGATGATGATTTTGTTGTATTTAATGATGAATTTAATGGTGATAATGATGATGTTGTTGTTGTTGTTGAACAGATTACATTAGTTCGATGATTATTTAACATACGACCTGATTGTGGTGGAGGTAAGCTACCACTTCGTTTGGCTATGGTAGCCAATTTAAACTTATTCGTTTTGGTAGCAATTGTGAATGACAATCGAAAGAAAAAGTTAAATCTAAAATTATCATACGTTTATATACCAGAAAATTATATATCAAAAAAAATGAAAAAAATGGGTTTTATTATTGATCAATCATCAAACAACATTTCAAATTAATAATCATATATCTAAATATAATGTTTCACGGTTTAAATAGGGAAGAAAACATTAATATAGAAAAGAATCGTTCGAAAAAAAAGGTTTTTTCCATCCAACCATTCTTTTTGATATGTTTTTTTATGGAATTTTTGTGAACAAAACAAAACAAAAACACTTTCATTATAATTGTTTTTTATTTCATAAAATGTTTTGGATGTGTCCACCACTCTCATTAGTCACGATGTTAAATCGATTATCTCTACTTGTCTTTAAAATATAAATGATAAGTTTCCTCAATCTTTTACTTTCTTTCTTTGTATATCACTTGAATTTTATGTTTCCATAAACATCCATTTATTGTTTATGTTTGTGTGTGTCTCAAATTGCTAATTTTAGTTTTGTTGCTATTAATGTTATTGTTCCAAAATGACAGCCAAAACAAAAAAAAAGAGACAAATTGTAAAACAAAACATTCGAATTCGAATCACATTATAAACAGTGTTTGCGATATGTGAATTGGAAGAATAATCATCATTATAAGGCCATCATTATTTTCAACAAAAAATTTCTTGATGTTTTTTTCTTCAAGATCAATTTTTTTTTGAAAAATTATTTCGATAATGATGATGATTCGTTCCATTCGAATTTATCGTTGTTGTTGTTACATTATAGATGATGATGATGATGATGATGATGATCAAAATGGACAGATGTTTAAGTTTTGTTTTGTTTTTTGTCTTTGTTGTTGTCCATCATAATTTTGTCTTTTTAATATAATTATTGTTTATGTCTATTACTATCTATAACAACAACAACAACAACAATAATTGATGATGATGATAACAATAATCGACAACTGAATCGTCAAAACAAAAAACAAAAAATGTATAAACACCCACACTATCACCAAACATTATTCATTTATATGTCACGTGGATTAGAATTGATTATGGATGATTCGATCGATTTATGGTATATCGAAGATCCTCATGAATGCAATTCAATTCATCAAACGACAAATATATATTACGTACCGTACAATTGAAATCGTGACCAAGCCAAACCAAACCAAAAAATAATTTCAAGTTCAATGAAAATGTATTGAATGTTTATTAAATGCATACACGATTTTATTTTATTTTTTGTTAGTTATTCTTGTTATCTATTTGTGTAGGCGACAATTCGAGGTTAAAACTATACGTTTGTTTGATTCGAAAGACAACAAAAAAAAGCAATTTCAAAATCTTGAAATTTTCAATGTTGATTCGATTACATCGTCGTAATATTTCCCGTGTAAAAAAAATTTGAATTTTCAAAGAAATATTATTACTTCTTTAATTCAAACATTGACTAATAGATGGTAGTGAAAACAGAATCCAAACATATCCACATGAATCGAACAACAACAACAACAACACCCTTGCAGCATTGCAAATGAAGAGCAACCATTTGCAAGGCCATGAACGCGCCATTGTGTGTTGTGTATTTATGTCTGGTAATACAAAGCACGTTGTTCTGTCTTTCTTTTTTTTAGGATTTTGAAACACAAAAAAAAACAATTTCAATTTGAATTCGAACTAAATTTTTTTGTGATTGCGTCAGAATTTTTTTTTACACTGATCCAATTGTTTTCTCGGTTATTTTGATTATCAATTTTGATTTTATTAAAAATGAGTGATCGTGAAGTATGTTTTGATTATCGATTTGAAAATTGTTATTTCATCATTATTGTTTATAGGATTCACCCGAACAAATGGATAATGGTGGTTCACCAGATGTTGATGATCAACATGATGATCGTTCAGGTTCACCACAAGATTCCGAATTAGAATCACATCGTTCAGCTAATGGACATTCACCACGGCCAGCTGGTCGATCACGCTCAAGGTATAATAAAATTTCATCATTATTTTCTTTTTCATTAAATCTTTTTGTTTGTTGAAAAAAAAATTATAGAAGTCGCAGCAATGCTAGACGTTATCGTAAAAGTCGTTCAAGAAGTGGATCACGTTCAAAAAGTCGCAAATAGTAAGAATTGTTTCGAGTGTATTTTTTTCTTAGATCTATTTTTCTCTTTTGTTAAAAGTAGTTCCCGACATTCGCCAGATTCTTCAAGTCGTCGTACGAAACGATCTCGTTCACCAATGTCATCTAGACGACGACATGTTGGAAATCGTGAAGACCCACCTTCCGGTCGTTGTTTAGGAATTTTCGGCCTTTCAATCTATACCCAAGAGCGTGATCTTAAAGATGTTTTTTCAAAATATGGTCCAATTGAAGACGTACAAATTGTTTACGATGCACAAACAGGACGTTCTCGTGGTTTTGCTTTTATTTATTTTGAAAAAGGAACTCATGCCGTCGAGGTAAAACGATAAATTTTTTCTTTCAAATTGATAAATCAAATATTTTTTTTTTTAATTTCATAATATTCAACAGGCTAAAGATCGTTGTAATGGCATGGAAATTGATGGTCGTAAAATACGTGTTGATTTTTCTATAACTCAACGGGCTCATACACCAACTCCTGGAATTTATATGGGCAAACCAACACAGTAAGTTTAAAATTATAGCTCAAATCTGGATTATTCATTCGTATTTCGGATTATGCTAAATTGTTTAAATTATCTTTCTTTTCGCTAATTTTCAAAGTCCTCGTTATCGAAGTAGCGGCGGCGGTGGTGGTGGTGATCGAGGTGGAAGTAGCTATAATCGTGGATATCGAAATTCATCTGGACACGGTAGCGGATTTGGTGGTGGCGGTGGTCATAGTAGTAGTGATCATCATCGTCGCCGTTCACCATCACCCTATCGTTCATATTCATCATCAAGAGGTAGACGAGGGGGACATACATCTTCATCGGCTAGATTTTCAAGATCTCGTTCACGTTCATTTTCCCCTCGTAAGTATCCATTTAAACGTACAGGCAGAGTTTTTATGTCAAGCTATGCTTGAAATATCATTCAATACAAATAATCGGTAATTCTTACCGATTCTACCATTTTATTAAAAATCGAAATCTATAGAAATAAACCAGCACAATCGATTTCTTTACATAAAAACATAAAAATCACAACAAAAAAAAAACGATTTCAATCAATTTTCGAAAGTTTAACCTTTTTGCATCTGATTAATAGCGAAATTTTTTTTCTCATTCTAATCAAACATTTAATTTCATGATTTGATTCTTTTCCATTAGGCGCCAAATATCATTATCAAAGTCGATATTGATCAATATTTTCAAACTTAAACACACACACACTTATTTTATATAACGAAATCCATAAAAAAAATTCTAATGACAAAATGATGATATCTAACATGTGTGTGTTTATGTGTGCGGGCTTATTTTTTGGCAGGAATTTCTTCCAGGAATCAACAATATTGAAAACATAGAGTTATTATTCAATTTTCATCGTTGATTTTGTGTAGTAACAATGTCAGTCAATCATTTAATGATGAATATTACCCTATATTTCTCTATTCAGTTTTTTTCAATTTGTCTATTCCACTTTCGATAATTTGACACTTTAAATTCTTTATTACAACAACAACCACAACAAAAATTCACCTTGTTGATATTATCCTAATAACACACTCGTGATTCTCTTTATTGCCAATTTTTTTTTTCGTTACAAGAATAATCCAAACACAAAAATTTTATACACGAAATACATTTTTTTTTGTTTCGTTCGTTTTGTCACCAAATAATTCATCATTATTTTTCATCACAAAGAAAAAAAAATTCATGAATTACTAATTAATTTTATGCTAAACAATTAAAATATTAAAAAAAATTTCTTTTTTTCCTTTCCATAAACAAAAAAAAAGGATTCAGAAGAAAAAATCCATATTGAATGAAAATTATTGTTTGTAATTTTGATTAAATTGATGATGATGATTTGAAGAAAAACAAAAAAGAGCAAAAACAAAAAATGATACTCAAGCGTTTGAATTATGAAAAAAAATCAAGTAGCAACGGAAAAAAGTTCTTTCGGGCAAGTTTAATCGGCTAGAAATGAAATCAAACATTTAAAAAGAAAAAACGAATTAGCAAGATTCTGACCAGAAAAGAAACAATAATTCAAAAACAAAAAGTTAGCGCATTGAATTAATGATCATTGATTGAATCGTCTGCGAATTAATTTCTTCAACCAATTCAGAACAAGAACAAAACCGAAAAGTATTACAATTCAAAAATCATTTATTTGATTGAAGTTTATGAAGTTTTATCGTAATAATATTACTAAGATTCACCGATCTAATCCAATGATGTTGGTGACTGAACTGTCTTCGGTAGAATTCAAGAAAATCTGTTCAATAACAAATGTTTTGTTTTCGAATGCATGATAATGTTGAAGCCAAATGAATATTTTATTCAATGAATGAATATTATAAATTGTTGGGTAAGTTCAAATTCAAAGAATTTGAATATTTTTGATATGTCATTCAATTGACAATCGATTGGGTAAGTAAATGCTTTTTTTAATAGAAAAAGTGAAAATTTTTTTCAATTTTATTATAATATATATTTTCTCGTTTCAACTAAATAAAAAAATTACTTTTACAAATCAGATATGAATTATTTAAAAATACGGATATGAATTTTCTATTTTGAAGGGTAAACAAGACAAAAAAAAACGACTAGAAAATCAGATTGGCTGTTTGGATACATTTTATCGTATTTTTAAAATTTAATTTAAAGGAATGTTTTGTTTCAATATAACGATCACAAGGATGAAAATCACTTGATTCTGTCGACGATAATGAAAGCAGCATTTCTCAAACTTTTTTCACAACAGTTTGAAATATCCTGATTCACTATTCGAATTCGGTGTAATAAGAGATCTTTGTTCAAAAAAATTTCAATTTGTCAATTTTAGACTTTCATTTCTTTTGATATTTATACTATTATCATCTTTACTTTTGATGATTTTTTCGTTTGGAATGATTTGTGTTTGCGGTTCTTGTTGTTGATGATGATATTCAAGTAATTTTTGATCTTGCGGACGAACATAACTTGAAATACCATATGGTCGAAGATGATATATTAAATATTCCAGAACATACATCATATTGGGACTAACATAATGAAATGATATGGCTGTATCACTGCAACATCCTAGGCCCTGTTTTTAAATTGAAATGAATATTAATAGGATTTCTTACAAAAAAAATGCTTTACCTCTTGTGATGGGTAATAAATATATTTCCAATACCAAAAATTTCGATCCACATGACCGGGTACGACATGATGTTCTGGTACAAATGGAAAGAATCTACCACGACCTAATGTATCTCTTGAATCACCGGCCGTTACATTTAATGCTTCAAGACATGAGCCCATATCAACATCTTCAGCACCACCTTCTTCTTTATCAGGACATTTATCCGGATGATCCTTGGGCAAACCAATTTCGACGAATCTTTTCAAAGCTTCTTTACTAAGAACATAACCAGCGCCACCACTCATATAACCTTGACTAACAAATGGTTTAAATTTACAACCAAAATAAATAGGTTCCGCAGGATTATGAGTTGAAAGGAAATATCTAAGATTTTCTAAAATCACATATGTGTCATCATCAGCTTTCATAAACCAATCGGCATCATTTAGATAATGATGATAAGAATAATTAAATCCGCCAACTGTTTTTGCCCATAGATGATCTCTACCTTCCGGAACATCTAATTTAATTGCAGGTAACGATTTATCTTCTTCTGAGCTAATGAATATTAATTTGTTACAACGTTTTCCCCATGTTTCTTTCACATGTTTGGCTTTTGCTTGATGATTTTTCGGTGCAGTCATCACCCAACATAAAACACGTACGGTTTTTGCTAAATGACGAGCAACTATATCTTCATCTATTATGAGAAAAGAAACAAAAATTACTCATTATAATTATAAAATAAATATCAATTCACCTTTATGAAATATTTCCTCTAAATCATGAAATGATACCGGTAGTTTAGGGCCCTTAATCGAATCTAATTGTCCATGATGATGTGGATCTAAATCAGAATCATGATGATAATTATCATGACTATAATAATGTTCATCTAATTCTGATTGTCTATTTGGTAGAAAACTAATTCCTTTCAGTGAATTCCAATTAACAACACTAATCAACAGGTAGGCAAAACTGAAACCAAATGTCATGCCCATCAATAGGGCAATCATAAAATTTTTCGATATCTTATGGGATGATGATGATGATGATGAACCATTATTCATTGTATTATTCGTATTTAATGGTTGATAAAGATAATTTTTTTGCGACAATGACGACATTAGTTTAATAGACCTTTTTTTGAAAGGTAAATGAAAAAAAATTTAAACATAAAAAAGAAAAATTAGAAAATAATTGAAAACGATTTTGATTTTCAAAAAAAATAGAACAATTTATACACAACAATGGCACACAAACAACATGATATTCGAATATTCGATTCTATAATAACACAAAATGTTCATTATTCTTTCAATTCCTTCCACAAAAACACTCACACTCAAACCGAATCAATATTCACCGTAAATCCGGATCGATCAAAACAAAACAATTTTTACTGATTTTGTTGTTAAAAAAAACAAATTTCAAAATTGACGTAGTCAACAGGAAATGGCAATCACATAGACAAATAAAAATGAAATGATCAATATAATCATAATAATAAGTAGAAATTATGTTCATCACACAATGGCGACCATTTTCGTTGTCATGTTGATGATGGTGATGGTAATTGTGATAATGAGGATTATAAAAACGATAATGGATTGGAAAAAAATCGTATTATTATTGTCAGAACTTAGCAACCACCAATATATCACCAATAATGAACTATATAGATCACAATTTTACATTTATTAATATATATTAAAAAAAACAAAATCAGTTTATGTTTTTAAACTCATTTCATCAGTTGTTGCTATTTGATATGAAAAAAAGTTTACAAGTACCATTTGATATTTTGTATTTAAAAAATATTTAAAAGGTTAGTATCGCACATCATTTTCAATCGATTAAAGCCAATTAATTGAATTCGAAATGGAATTTATTTTAGCAATAACAACAACAACAACAAAAAAAATGATTATCAGACTGGAAAATGGATATTTTTATATATTATTTTTTTTAAACAAACAAACAAACAAAAATTCCAAGATAAGGATGGATTATATTGAAGATAAATGCCGGTATAAGTGTGTGTTTAAGCGTTTGTTATCCGACGAAAATAAAAGGAAAGCACCAAGCTAAACAACAAAAATCTAGATCAAGAAACAACAAAAAAAAAATATTGAATGTGAAATGTCAATGAAAAGAAAAACAAGAACACAAATGTCAAACATATAAATATCGGTGATCCGGATAATGATGGATAAAAAAAAAATTGAATTTTTTTTTTCTACACAACAGTTCATTAGTAGAGTCGACAAAGGCAAATAATTAAACAGACTAATAAGTATTGTTGTTTTTTGTTTTGTTTTCAAATATGCATGAAACACACGGGTTTTCATTATGTTTTGAATGTTTAAACATAATAATGTATTTATGGATTGGAATGAACATTTATGCGTGCACCTGCAAATTTATTGAATAATAAACAAACAGTAAATGAAAATATAGTGACATGAAAAAAACTAACTAACTAAACTAATGATGATAATAAATTCCGTTAAAAATGTTGAGAATTTATTTCACAATCGAAATTATTCGCTAATTACAAAATGATTTGACATTCGAATCATATCGAATATACTGTTTTCGATATATGATAGGATTTTTATTTTTATTTTTTGATGATGTCACACCAGGAACACAATATTAATAATGATAATAATCCGGATTAAATGATTCATCATCAATTTGAACCTGTGTGTTTTTTTTTGTTGTTTCGCAATTGAAAATCAAATATAATATGATGACCTACCTGGTCAATATTGGCAATAATACAATATTTACAATGTGATTTTTTTTTCTCTCGTTACAAATATTTTAAATTTTTAGCTGCTGAGATATGTTTGTGATCGATTTTTTTTTATTTAAACAAAAGCAATGAATACATTATTTTATTGAGCTTGATTTAATGCCATCAACATTGGCATCATCGTCATCCTCGTTGATGATAATCCATATTCTGTCGACATTATTTGTGACAAAATAATCAATTTGGATCGGGTAAAGATTTTCATTTTTGTGTTTGAAATCATAAATAATATCACATTATTCTGGTCAAGATAGACAAAAAAAAAGGAATAAAATCACAAACAATATTGAAAACTAATTGTGTTTTCAGTTTAATAGGTTGTTTAATATCAAGAACAATGATAAAATGATTGACAAAAAATATTGATTTTCCGAAAAAAAATAAGCAAAAATCATCATCATCATCAGCAATAACCGAAACGTCAAATGTTGTCTTGTTGTTGTGTGCAGACAAGCTTCATCTACCGCCCCTTTCAAGCAGATATTCAATCTTTATAAGTGAAAAGCGAAATGGAAAAAATCAGTTTTTTTTCGGTCCGAAACATATATTCGGGAGAAAAACCTGATAATCCAAATGATAGATGGTAGCATTGGCAAAATTTTTTTTTGTTTTGTTTAAATCCAAAATTGGCCAGATCAAACCCGTAATCGCTTACGGATTGAATTGGGTTGGTTGGTTGGTTGGTTGGTTGATTTTTTCTTTTGCTATAATGTGTTTCGTATATCAGACCAGTAAAACAAGTTTTTCATTCGTTCGTTTCGTTTATGTTCATCCAATATACAAAACCTTACGATGATAAATAATAATGATGATGATGATTATGATCATGATCATCATTATCATCATTGTTATAAACTTGGTATATATGCAGTGTATAGGGGGATAAATATTTATAAATATTTTTTGTTTTTCACCCTTAAAAAAATGATCACACATCGAACCCTGATTATTAATATTCGAAGTAATGAGAGTATCATTATTATTAAAAACACATTCGCCATGTGTTGTTTTTCGTTTATCTTCCATTTAAAAATATCGGTATACAATTGAACGATATTATACGATGTGTGAAAATTGTCAAAGATATTTTATTTTTATTTAGTTGCTTGAATAGTTGATAATTTTCAGGAGAAAAAAAACTATCTATTAATGATTATTCAACGATGATGATAATAAGTCTGTGAACTGTAAAAAAAATAATCAATCAATCAATATAATGATGATGATGATTATATTGAAAAACGATATTAAGGTTAAGCCATAAGCGATACCTATGAAAAGTTTTTAAACAAAGCTGTGATGATGATGATATAATAATAGCTTTATTATTTTCATATTTTTCCTTCTTTCATTGCCAAAATCATTCGATTCTATTCAACAATTTCGTTTTCTTTGTAGCCAATTGTATCGATATCAAAACAAAATGATTTAATTTTAATTTGATTTGATTTGATTCGAAGAAATATTTCTTTTTTCAATATTTATATTCAAAAAATGAATGAATTATTGCTATGTTGCAATCGTAAAAAATGTTTTGAATGCATGAATGAATGTGCAAATTGTGGGTGTGTTTTTTTTTCTATTTAGGTTACAGTCACAATTAATGATAAATAAATTGGTCACAATAATCAAAAAAAAAGTAGTAGTATTAAAATACATTGGGAATTATTCCAGCCCTAATTTATTCAAATGCATGCTGCTAGTATAGATTTGCAACAATTCTTTGTAAATAATTGTGACCAATACCATTGATTGCTGCAATCTATAACGTTTTTAGGTGTTTTTTTTTTGTTGAAAATTACGTATATCAACAACAGTGCTATTCAGTTGTAGTCACCTCCCCCAAAAATTCTTCCCCTCATTTTTTTTCTCTATTTTTTCCATTTTTCTCTTTTTTTTAATGTCTCTCCCTTATTGTGTTTTGTGTGATATGTATTTAGATGAATGCATGGCGTGACATCACCAATCACCAAACCTTAAAAAAAACAAAAATTAAAACAACCTAAATTAACCAATCACAATTCAACCGGACATCTCTTTCTCTCTCTTTAATCTTCATTTTCTCTCCCACATTAACTAACCCCTTTTTTTTCTCTACAATTTTTATTTCGCATTGATTTATATGTAAAATCACATAATAATATAATTCATCTTTTTTACGCCTGACTCATATTGGATATTCTTTTATGAAAACAAAAAACAAAACAAATTCAATGATGAGATATTCTTCAGGTTATATTTTACAATAATAATTCTTTTTTGTTTTGTTTTGTTTTTGTTTTGACTTTCTCTTCATTATACGACGTATTTTGTTGAAATTCAAGAATTGTTGATTATAACGAATTGAGCACAACAACAACAACAACAATAACAACAAGATTGAGCACGCTTGCAACAAATTCTTGTTTTTTTCCCTTTGGAATATTATTCATTGTTTGTGTAAAGTGTGTGGGTGGGTGTATCTTTTTCTAATCATTTGATTATCTTTAAAATATAATCGGTCCTACATTCACACACATGTTTAAAAAGAAGGAAATTATCAGCATTTTTTGTTGAAAATCAAAATTAAATTTCCAAAAAAAAGGTGACAAATTTTTCTTTTTTACAATAATATATTTGTGAATCATCATCAAACACCCGGTGGATGTGGGTGTCGACGACATCATTATCATCAAACGTTTTGGAATCATTTTTGTTTCACTAATTTCATTCTCACTGACCTGAATCATTTTTCTGTTAATTTGTTTGTTTGTTTTTTTTAAAGTGTGATGTGTACTTGTATGTCTTGAATCACATTGCCTTTTATGACAATGTCGTTTGATGAAAACAAAATCCTAATGGATAATGATGATAATAATTCGATCAAGTGAATCAATTTATTTTATTGTTTTTGAACGATTTTCTATCTAAAAAAAACAACAGCAAAAACATTGATCAATTTTTTTGGGAATTTGTTTTTTGTTTCATCATATTGATAAATAATGCAATCAACAATTATTCAAATGGAAATTTTTATGTGATACAACATTATAAAATATTATTAGCATAGGATTTTTATTATTTTATTTTATATTTAGAAAAAAAAATTTCATTCTATCATTTACCTCCGTTTCAATAAGATATAATTATTTTATTATGACAATAAAATTTAGGTAAGTTTTTATCTCGGATTGAAATAAATGCTTCTTTACTAAATCAATTTTTTTTTGTTTCTCACCTCAGTTTTTTTTAGGTAGAAAATTATTGCATTTTATTTTTATTAAATCAAAAAATTTAATGTGATTACAAAACATTTATTTTAGATTGATTGATCTTTGATCCATTTCTTTTACTCAATATTCTTGATGATCTTTTCATAATTTTTCCGATCATTAATGTTCAACGATTCATCAACAAATAGCAACGAAAAGCTTTGTCTTTTTTTCAATCATTATTAAACAACCGTGATATATTTTTTTTTGGTTCGCCTACATTTATCACCGATAACTGAAATCAAGTGATTCCCTCTATTTTTACTCAAGTCCAAAGAAAAGAATTATTTGGCAAATTTATATTTTCAACCTTTTAATCAACGATACCCAACTGTAACAAAAAAAAAGTCAAAATGTCTGATGGATCTGAATGTAACATTAAGGTTGTCTGCCGTTTTCGACCGTTAAATGATTCGGAAGAAAAATCTGGTAGCAAATTTGTTGTAAAATTTCCTTCAAACAGTGAAGAAGGGTTGACTATATCGGTATGTAAATTTAAATTTTAAATTGATTATGAAGTTAATTATTTGAAAAAAAATTTATTAAATTCATATTTGAAGGGCAAAACTTATGTGTTCGATAAAGTGTTCAAACCAAATGCAAGTCAAGAAAAAGTATACAATGAAGCAGCAAAAGCTATTGTCAAAGATGTTCTTGGTGGATATAATGGTACCATTTTTGCCTATGGTCAAACATCATCGGGTAAAACACATACGATGGAAGGCGTACTCAATGATCCTGATTATATGGGGATCATACCACGTATCGTGAATGATATATTCAATTATATCTACTCTATTGATGAAGCAATTGAATTTCACATCAAAGTCTCTTATTTTGAAATTTATTTAGATAAAATTAGAGATCTTTTAGATGGTAAGCGATCAATATTTTTAATTTATTTAAAAAATCAATAATTAAATCATATATTTTTAAAATAGTGTCCAAAGTGAATCTATCGGTACATGAAGATAAAAATCGTTGCACATTTGTCAAAGGTGCAACCGAACGTTTTGTAACATGTCCGGAAGAAGTAATGGAAGTTATTGATGAAGGAAAATCAAATCGACATATAGCCGTGACGAGTTAGTATTCAAACAATGTTTATTCATTTTTTGATATAAATTTTTAATAATTTGAATCTATTATAGATATGAATGAACATTCTTCTCGTAGTCATTCGGTATTCTTGATAAATGTTAAACAAGAAAATCAAGATAACCAGAAAAAACTCACCGGAAAATTATATCTTGTCGATTTGGCTGGTTCTGAAAAGGTTTGTAATTTGATTTGTTTGAAAAATAATAAACCCCATTATGATGAAATATGGTCTTTTTTCAAAAATAGGTTAGCAAGACTGGTGCAGAAGGAATGGTGTTGGATGAAGCAAAAAATATTAACAAATCGCTTTCAGCACTTGGAAATGTGATATCAGCCCTAGCGGATGGCAATGTAATTATCAACTTCCAATTTCATTAACACATTGAATTCCTATTTCTTATATTCCTTCTAGAAATCTCATATTCCATATCGTGATAGTAAGCTTACTCGTATATTACAAGAATCACTCGGTGGTAATTCACGTACTACAATCATTATATGTTGTTCGCCGGCATCATTCAATGAAATGGAAACAAAGTCAACGCTTGAATTTGGTCGGCGAGCTAAAACTATCAAGAATGTTGTTATTGTGAATGAAGAATTGACCGCCGAAGAATGGAAACGTCGTTATGAACGTGAACGTGAAAAAGTTACCAAACTTCGTGCTCAACTTCAACGATGTGAACAGGAATTGACAAGATGGCGAAGCGGCGAATCCGTTCCACCTGATGAACAATCAGGATTGGTTAGAGATCTTGATACTAGTACACTTAGTCTATCAGAATCAGTTCATAATTTGCCTGCTGCTTCCGCTCCAACAATGAATACTAATGTTCCAATGTTCATAACTACTACTAATGAACCATTAACAAACGAAGAGCGAATGAAATTCGAAGAAGAACGAGCTCGACTTTATGCTCAGCTTGATGAAAAAGATGATGAGATTGATAAATATAGTCAACAAATTGAAAAATTAAAAGAGCAAATTGTCGAGCAAGAAGAAATATTCACATCATCTAGACGTGATAATGATACTCTACAATCTGATCTTACTCGTCTTCAACAAGAAAATGAATCTCTTAAAGAAGAAGTTAAAGAAGTATTACAAGCTCTCGAAGAGCTTGCTGTTAATTATGATCAAAAATCACTAGAGTTCGAAACAAAGAACCGAGAATTCGAAATGTTAAGCGAAGAATTGACTCAAAAATCTTCATTAGTAAATGGTCAAGAATCGGAATTGCAACAAATAAAAGAACAGATGAATCACCAGAAACGACGATATGTCGAGATGGTCACAAATCTAATGAAAGATCTCAGTGAAGTTGGAATCGTTCTGGGCTCTAATCAAAATGCAAGTTTTATCGGTGAACTTAAAATATCTAATGATGCAAGCAAATTGGATGATGAGTTTACAGTTGCTCGATTGTTCATAAGCAAAATGAAAAGCGAAGTCAAAGCACTTACCACTCGAACTGCTCATCTTGAAACATACCAATCATCTTGTAATAAAAAGATTGAATCATATGAAAAGGAGCTACAAGAACGTCGATTACTTATAAGCCAATACGAGGCCAAGATGAATTCGTTACAAGAAACGATTAAAGAGGCTGATAAAAAATTACGTGTTCTGGAAGAAACTGTTGATCAGCTAAATGAAGAATGTGCTAAATTGAAAGCAGCCGAAGAAATGCATCGGGTTACATCGAAAGAAAAAGAAAAGGAAAAAGATTCTGTCGAGCAAATGAAAAATGCTCTTGAACAGCAAATTGAAAAGCATAGAGAAAATCATCAAAAACAATTGGCCAGTCTTCGTGATGAGATTGCCGAACGTCAATCAATGGTCGACCAGTACAAAGATTTGAATCAAAAAATGACTCTTGCTCTCGAACGATTACAACAAGATTATGATAAGCTCAAAGCCGAAGAAAATGACAAGAGTGCTAAACTGCATGAAATGACTTTGTTGAATGAAAAATGTGAACAAGCCAAGCAAGATCTTAAAGGACTAGAGGAAACTGTAGCCAAAGAGCTGAATAGCCTATTCAATCTTCGAAAATTATTTGTCGAAGATATTAAGAATCGGTTCAAAAAGATCTCGATTGGAGAGGAGCAAGATGATTCTTCAAATTCTGGCGGATCATTAGCCCAGAAACAGAAAATCGCCTTCCTCGAAAACAATCTTGAACAATTGACTAAAGTTCATAAACAGGTACTTATTACTTTTTGTGAATTGTCATTCGCCATTTTTCATGAACATTTTTTACTATTTAGCTCGTACGAGACAACGCCGAGTTGAGGTGTGAGCTTCCAAAATTGGAAAAACGATTACGTACGACAATGGAACGTGTAAAAACATTGGAAGCTGCCTTAAAAGAAGCTAAAGAATCGGCTATGAAAGATCGAAAACGTTATCAACATGAAGTTGATCGAATTAAAGAAGCCGTTCGACAAAAGAATTTAGCACGAAGAGGACATGTCGCTCAAATAGGTTTGTTTTTGATTTTCAATTAGATTGATTTAAATTATTGTAAATCTAAAATTCAACAGTGAAACCGATTCGTGGTGGTGGTGGACCCAATCCCGTTGCTTACCGTCCCAACAATTTGCAATTGAAGTGATTATGGAAAAATCCGTTGGCATAAAGAATATACTATATTTAGGTTTTTTTTTTGTTTCAAATTGTTTTGCTTCCTTTCTCATTTACTTTTGATGAAAAAATGAATTTCCATCATTCTATCACGCGAGCATTTAGAATGAAGTTTTTTTTTTGTAAAATTGTAATATTTTCGATCATACATTTTGCATTAATATTGGTTACAATATTTTTTCCTATATTCCACCTGATTCTATGCAATCTTTCTAATTATACACTATCTTGTGTCAACATTATCATCATTATTTATAATTATTTTTATCTTATAGCGCGGTACGTAATGATTGTTTCAATTTAAAGAAAAAAAATTGTTAATGCATGTTAACGTTCCGTGTTTTGTCATTTTACTTTGATTTCTTTTTTTTGCCTAAAATGATGATGATAAATGAAATAAGATGATTATTTTTTAATTTCGTCTATAGAAATTCAATATTGGGCCGAAACATTCGGTTGAAAAAAATGAAGAAATTAGATTCTATGAAAAAAAAAATAATTTGTATAATTGTGATGGTGTTCTATTTATTCTTTTGGATGATTCTTAATTCGAAAATTTTATTTCTTTATTCAAATGATACAAAACAAACGAAAAACTCTCCTTCTTTTTTTCGATTAAATCTCAAATATCCAACAGCAAAAAATTATGTAGTTTTTATTTCTTTTAATTTTAAAATTATTATTAAACAAATTATTTCATTTTATAAAAAAAAATATTAATGCAGCTCGACAATTTTGATGAGTATTATAATTGAATCTATATGTGTTAATTAGAAGCGGCAACATTTTTATCATTTTTGTTACGAGATTCTTGTATAACTTCTAATGTTTTTATTGCACAATGTGGAATTGGTGAACCAGGACCGAATATAGCTGCAGCACCTGCTTTGTAAAGAAAATCATAATCTTGTGGTGGAATGACTCCACCGACAATTATTTTGATATCTCTGAAAAACGAATGTTTGTAAAAATCAGTTAACAAATAAACATTAATCAACTTACTCTCGACCAAGTTTTTTCAATGCTTCAGCTAATAATGGTACTAAAGTTTTATGGCCAGCAGCCAAGCTACTTACACCCACACAATGAACATCAGCATCAACCGCTTGTTGAGCGGCTTCTTCTGGTGTTTGAAACAATGGCCCAAGATCAACATCAAAACCAACATCAGCAAAACCAGTAGCAACTACTTTTGCACCTCTATCGTGACCATCTTGTCCCATTTTGGCTACTAATATACGTGGTCTACGACCTTCAACGGCTTCAAATTCTTTGATTTTATCCTGAATTTTTTTCAATACATCCGATTCTGAATATGCATTATAATATGCACCACTGACTAAACGATCAACAGCTGTATATCTGCCGAATACTTTTTCCATTGCCATAGAAATTTCACCCAATGTAGCTCGATTTCTAGCACATTCAACTGCCTTTTCTAAAACATTGGCATCACCTTTGGCAGCTTCAGTCAAAGCATCCAAAGATTTTTGACAGGCTTCTTCATCACGTGTGGCTTTAATATGATTTAATTTAGCGATTTGGGCTTCACGCACTTGTTTGTTGTCAATCATAAGCACATCGATTGCCTCTTCTTTTTCCAATCTATATTTATTTACCCCGACAATTACCTCTTGACCAGAGTCAATACGCGCTTGTTTGATTGCGGCACATTCTTCGATTCGCATTTTTGGTATACCTTGACCAACAGCTTTTGACATACCTCCCATTTCTTCGATTTCTTCAATAATTTTTCGTCCTTCAGTATATAATTCATCGGTTAAACTTTCCATCATATACGAACCTCCCCATGGATCAATAATCTTAGGAATGCCGGTTTCTTCTTGAATTATGATCTGAGTATTTCTAGCGATTCGAGCACTGAATCGTGAAGGTAAAGCAAGCGCTTCATCGAATGCATTCGTGTGTAGGGATTGGGTTCCACCAAATACAGCTGCCAAAGCTTCAACGGTTGTACGTACAATATTATTGTATGGATCTTGTTCAGTTTGCGACCATCCTGATGTTTGACAATGCGTACGCAACATGCATGACTTTGGATTTTTTGGCTGAAAGTATTTAGTAATAAAATGCGCCCATAATCTTCGAGCGGCACGCATTTTAGCAATTTCCATGTAAAAATTCATTCCGATTCCCCAAAAGAATGATAGACGAGGAGCGAAATCATCAATTTTTAAACCGGCCTTCTCACCAGTACGACAATATTCAAGACCATCAGCAATGGTGTATGCTAATTCCAATAAACTATTCGCACCAGCTTCTTGTATATGATATCCTGAAATAGAAATAGAATTAAATTTTGGCATATTTTTTGATGTATATGAGAATATATCGCCAATTATTCTCATAGATTGCTCAGGAGGATAGATATACGTATTTCGAACCATAAATTCCTTGAGAATATCATTTTGAATCGTTCCAGATAGATATTTCATCTCTACACCTGATTCTTCACCGGCTACAATGAAAAATGCCATACATGGTATTACTGCACCATTCATTGTCATTGAAACGGATATATTTTTCAAATCAATCCCATCGAATAACATTTTCATATCTTCCACACTATCAATAGCTACACCAGCCATACCGACATCTCCTTGTACGCGAATATCATCACTATCATAGCCACGATGTGTAGCAAGATCGAAAGCAACACTTAAACCTTGTACACCAGCTTTAATATTTTCACGATAGAATCGGTTACTTTCTTCTACCGTACTGAAACCAGCATATTGACGTATAGTCCATGGCCTTTGTGCATACATAGTTGGATATGGTCCTCGTGTAAAAGGATACTTTCCCGGTAGTTCATCCTGTGGGTCATGTTTTCGATCTTCACTAAAATATACTGGTTTTAGATGAATATTTTCATATGTTTTCCAAATCAATGTGTCGGGATCTTTGCCCTTCATCTGTTTGGTGGCCATCTTTTTCCATTCTTCCCGCATCGAATTTGATGAAAATAATCGTCGGTTGACCAAGGCAGAGAAAGCCTATTCAAGAAAATATAATAAATTTTAATTAACAAAATTTAATACAAATCATCATCTCGCACATGACATCAATTATAACCTTTTTATAATGATAATTATAATAAAAGTATTTCATTTTTTAAATTCGCTTTCCAAATGCAACGCAAATGAAACATTCAGGTAAAAAAGATCAACAACTATAAAGCATATACGCAATTTAAGACTGTCGTCCATTAATAATATGATGATGTGAAACAAGATGATAAAAATAAAGATAACAAGCAAAAATTGTTGATGTAAAACATCTAGCTATAAGTTAGTAGTTCGGAAACGTTTGATGAACAAAATCTACTCTTGAAAAGTGTTTATAATATCTGAAATAGAATTCTTTTCCAAATCAGATTATTATCAATTTAATATATAGAAAAAATATATTCAAATTAATCTATTGAATCTAATTTTGAAACAAAAAAAAACTTGAAGCAACAATTCCAAATTTTTTTTCAAGTTAGTATTCGAATTAGACATGCGCATTTAGCAATTGGCTCATGAGTTTTTTCGACACAATTTTTTGCTGCCGGATGATATTATAATTTTGTAGAATTCTAAATCTTATGTTGATTCTGTTTTTCTTGAAACAATTTTCAAATAATGAATCAAAAACCACATTCATCATTTCGATCTAAATCACGATTAAGTGACAAAGTAATTATGTCTCTTTTATTTGTAAATTGATTTTTATCATTGTTTGGATAAATTATTAATTTTTAGATGAATCGCTGTGATCCATTGGAGAAAAGACTTATTGTATTTTTGGATCGAAATCGAGAGCAAAAATCATTACCATGGATTGTAAGGAAATTTTTTAAAGTTTTTTTAATTTCTTCGATTCATTTTCGTCTGAATGCAGAGTAAAGAATTCAATATTCGTATAAATTTTTCATTATATTATGAGCCATCATCAGATGAAATGAACAATTTCAACTCAATGATTAGCTCAAAATGGATTCACGATTGTAAAATGTTTGAATCATCTCTTAATTCGATCGTTCATTTGCCTTATTTTCGGTATGTTCTGTTTTCATTTATGATGAAAAAAATTTAATTCTTCTTTTGAAGTTTTTGGTCCGTTATTGTTTACAATCCAGATGTTCATACAGCATTGGAATCATATTTAAATTATGCTACACGTCCTTATCGTATACATCCGATAATTAAGCACGAAACTATTGGACCATTATCAAGTAATATTCATTCGCTTGTTTTTCGTATCTATGTACGAATTCTATTACACAAAGAATCTGAGGTTTGTTAACATGTTTGTCCATTGAGATTATCTACTTTTAATTATGTTTAGGAAAATTATATTAGCGAAGATTATCATTCGGAACTATTGATTAAAAACAATATTTTAGACATGTCAAAAATATTGGATCTAATACAGCTTTATGGTTATGGACCAAATTCGGAAATGTTGAAATTTCTTCTAAAATCTTTTTTTCAACGAAACTATACTAGAATGAAAAATGATATTGTATTCATTTTAAAAGAAATATTGGAATTTTTTGCTCATTATGAAAACTATAATTTTTATGATTTAAATAATGAAATGTTTTGTGTGATAGCAAATATTACTGATGTATTATTCTCATTGAACAAATTGATTTATTATGAACCACGAATTGCTTTTTTGTATGAGGATGGCCAACTTTTAAATCGATTGGTCAAATTTTATTCACTTTATTTTCCCTACATCGAAAATGAAACTCTATCCTTATTTCGTTCGAATGCAATTGTCGAAAAGTATGTTTTATGAATGCAATAAGTTTCAATTTTTTTTATTTGTAAATTTTTTTTCCAAATAGTTTCTACAATTATTTTAAAAGCCAAATTTGTTTGTCTAAAGCTTGCGCTTTATTATTGTTTCATAAAATTATTCATATTGTCTATATTGAACCATTGGTCAACTTGTAAGTATTGAATGATTTTAATCTTCTAATAATATATCGATTTTTTTTTCAGGCAAGATGACCTTTACAAATCATTTGATAATTTTATGAAATTGCTTGATTTCCTAGCCAGCGAAGAAAAGTAACGAAATTTCAATTTATTACTTTTTTAAAAATTAATCATTTTTCTCTTCATTAACATGTAGATTCTGTGTTGATTATTTTGGAAGATTTTCATTTGAAAAAGAATTCGAATTACTTCTTAAGAATCCTTCGTTAGATAAAGAATTAAGCATCAATGATGTTTTGGAATACTACAAAATGAATTTTAATACGATGGTAGAAAAACATCATTTTGGAAAATCTGAAAAAGTTGAAAAACCTCAATTATCGAATGCAGAACAAAAATTACCGAAAGCTAAATATGATTTTCGTTTAGATTCACAAACCATTGCCAAAGAACAGCTCATTGCTGAAATGTTCCCAGAACTTGGTGATGGCTTCATTTACAAATGTCTCGAACATTTTGATTTCAATAATGAACGAGTTGTCGATGCTATTCTCGAATCTAATCTTCCAACAGAATTGAATTCATTGGATCGCAAATTAACTAAATTCGATTTAGATAAAGTTGCATCAATGTTAAGTAATAAAAAATTGGATGATCAAGTTGATGACCAAATTTTGGCTGATTCACAAAAATATGATCCAGTCAACAAAACGAATTATCAATTGGCCGATATTTATGTCGGTAAGAAAGATAAATTGAGCGAAATGAAAGCCAATAAAGAAAAGACAAAAGATTTAACGATAAAATTGGCTGATAAAATAGAACAAGAAGAAGAAGAGCTTAAAGAACAGATTAAAATGATGATCGAACGTGGAAAATTACAACGTGAAGATTTAAAAACTAATGAAGAATATATGGGAATGAATATCTATGATGATGAATTTGATGATACCTATGAAAATGAAGATGAAAATTTCGACATAGAACCGGTGATAGAAGAGAATGTTGTTAACGATGATGATGATAATGATGATGCTATTGTTAGTGAAGATTTAGACAAAACAAACAATACAAAAATGCATACTAACAATCAATCCAATGTTCCTAAATATAGAATGACCAATGAAAAGTATGAGAATTGTACAAAATATTTACGCAAACAACTTTATAATAACAAATATCAACAACGTAACAATCAAGGAAAAGGGCAACAATCTTTCAATAGCAGTTATGGTTCGAATGAAGCTCAACAATCTCATCAACGGCAAAGACAATCAACGAAAAATCAACAACATACAAAAAATGTCAATCAAGATCATAATCGCCATACATTCAAAATGAATGATGATCGAAGAAACGATGGCAATAACAGTAGCAATAACAACAATCGAAATTACAATTCAAATAGACAAACAAACTATTCAAATAACAAAACAACCAATCAAAATCGGAAAAAATGATTTATTTAAAAAAATGATTGTCAATAAAAATTATCACAATATTTTTTTCGAGTCAATTTCATTTAATGTTTATTCCAGTTCTGTGAAATAATTTTCCATGCTTGTCTCTTATTATTCTGTAAACATTTTGCCAATAAAAGAGTTGTTTTTTGTCGATCAATAGTAATGCATAAAGAGCTTTTAACGTGAATTATGTGCTTGAATTTGGAATCGTATCGCCATTTTTGTCGTTCTAATTGATTGCAACCAATTAATAAAATTGATGTATTTGTTTTCTTAGAATTTGCATCAATACAAACAGATTCATCCGATTTAATAAATCCTATTTTACCTTTTGATGGAACGATAAAACTTTGTGGACCATAAATTTCTATGGAACATTTTGTCATGATAACTTTTCCAATTGGATGTACACCATTTGATGGTCTTTGCATGCATTCTTTGCTGTAAAAACTTTGAATTTGTCCAAAAGTGTTATTTGTATTTGGAAAGAAATTCTCTGAAATTTCCAAAAAAAATGTTATTATTACAAAATCATTAAAGATTAAAAACTTCAAAAGCTTACCGGGCCAAACATTTTCTAAAAACCATTTAAAAGAATGACATTTAAGTTTCTTTCGAAGATCGATTCTTTTCTCTATATCTTTTAGAATTTCATTTCGATCATGATGAAGTATTTGTTTAGCAGTAGGATTCATATTATAGAAAAAATTTTTCCAATCATCAAGCCAAACTTCAGCCACTCGAATAAGATTACCATAAAGTACATCGCCGACCTGTTTCTTTCCGAACGAATATGGTGATGAACTTCGAAAAACATGGCCAACATGTGAACAGGGAGCAATTTCTACTTTTCCACCACATTGCCAAATACGTAAAGACATTTCAATATTTTCACCACCCCATACTTGTAGATGAGAATCATAGGTACCCAATTCGAAAAAATAATCTCGTCTTATTGAAAATAGGCCACCGGCCATTATTGGCGTACGAAATGATTGAGTTGAATCGAAATTCTTTTTATGCATTCGTTTCAATTCGGCATGACCAACCGAAAACCAACGAAAATTTAGAGCCCAATTCATTGCACCCCAATGAGCTTCAAAACTTCGAACATAAGCAAAATTTTGATCATTGATTATATCAATCACTGGACAAATAGCTACTTTTCCATCAATCAAAATTCGATGTAGTAACGGTTCAAGCCATCCATTAGTTGCTTCACAATGTGCATCCAAAAATGAAAGCACTTGTCCTTTGGCAAAATTTGCTCCCATTATTCTTGCACTGATTAAACCAATTCGATTCATGGAACGAAGAATTTTGATTGGAATTTTCATTTCTTTTGATAATTTATCCATATATTCATCAAGTTCATGACCAAGAAACTTTCTTTGACTGGCATCATCGACCAATATTATTTCATTGATTAATCGATGTGGAGAACGTAGAATGACACTATGAACAGTTCGAACTAGTAAAAATTATTGAAGATTTAGTGAACATCAAATGATGATTGATTTAAAAAAAACTACCCAATGTTGACCAAGCTTCATTGTGAAAAACAATGATTATACTGGTATCTGGCAAATTTTCTGGATATTTTTTCACACGACATGCTTGTTTCCGAATGTCTGGCAAAGAACGATTGACTGAAATCATATCACTAGCAACAATATTAAATTGATTAATGGCAAATAAACGTTTAGCTTGTGTATGATCCATTTTTGGCACGTAAACGGGAGATCCATTTTCACCATAATTCGGTAACGGTGAATAATTGTTAACATTTAATAAATCTATATGGAAATAATGATAATAACAACAACAATAAACAATTAGAATACAAATATGGTAATATTAATCACATTTATTTGAAATTTATGTGATAATAATAATAATAATAATAATTCACCATCTGTCAGGTTGATTTGATTGATCCATGGATAACCTTTGCCCATATATTGACCAACAATAATATGGATACCATTTTTGTTGATATTTGTTGACTTAGATGATATAATATTATTGCCATTATTTAATTCTTTATTACATTGAAATTGTAATAGATAAATGCCAAATTAGGTTGGATCCGTTTTTTTTCATTTGTAGACATTCGAAAGATAGAAAAAGAGATAGATGGATGGATTTATGGATAAATAGAAAACAAACATGATGATAAAAATATTAATTGTAATAGTGATTAACATAATAATGAATGAATGATTTAATTAGCTATTGTATCTATTATGGAAATATATGGTTTTACAAAAAAATTTATTTCGAGCTTAGTTAAACCTTTTTAGATAAATATTCCATACAAAATTTTTAAAAAATTCATTAGATTTAATCCAACTTGTTTGTTGCGCATATTCGAAAACTAACAATATTCTATCATGATGGAATTCATCATCATTTCATATTCATATATCTATTCGGTCGTAATATTTATTATTTATGAAAATCAACCAACCGATTCAAAAATATATTTTTTATGGGGTTTTTCCGGAAAAAAAAATTATATTTCATTCATGTTATCAATGACAACTTGTATACATGTATTCGTATGGTTTTGTTTGGATATAATATACTAATAGCATCGATAAACGGTATATATAACATTTGGTGTTTCGAATGAAAAAAAACGGTTTCGATGCTCAAAACTTCACCATCAACCACCACCACAACCAACGCCGACAATCTCTCGGGCCAATGTCTGCTATATATTGTACGTGTGTGTTGTATGCTGTTTGGTGTTTATTGTCTGTTGTATATTTCGGTCTATAAATGTTTATGTCATCAGAACTGAATTTATCCAAATCAACAATAGACATGATTTTAATTCATTGAAAATCAAATAGCTAAAAGTAAATTTTTTCGAGAAAATTTATTCATCTTAAATTTGAATATTCAAATCAATAAATTGATTTTTGATCGATAAAGTGATTGAATGAGTTTTCTCAATTAGATTCTAAATGTGTTTTTTTAAAAAAAATTATCATCTGTGAATATCCTCATTCTCATATTGTTTACAATAATAATAATAATGTGATTGACCGATTTTCTATTGTCAAACAATCAAAATTATTCACCATTTTGATTGAAAATTTAATTATCATTCTTTCATCATTATCATATGCTGTTGTTCGATCGATTAGCCTTTTGATCATCATCATCAAAATAATTAAAAAAAATCTAATCAAAGGATTAATTTAAACAAACAACACATTTTAATTACAACAACAACAACAAGATTGTGGGTGTATGGTGTGTGTGTGTGTGGGAAAGAGAAGGGAATGATAATGATTTGAAATACACACCGACTGACATACATTTGTTACAAATGTCACACTATTCTTTTTGTTTCTATTATTCAAATTAATTAAACTTGTGAACAAACTTGTAAAATTAATCGATAAATCAATCAATGATAAATAATTTTTTTTTCTCTCTTTCTTATGGTTAAGATCATTTGGTAAGCTATTATTAGTTGGATTTTTTTTAGAAAAGAGAAAAAAAACGAAACGAATAATAATGTTCATCATGATGATGATGATTATGAATGAGAGTTCGATGTCTTCTATTGTCATCTTTTCTCAAAAAGCTTCTGTGTGTGTGTGGTACGGTGTATTTTTTCCCATTGTTTGTGTTTGCATGAATGATATTTAGCGAAAAGAAAAGAGAGAAGTGGGCATTTTTTTTAAATAATTTTTTTGATATTTCTTTTTAAAATTTCTTCCAATTCATCATCATCATCATCATCAAAATTGAATTTTGTTCCATTCCGACAAGAAAATCTTATAGATTAAACAACAATAATAATCATCATCAGAATGGTTCCATCTGTTTAATTTCATCTTCATTTATCATTCATAATTATCCAATTGTCATCATCATTTTGGATTTTTTTTTTGTATATTTCCGTGCCTATGTTTTTTTTCGGTTATTATTATCATTTTTAAATATCCATTGTTTGTCTGTTTCGGTCGTAGAATAGACACAATGACACAAATATGTCACCATCAACATTATTATTAGTATCATCATCATCATTATTATTATTAGCCATCAACACATGGTTTTTTTACGACAAAATGTATACGAGGATGTTTGTTCTCTTTCTCTCAATTTATAAATCGTTTAAATTATTATTTGATGTTTCTTCTTTTTAACTTGGTAATGATGATAATATTAATACAAATATGAATATCAACGTATGCACGTCAAATGTTTGATATTAAAACATTCGAATATTGTAAACATTTATAATTCTTTTGTTTTATCCATCAAAAAATTATCTAGACTTTAGGCTAATTGTTTTATTATTATTATTATTTGTTGCATCATTAAAAGATAAACGAATCATCATAATTTTTGTTTTAAATTGTTGTTTTTTTTTGCTCTAAAACAAATGATGATGACAATCATCAGGATGAAGACTAAAACATTATTCAATTGGCCATTCTATTTTTATTCTTATCATTTTAAGTAATTTTCTTCACATTAAAAATTTTCAAAAAACAACAATAAATTTCTTCCCAAAACATCAACAAAGGTATGTTTTTCAATTCTTTATCAATATAATACATACCGTTTAATAATTTTGATTTGAAATGTTCAATAATTTGAAAATATATTGCTGTTGATAGAAAACAAATGAACAAAATGATAATAATGATGACTAGAATGAAATTATGTTGATGATAATGATGAAATTTGAAATTTCCCATTAGAATCGATATAAAACGACATAATGTACGATGAAAGAATCGTGGAATTATTTTCAACAAACGTAACATGATTCTTATTTCATTCAACAATTTCAACAATATAGCCTTGTTATTAATTTGGTGAATATAATTTTATCCACATGTGCATATAATAATTTATAATGCAAATGTAAAGAAAAGGAAAAGAAAAGGAAAAAATCGCCAGACAATATACGGATGCTCAAGGTTTTTTTTCAATGTCTGTTTTTTTTCATTGAAATTCCATTTGAATTATGATGATATTAATAAATGAATTCATTCATTTATCATCGGTCCATAAATGAATCTGATAAGAGTAGAGAAAAAAAAATTAAGTATTTTTTTTAAAATTAAAAATGAAATTTTTCAAATTCTTACCCGAAAGAATCTTCGAATACATTCAACCGATTATTTTCGTATCCAATGCACATACACACACACTTGAATAGATTGTTCTTTTATCTGAATAACTAAAGAAAATTGAAAAATTTCATGATCATTCTGGCGAATGACAATGATGATGATAACAACAAAAAATAAATAAATAAATAAAGAAATAAATTTAACTGTCAATATGAAGATCTTTTGTTTGTTAATATCTTTTTCTCTCTTTTTATTATTCAAATGAATGATCATTGAGTGTCTGTTTCAACATAAGGTTCAAATTTCAAATTCACAAGAATGGCAAACAAATTCTTTCATTTTGTTTGCTGATGATGATGACAGTAAAAAAAAAGTCAAAATTAATTTCAAAAAAAAAATGACTGCAAATTTCGCTTTAAACAAATATCATTTTTATTGTCAAAAAAAAAATGTTACGAATTTTTATTATCATTATTTATCACGCATTCAATACAAATAATAATATTTTTCAAACTTTAAAACATCATTAAACAATTTTGATTTCAATTTTCATTCATTTATTTTTTTTAATGAAAAGTTTTGATTTTTTTTCTTCTTCTTCTTCTTTCTATTTATTTAAACTATTCATTTCATTCATTTTAATTCAGCTCAATTCATGCATTCATCATTTGTGCATCCATTTAGCATCCAAAAAAAAAAACAAAAAATTTTATTCATCAGGCATGGTCGACATACCAGATTGACCAGATTCGTTCAAACACACACGAATATAGACATAGACAAACATGTGTTTTGTTCACACAAAATGATAAATTATAATGAAGGTAAAGGAGGTGAATCCAGCAACAACAAAAAAGTGGTAAAGTTGGTTATTTTTTTTCTGGCTATGATTTGGTTTTCCAACATATAGTTGATGAGTTGATATATTATTCACATTGAAAAGAGAAAAACAAGAAGAGAATGATAGTTTCAACAATGGTGTGTGTGTGTGTGTATGTATGGATCATTGGATTCATTGGAAAATGGCTACAAATGGATGATGGATTTTTTTTAATATTTGTAAACGTGTGTCTTTCACAGGTGTATATTCGTTGTTGTTTCACCTTAAATGGGCAGATATGATCAATTTTTTTGTTGTTTGTTTGTTTGTCTGAAAGTAGTAGCCATGAACATTGGCATCATCATTATTTAAGCAAACTAAATGAAATGGAATCAATGAACGTCATGTTTCTTGTTTGATTCAACAATTTTTTTTTTGACAGAAGAAAAGCTTGAATTCTTCAATAAACCTGTCCTGATGGTCCTTTGGATGTTTATCATTAATAAATTTACCTTGATGATATTCTCTTATTCAATTTATATGGCTTTTTCTTTTTCTCTCTCCTTTCAATGGTATTATTGCTGCTGCTGCTGCTGCTAAAAGATAAGATAGCTACAATCAATATATCGGATAGTTAAAAGAATAGACATCCATTTGGGATGATTGTACTTGAAATGAAAAAAAAATTAGCACCACTGAACTTATGGTGATGGTGATGATGATAGTAGCTGCAACGAATGTCTATTCTTATGATGTCTTTTTTCTTGGGTTTTTCTTTCTCTTCATTTTCTCACCATATTTCAAAGTTGTTGGTCTTTCTCTTTGGTGTTTATATTGTTTCGTTGTCAAAAAAATAAAAAAAAAATTATCGAGCATGCATTCGTACGGCGTTTATTATTTGTATACACGAACACGGTACGGCAAGCCACCGGCTTCAAGTTAATTGTCAACATTGTTTCTCAATCGGTGACATTGTTGCCTTTGTCGTGGTCGTCGTCGTCGTCGTCATAGTTTTCGTTGTTCAATGATTAGATTATTTTTTTGATAATAATGCCCAAAAGTAGTGACAATTTTTTTCACAAATAGTTAACGACGATGAAGACTTTGAAACCAGAAACAAAAAAAACGTTTAAATGTTCATCAACAATGACCATTTGAATGTTTTTTTTGTTTTTCTAAATTGATTAATCTGGTTTTCCAATGACGATAATTTCTGGCTATTTGATTCGTTTTTTTTATCAATGTCAACTTTCAACTAATCTATCTGTAATATAAATATTTTGATGTGTATCCGTTTTTGTTTTTGTTTTTCGAAATGTGTTTTCCATGAAAATGAATGAATAAATAAATTAACCCTCGTATCAATCCAGAAAAAAACAACTCAACACAAAATGACGAAATTCAAAATGATGATGAAAATCCACAACAAAACAAACGAAAATTTATTAAATTATAAATGATTAAACAAGATGAAAATTGCCATAAAACACACAGACAGACAGACAGAGAGAGTAATTGTAAAGACTTGATAGACATTTACCAATAATATTTTGTTTTTTAAAATCATTAAGGTTTTTTTTCTGTTCATCATCATCATCATCATCAATGAATGTTTCCTTTCCATTGTCATCATCAATAATAATCGTCAATCAAAATTTTATTTTTATATACACGTTTAATACCATACAATAGATTAACCTTGAATTTATTAGTATTTTTTCATCATCATCATCATCAATTTTCATCTACGATTGAATGAATGATTGAATTTTCTTCTTTTCTTCTCTCTTTCCATTGTATGTGTATCCAGAAGAAAACAACGGAATTTTCTTTATTTCTCTTCAAAAATCAATGTGTTTTTTGATGTGAATCAAACAAAACAACAACAACAAATAAACATCCTGTTCATTTGAATTATTTCTTCAATCAATGGCAATCATTATTTATCATAAAAAATCGTTATTATTTATTTATTTTTTAAAGAAAACAAAAATTACTTGTTGATCATTATTATCATCATCATTTAAATATATTCATTCAATATGAGTGAAAAAAAATTCGGCTTTTTGTTGTTGTTGTTGTTGTTTATTACAACAATTGTGCAAATATTTTTCCCGATATTTGATTGATATTTGATTGATTTCGTTTCTCTCTCTCTCCCTCTCTCCCACTCCAGTGTGTGTATAATATTTATGTTTATTTGACCCAAATCATAATATCAATCAATCGATTGAACATTATTAGGTTTTTCATCTTCGTACTGATTAACAAAAAAAAAAAACTTTTATCGATGAACGATATTACATATTGAAAACAAGGCAATGACTTTTTGAATGATACTTGATGATTATTATTGATTTTTTTTTCTCTTGATTATTATTGATTGATATTAACAATGATAATCAATGGGGATATTATTATTATTATTATGAATATTTTTCATTCAATCAAGCATCATTATCATCATCATAATGTGAATTGAATGTAATAATTCTGGCCGTTTAATTTTTATGTTTTTTGTTCTGTTTTAAATTTTTTTTACTTCGAACGTAAAAGAATTCGAACATATTTATCGAACGTTTTTTTTCTTTCGTCTACATTTTTTAATTAATTTTTTTGTTTTGTTTCACCATTGTATCGAACATCTGTCTGATGGAGAAAAAAATGTGTTAAATATCAAGGATTTTCATCATCATTATCGTTTGTTTTATTAGTTCTATTCTTCATTCCATTTCCTAGGAAAAAAATCATCAAAATTTTTTTAATGATATCATCATTTATATATTGTTGTCATAACGATTTTAAGAATCATACATATCATCATCATAATCTATATCATTATTGTTCACCTTTATCAATATCATCCTTTTTTTTATCCGTTATCTGTCTGTGATATTAAAATAGCAAAGAAAAAAAAAGTTTTCATTTGTCACATTTTACGCGTTTCCCTAATCAACCAAAATGTGAGTTCCAAATTAACCAGTATTCGTCACACAAACCATACACAGGACATGAGCATTTTGTTTAGTATGCGTATCGATGTTGTTTTTTTTTGGTAATTTCTATTATTGTATACCTGTCATCATTATCATCATCGATTGATATGTATATGGGTCTACAATATTATTCAATTTTGATGTTTTGTAACCATGTGAAACTAACTATAGAATTTAGAATTGTTTTTTCTGTTTGTTTAAATTTTAAAATTTTTTAATTTATTTGCTTTATTCAAATAAATTTTTAATGAATTGAATTAATTGATTTAATTTTAATTTCTTTTGATGTGTTCCATTCAATGTTTCTGTGTTTTTTTTTTGTTGTTGTTTCATTTGTGTATATGTGGAAACATCCGACAATTATTGCCTGATAGATTAACATAGAGATTGTGTGTATTTTAAGGAGAGTGAGAGACCAAAGTGAAAAGACAATATAAATTTTTGTTGTTGTTGTGAAAAAACGTAATTTTTTTTATTCGAATGTTGATTTACAGTCCATTGTTATGTCATTTTTTTAAAAAATATTCAAATTTAGAAATTAATTTGATCATCATGTTGTTGATTGTAAAATAATTATTATTTCTATTTTCCGTTTTTCTTTTCTTTACTCTTTTTAGCTTACAAGCAACACACATCAATAATAATAATAATAATAATAAGGAATTTTATTTTTATAAAAAAAAATATATCAAAAAATAAAAGAAAATGTTGCTCAGATCTCCTATACGATGGTATACTTTCCGTATAATGATATTGACCTCGATTGTTTGGGTCATATTCGGAATGTGTATACTAGTCTATTATATGGAATGTCTTGCCGGAAGCGGTGGTATAAATTGTCGTAATAAAATGAATGGCTATCAATCTAATGGAGGTGTTGGTTCACCTGAACAATTATTACTTGTTTCAAATAGTGATTCAGATTTTTTATCCGATTCATCTAAAACAAATTCATATTCTGTTGATATTCATAATAATAATGATTGGCCACATTTACGTCTTCCACCTTATCAAGAATCTCAGCTACAATTATGGTCACCAGCTGGTAAGTTTATTGATTCATTTATTGATTTTGTTTTCTCATTATAATAAATTAATATCATTTTATTTATTTTGATTTGAAGAAATTAAAACCAATCCATCATCATGGCCTGGTGAGAATGGTAGAGGTGTAGAAATACCTAAAGAAGAAGAAGAGATAAAAAATGAAAAATTTAAATTAAATCAATTTAATATATTGGCCAGTGATAGAATTGCTTTAAATCGAACCATTTCTGATGTTCGTCTCAATACGTATGTTTGCAACAACAATTTTTTGGATTACCATCCATTTATACTAATTATTATTATTATTAATTTGCTTCAGGTGCCGAAGAAAACGATATCCAAAACATTTGCCCACAGCATCAATAGTAATAGTCTTTCATAATGAAGCATGGTCAACATTATTACGTACTGGTATGTTTGCAATAGTTGATTAAAATTCTTAATTTTATAATAAAAAAATTTCATTTATAGTTTATAGCATTATTCGTACATCTCCTGTAAATTTACTCAAAGAAATTATACTTGTTGATGATGCTAGTGAAAGAGGTAATTATGAGAAGACTTAAAATTATTATGTATTTTTCTTTTTCTTTTGTTAAACAAAAACGTTTAATCTTTTATCTCATCCATTTTGTAGAGTATCTGGGAAAAGAGCTCGAAGATCATGTTGCCAAATTATCTGTACCGACTAAAGTTCTTCGTACTGGCAAACGTTCAGGCTTAATCCGAGCACGTTTGATTGGTGCCGATCAAGTACATGGTGAAGTGATTATTTTTTTAGATGCTCATTGTGAATGTACAAAAGGATGGCTTGAACCATTATTAGCTCGAATAGCGGAAGACAGGTTTGTCCATTTTTTACTCATTGATAATATTCAATCATATTTGAATAAATTTTTTTTTTCTGAATGAAAAATATATTGATATTTTGCGTGCATTCAAATGGTGTGTTTTTTTATCTATGTGTAGAACCCGAGTAGTATGTCCAATAATCGATGTGATTAGTGATGAAAATTTCGAATATATAACTGCTTCGGATAAAACATGGGGTGGCTTTAATTGGAAATTGAATTTCCGTTGGTATCATGTACCTCAAAGAGAATTTGATCGACGCAATAATGATCGTACATTACCTGTCAGGTTGGTTTGAAAAATTTTAGATTTTTTTTCATTATCGTAAAAAAATTAATTAAATTTAGAACGCCAACAATGGCCGGTGGATTGTTTGCTATGGATCGAGAATATTTTGAAAAATTAGGTCGATATGATGAAGGAATGGATATTTGGGGTGGTGAAAATCTTGAGATGAGCTTTCGAATTTGGATGTGCGGTGGAACATTAGAGATTGTCACCTGTTCGCATGTTGGTCATGTTTTTCGTAAATCAACACCATACACATTTCCCGGTGGTACAAGCAACATTGTTAATCATAATAATGCTCGTCTAGCTGAGGTTTGGATGGATGAGTGGAAAGATTTTTTCTTCGCTATTAATCCAGCAGCCAAAAATATCGATATGGGAGATACGAAGAAAAGAAAACAACTTCGAAAAGATTTACATTGTAGAGGTAATATTTTTTAAATTTGTTTTCATAAAACTTCTTGTTTTGCTTTGTATTAATTTCTATATAGATTTTCGTTGGTATCTGGAAAATATTTATCCAGAAAGCCAGATGCCATTGAACTATTATTCATTGGGCGAAATACGTAACGTTGCAACAAAAAAATGTTTAGATACATTTGGCAGAAAAAGTGGTGAGAATATTGCATTATCTCCATGTCATGGGCTTGGTGGCAATCAAGTGTTTGCCTATACCAAACGTGAACAAATTATGTCGGATGACAATTGTATGGATGCTTCCAATTTAAGTTCACCAATCAAATTAATTCGCTGCCATGGAATGGGTGGCAATCAAGCATGGCTTTATAATAATTCAACCAAACAAATAATTCATAAAAAATCTGGTCATTGTCTTGAAAATGATGAAAAAGATTCGGATAATTCATCAGCCAGTCCAAAACTGAAAAAATGTAATTTGAAAAAACGAGGTCAAAAATGGCTTATGGTTAGTAATTTCAAATGGCAAACGAAGAAAATTGCCAAAAAAAATGAGACCAATAATCAAGATGATCAAGATGGATCGAGTGAAATCTAATTGAATGTTCACACAAACAAGGAAAATATCATCAACAAAACAAAATTTTTTTTTTCATTAACAAATCTGGTCTTATCTTTTAGCTCTGGTCGTTAAACATTTGTTTTTCTTTCAAATATCATAAATCAATCACACACGCAAATCAAAAGAGATTGATTATTTTTTTCTAATTTATTATTTATTCCTGTATAATTATTATTGTTTTAAAATCTGAGATGTTCAACATAGGATTCGTTACATCATTTGTCTTCTGTAAATATATCATAATTTGTCCTATGATAATTCTTCAGCATTAGATTTTCTTAAATTTTTCTGATTTTGTAAAAAAACGATTTTTTTTGCAATCCATTTTTCATCAAGTTTTTCTAATGTAACCCGAAGAAAAATGAAAGTGTGTTTATTAATATGTGTTGTCTTGATACATGTGATTTATTTGAATATTTTTTTTTTTTTTGATAATGTGCCTTTTGATATTTATGAAATAATGAATAATAATAATATGTATCAAACATGTGAAAAATTTTCAATCAATTAAGATAGTAGAACATCTTGTTTAGCCAATTCGAGTAGCATTGGATCATCGAAAAATTTGTTGATACTAACATCTTCGGATAATCCTTTACGGCGACGAGTTTTTATCATAAATTCTCTGGCTAAATGTGGAGCAGGTTGTGGTTCCAATGGTCTTATAACAATTGATTTGTCCAATGGATCGCCAGGAACAATCTATCAAAACAAAGGTGGTGTATTTAGAAAATGCACTCATGATAAATATTACAATGTAAAAATGTATACCTGCCAATGATGAAATACTGACAAACAAAATGCTTGACCTTGTGTGTGAGTTCGTAGATCTGTTTCGAATCCAAAAGAATCGATTGCAGGAATAAAAGCTTTTACAGTGTATAATGGGGAACCTGGAACCGGAACATCTTGAGTTATATGGCCACGACGTTTTGCTAAAACTGTATAAACGGCTGATACACAATCTGCTGGTGCTAAAGCTTCAACAAAATAATATGGTTCCATGAGTCGCGGTGTTGCCATCAGAAAAGAGGAATAAGCAACCCTACGAGCAGTTGGAATGATTTGTCCACCTCCTCTGGCAGCTGGTTCCGGACTGATAATAGCATCGAGAATTTTAAATTTAACATTTCGAATCGGTTCTTCACATAATGGTCCTTCTCTTGATGCCCATTGAAAGCCTTGAACAATAGAATCGCGTACAGTATTCAACAAACTTTTATCCACTTCAGATGGTAATGTATCATCGACCAATATATTTGGCCCGGTATTACTTGGGCCGAAAGCCCATATTGAACGTGCGGCAAGAATATCCCAATCATATTTAGTCTGAAAAAATTCTCCCAATTTTTTACGGTTCCAACCGATCTGTACAACTTCATTTTCAATATCTTCAGCTAACCCTTTTTCAAGTGGTTCAGCAATCATCATTATTTTATTCCTGTGTATTAGAAAAAAATCATTTGCATTTATTACTTGAAAGTGAGAATGTGAGACCTACTTTTTATTTGAAGTTTCGGCAAAGCATTTAATTTGTGAAGTTTCTACAACCGTTTCACAAAAGGATACGACAGGGTCGGCAACTTTAATATCTGAAAATCCATAAATAATTATGGCATTAAATAACAACATTAACAAGAAGACTTACCGATTTCGGAATACATTTTGCGCAGATCATGCATTACACAATCCAGATACAACTCTCCTGTTCCAAGAATAATATGTTCCCCACTTTCTTCTACACGAGTTCCCAACAATGGATATGATTTATTACATTTTCTCAAACCTTCTAGCATTTTTGGCAATTCCGATGGGACAACGGGTTCGACAGCAATCTTAATAACTGATTGAGTGTTGAACTTCAGTGGGTTGAAAATAAAAAGTTCATCGTCAAATCTAGCATCTACTATGGTTGAAGTTTTCGATATAGGCTGATCGATTCCTTCAATCAGAACCCAATTACCCGCGGGAACTCGATTTACTTCGATTGTATATCGACCTTCTGAAATCCAAAGTTTTCCCACTGACATAATTCGTGAATCTTCCTCATCGAATGATGAGTAATTTTCACCAAGAATTTTAACGCTTTGTTTTGCCTCAAGTGTTCCACTGAGAACAAGTCCGAATACATTAAAAGCTGTGCCGTCTTGCGAAGAATATTGTTTAGTTGTATGTACAACCAATGGTCCTTTTTGATCGCATTCGATCATAGATTCTGCTAATGGAGATTCTATTGGACCTTTCCAAATATGTTGAACTTTCTTAAGGGCATTTTCAACAGGAGAAGGAATTACATTTACACATATATCAATCAGACAATTGAAATCGCCAAAAAAACGTGAACAAATCAATTTCAGTAGCGGCCTTATATTAAGTTTCATTTCGCTTTTCGAAACTATAATACCAAGTTCGTCAAGAACTTTGGCCAAATTTTCGTCAGCATCACCAATGACTTGAGATATAATTTTATACAATGGTTCTAAAATGAATTCAATAAAAGTTCGTTGAGTTTGTCCTGTAGGAGCTTTTTTCACAAACTTTCGGCTATAAACGATATTTCAGAAATTTTTTTTTAAAATAAACATATAAAATTACCTTGTACGGTTGAAATAGATATCACCCCAAAGTCGTTTGGCGAATTCCGGATAATCCACTCCAGGATAATAAGAAGCGTATAATTGAGCGAAAGATTTTAAAGTGAAACAGATATTATATTGTGAACTGGCAAAACAAACATTGTTTAAAAGAGGCGATATCAATGGTGGTTCAGATGAATTGCAGTGTGTTCTGTAAATATTAAAAAAAACTCATTAAAGATTCATTTCACTTTTATCGAAAGCTATTTACTTAATAATGCCATTGATTTCATCTAAAATATGACGAATTTTATAATAGGCATCTTGAGGTGGAAGTTTCAATTCCAACATAAGACGATCCATTTTGTTTATACAAACCGCTATGGTAAGATTTTCCTGCAATGCATGCTTTAATAAACGTTCCGTATTGAGCATCACACCTTCAGCAGCATCGACAAATAGAATAACACCATCACAAAGTCGAATAGCTGCGGTTACTTCGTCCGAAAAATTAACATGACCAGGTGTATCAAAAAAATTCATTAAATAGGATTTGGATTTGAGATCTTGCATGACCACAGTGATTGGAGTAGATTTTATGCTAACTCCACGTTCTTGTTCCGTATAAAGAATGTCGGTGTAACGAAACTAGAAAAAGGTTATAAATTTATTTATTCATTGTGAGTATTCGCAATTGCAGATAATACCGGCTTATCCTCTTTTCGATTCCTTAATTCGGGATGCGTTTGTTCGATAATACAATCGACAAAAGTTGTTTTACCATGATGAAGATGACCAATAAAAGCAACATTACGAATCAGATTAGGATTATCCATCAAATCGGTCATATATCTAATTGGAAATATATTGATTAATTGAAAATTAACTGTCATCATTGAACATACTCTAAATCATAAGTCGTCAAAGGCAATTCTTTCATCTGATAGCTGAATTTTTTATTCTTGACGGGATCTATAATCGGTTTTGTCAATGGTTGTGTATCTTCCTCCTGAACAATCGTTTCAACTTCTTGTCCATAAACTTCTTCGGCAGTGGGATAATACTTTTTGTCTTCATGCAATACAACTTGCATTTGTTCATCATCATCATCTTCATTATTTTTATCGATTGTCATCAATTCCTAATCGATAAAATTATTGGAATAAAGTTTTCGAACAAAACAGAATACTTACATTATTCTGATCAATATCATCAGTCCCATCATCATCATCGTCATCTTGAACATTGAATTGAGAATAATCATTCCCTTCATCTTCACTATCTGATTCTGATTCTGGCCCAATATAGTTGCCGAATTCATCATAAAGATCCATTTTTTTCAATTAATTACAGAAAATAATTCCGATTTTTTAAAAATTTGGCATAAAGAATTGACAGAAAATCACATGTACAACTATCGATGTTGAACAATCGATACTCATTTTTATTAATTTTTAAAATAAAATTTTAATATTTGAAAAATAATAAAATCAAAGAGGAAAACAATCGCATTCTAAAATGCAATGATATCAAATTTATTTTTTTGAAGGACATGTTGACAAACCAAGAAAATTTCACCAGAACGAATTTCCAATATTATCATTTTAATAATCATAATCAACCTAATCCATGATCTTCAAAAAATCCTTGCGGCGTTTCCTCCTATAGAATAATGAAAGATATTACATAATTATAATCATAATGGACAAGTTTATATTGAATGCCAAAGTTTTTATTTAAAAGCCAATGCCATAACATTTTGCGTAAATATGATTTATTCATGATTGAATGGAAAACATGTAAAATATTGATTGTAATGTGGTACAAACATGTGCAATGTGCAAATTCATGTGAATTTTTTTAAATAATGTTTTTTACATATAACCCAGATCATTAAAAGACAGTTCGACACCTTCATCCTTTGAAAAAAATAAAATTTTTTAAAAAACAAATCAAGATTGATTTTAAGATTCATATCAGACTAGCAACTATATGTTATTGCGAAATTTGAATAAATTTGAAATTTAATTAAATGTTTTTAAAGTAATAACACATTCAAAATGAAAGACATGCAAAAGCCAAAGATGGAGAAAGTGATAGTAAAAGATCAAAGGAAAAACTTACCTCTTGTACCAGATCTTGTGCGGATATTGCTTTAAGGACATTCTTTTTGCTCGTTTCTTGAATAAATCCGCCCAATAAAAGTTCATCAAGAATGAAATATGCTTTTTCAAAATTGAAAATAATATCTAACTCACAAACCTATAAATTCATTGACAAAATATAATTAAATACTTAGACATGAATATTTCACATACGCTTCCAAAATATTTATCCAACAATTCAACGTAACGGTGTATCAATTCCAAACATAACAATTCATTGTCCGATTGTTCGATGGCGCATAAGAAATAAAGACTTGCATATCTACAAGATTAGTGGTTAGTTGTCGAAAATATCGAATAATCAAATTGAAATGACTGACCGTTTATAGACAATTTTAAAATCTTGCCATTCAACAAATGAACAATGTTTCGGTTTTCTAGCCAATATCAGATTGACTAAATCTCTGGTGATTTTTTTCTTTGTTTTGTCCGGATGTGCAACATACCATTTTTGTAAACGAAGTTTGCCTTGTCGGCTAAATAATAACATAAAATGTATCATTTTCAACAATAAAATTTCTCTAATCTAAAAATTCCTGATGAAGTTGAGCCACGAATCGATAAAGAATCTAAAGCAACCGAAACAGGTCTTGATTAGTGCAAATAGCTTCCTAATTTCACGTGTTGCGATTTAAAAAAAAAATAAATTTCAGGATTTTTGTTAATCATCAAAAATGGATGTTGTATCTTGTGAAAATGTATACGTTAGCTGTTCGGTAAATTGTTATCCACATTGTTTGGAAACCAAAGAGAATTTTATAGTATTTGGTTCTTCGAATTCGATTGTTCTTTATGATTTAAATGTGCGTTATTGGCGTAAAGTTTGTCGATATAATTTTTTTATAATAATTTATTTTGGATAGGCCCGATGTGTCATTTCATCATCATCTCATCATTCCGATTTGATCAATTCGGTGCGTTGGATAGATGACAAAGGTTTTTATATCATTTCTTCGTCAGTAGATCAAACAAGTATTATATGGCAGAAAGATGAACGAAATGTTTATCACGTGAAATATGTACTAAATGGCGGACATAAAGATTCGATAATTATTAGCGATTCTGTGATAGTTGATCTAGAATTCTATTCTGTATCAACGGCGAGCGATAAATCCTTATGTATATGGCAAAATGAACACAAGATTTTCGCCGAAAATCTGAAACATTTTATTTTCGATGTTCGAATCTATAATAATATGGCAAATATTTCTGGCTTGATCGTATTGACTGCTGGATCCGATGACTGTGTTCAAATAAATCGTTTCAATTCATTAAATAAAAATCTCGAATGTTTAATCACTTTGCAGGGACATTCTGATTGGATCAAATCGATTGATTTGATTTCATTCAATGGTAATATTAAAATCAATATCACTTGATTATGTCATTCGAATTGACTTTATCATTTTTGTAGATAAATGTTTACTTGCATCAGCATCTCAAGATTTTTTTGTAAGAGTCTATGAAATTCGAAAATCCTCTCTCAAAACTGACATGGGTGTAATGAGTGAAAATTTCTCTGTAACAAATAACAATGGTAATGAAGAATATTATTCTGCAACATTGGAAACAGTTTTGGCAGGACATGAAGGTTGGGTGACCAATGCTCGGTGGATCATCGTGGAAAATCGAATTCATCTTCTTACTTGTTCTTCAGATAAAATGATCATTCTCTGGGAACAAATGGATGATTCAATTTGGAATGAGAAATATCGTTTCGGTGAAGTAGGAGAAAATGCTCTCGGTTTTTTATCGTGTTCGTTTATTCAATCATCCCAAATGATTGTTGGTCAATCACAAAATGGTGCCGTACATTTATGGAAAAAAATGAATGACCAAAATTGTTGGCAATCTTATCCATCTATAACTGGTCATTTCAAAGAAGTTACCGATTTGACATGGGAACCTGATGGGGAATATTTTCTTAGTTGTTCCAGTGATCAAACCACTCGACTTCATTCATCATGGAATTCCTCGAAAATAACATCATGGCATGAAATCGCTCGACCTCAAATTCATGGTTATGATTTAAAAAGTATAGCGATGGTTGGTCGATTTAGATTCGTATCTGGAGCTGACGAAAAAGTTGTACGCATCTTCAATGCAACAAAAAATTTTATTGAATCAATCAAGAAAATAAGCCTAATCAACATTGATTTAGCAGGCGACGAAATTGCCGAATGTGCTATCGTACCTTCTTTAGGACTTTCAAATTCAGCCGTATTTGATATATCAAAAATCGAAGAAGAATTCAAACCAAAAACGATTGAAATGCCTCCAAGTGAAGAGATTCTCATGCAAAACACTTTATGGCCAGAATCACAAAAACTTTATGGACATGGATATGAAATATTCGCTGTGGCTGTCAATCATGCCAACACTTTATTGGCTTCAGCCTGTAAAGCATCAAACGCTACTCATGCCTCAATCATTTTATGGGATTTGATCACTTTTAAAAAATTGTCCGATCTTTGTTCACACAATTTGACTGTAACACAAATACGATTTTCACCTGATGATTCACTATTGTTAAGTGTTTCTCGTGATCGAACATGGTCACTGTTTAACGTACAAAATTCTGAATATCGTCGAATTGCATTTTCAGATAAAAACACCGGAATTCATAGCCGAATCATTTGGGATTGTGCTTGGACGCCTGATTCAAAAAATTTTCTTACTGGTTCACGTGATAAAACTATTATTAGATGGTATTTGAATGATAAAAACGAAACTGAAATTCAATCCAAAGAAAAAATTCCCTTTGATCATCCGGTCACTTCATTGGATGTTCATTCAAAAGTTTTCCATGAAAATAATCATTATTTAGTTTGTGTTGGATTGGAAAATGGAAATTTATCTTTACATACGATTGATATTTCATCAGGAGAATGGTTTAAAATTTTTAATTTTGAAAATCATAATCATACATCAACGGTGAATCGTGTAAGATTTTCACCCAAATTAGACATTGATGAAAATCAATTTAAAACTATTCATATGTCATCATGTGGTCAAGACCGTATGATAAAATTGTTTAAAATCATATTAAAGTTTAAATGAAATAAAATTCCAGAAATTTTATGCATATTTTTTTTTGTTTATACAACGTAAGTATTTTGATAAGTATGAACCAGGTCTTTTTTCGACATAAAAAGCATCAGTGTCGAAAATCGTCAGTTCTGTAAATAATATTTACAAGCTCGAGTTGAACTCGTTCTTCGTTTGCCCTTCATTGAATTTAATTGAAAAAAGGTAATTTTCGATTATAAACATTGATTTTTTTTCTCAAATTTTATTTTATTTTGAAAATTACAACAGTTTGAACAATGGTACGTCTTACGCCCAGAGCTTTAATTCGTTTTCAGATGCCCAGACAGGGCAAACCAATGGTTTATCCATACACAATTGCTGCAAAATGGTCACATTGGAATATTGCTTATGAATGGAAAATGAATTGGACATTCCGTTATACCCTCTATGGTATGATGACCGTATTTCCATTTGTCTGGTTCATTGATTCAACAGTCAATTCTCCGTCTGCAAAAGCAACATACAAACGTCTTAAAAAATTGGAACATGAAAAAGAACATGAAGAACATCGATGGGCTGATATTTCTGGACGTTATGCAAACAAATAAAATATTCAACACATTTTAAATCTATTTTCCAACGAAGAATGATTGAGATAATCTTGTTCAATAGTAATTAAAATTGAATTAGAATAATAATAAAAAAAAATTTATTTCATTATTTACAATTTCATTTACAATAATATGAAAGCAACAAATTTACAAAAAAAATATTAATGCATTGCTCTTCGCCGTTTCCAATGATTATTCGGTGAATGTGTTTCGGCAAAATCAACAGAAAATGGATTTACAGGTTTAGGCATTTTGAATTCAAGTTTTTGTTTGATTTGTGAATGATGACGATGGTGATGATGATGATGTCTGGATTGATTTTCTAGACTACAATCATAAAAATCACTTTGTTCATCATCACCATCAAAATTAGATTCGGTGGGACAATCATCGGAAAGATCACTGGATGAATATTTATCAACATCCATCATTGGATCAATCTTTTTTCGTGCCTTATCTTTTATCAATGATTCTGCTAACAATGATGATATCAACGTATTTCCAGACTGAACCTCTAATGATGAACCAGAATTCCTTTTTCTTTTTGGTATAATTTTGGAATGTTCTTTAGCTTTCCAACTTGGATTTCGTTGTTTAGAAAAACGTGGATATTTACTTGAACATTGTTTTTCAAATATTTCATCATCATTACTTTCAGAATCGCTTAGAATCAATAATTTTGAACGATTTATTATCGATGCATATCTATTTACAGGTTTTGTATTTTTTAATTTTTGTTGTCCACCCTAATAAAATTTCAATTTTTAAAATAAAATGAAAATTCAACATTGTTTTAAGCGAAATTTTCTACATTTACCTTTCGAGGTTCTTCATCAATCGTGGTACCACTAAGTTCATCGACAAGCTCATCCATAATTCAATTTAGAAAAAAATGAGCATCATAAATTGATTATTATCAATCCAAAAAAAATAACAAAAAAAAAAGAAAAAATGCGTCAAAAATTCAATTCATATGGATATATATCATAGTGATATATATCCAACATTGACTCAAATGATTCTGCGCAATACGAATGTGATGAAATGAAATTTAAATTTTAAATTTTAAAAGCAAAATTTTTTATCTTATAAATAAATGAAAAAATCGAATCATCATCATTATCAAACTATAAACTGATTTCCGGTTCATCGAAATCAAATTCAGTTTTAGCTAGATATGTTATTAAATTTCCTTTGCCTTTCACCGGGATTGGGCCACGTTTTTCTAATGTAAAAAGATTTTCATACTCATCATTCATGCATATAATATTGGCAGTTTTTTCTGTCATCTGAATTCGTCCCATTACACCTGTACTTTCCATACGGCTAGCCACATTAACAGTATCACCCTTTTTTTATATAATCATAAAATTATGTAAAATGTCAATGTTAGAATTTTGCCACCAAAAAAATAACAACAACGAACCCATATATCATATTGTGGTTTACTATTACCCACAATTCCGGCAATAACAGGACCAACAGAGATGCCTATTCTTAGTTTTAAATCTTGAAAGGTATTTTTATTTATTTCTTGTAATTTTTTCATCAATCCCATTGCAAAACAAATCAAATTAATTATAAGTTTTCGTTCTTCAATAATCGAATAACGATCATTCTATTTGAATTATTTAGGTGGTATGTTAGTAGCGTTAAGTATATATTAACAAAACATATTGAACTTACATTATTCGATTCTAATGACAATCGGCCAGGTTGTAAGCCAGCTGCGGCCATATATGTACTGCCAATAGTTTTAATTTTTTCAATTTTTTGAAATTCAGGACAAGATAACAGCTTGTTATAGAAAAGAAAACAAACGGAATTCAAAAAGATCAAATTATTGTTTTTTAAAAAAATAATGTAAAATTCAATTCGTTTTTTTCCTCATTCACCTACCACATCAAAATCGCAAATGATCTCATTAAGCAGTCTTAGACAATTTTTTCCATGTTGATTTATTTCATTTTCCGAATAAAATTCCGAATAATTTGGAATGGATGCAAACATTACGGCACAAAAACGATATGATTCCGAATAAAATGGTTTAATCAATCGTGAATCATTTGTTAAATATTCTCGTACAATATAGGCAGGTAAAATATTCTTCAATAATATTTCATTAATTTCAACATTAATTTTATCATCTTGTTTTTCTTTTTTTCGCATACGAAATTCTAATCGAAATACATATTCAATTTCACGATCAATAATAGTTAATATAATGATTACCATCAATAAATAATATAAATGGCTCATTATAGGATCAAAACCAATATTGCTGATCCATTGTTTTTCATTTTCAATTCTAGGTATTATTGATTGATAAAGTGAACAATCATTCAATAGAATTGCAATGAAACAAAACAATCCAATTGTACGAAGTATAAATTTAAACCACAAATTTATTGTAATAAAAATACTAATACCAGTCATTGATAAAATTGTACACATTGTAAAACTCTATCCTTCGATCAATAAAATAATCATTATGGTTGATTAATTCAATGATAAGAACAAATAAGTTTTTAAAACTAACTTACCCATATGTATGGACAATTGGCCGAATCAAATTGTTTTAATGCCGTTTGAGTAATCATTTCTTTTTGTTCCATTTTACAATTATACTATCGATTTAATCGAATCAAATAACAAATGATAATCATTACATGTTTCATTCATTAACATTGAAAAATTTTTTTTTGATCATTAATTCTTCAAAATACTAACCAAAATTAAATCATGTAATGAATTAACCAATAGTAAAATATTTACTATTATCCATATACCATTTCGTACACAAAATGTTAACTTTAAAAAAAACAAATTTCAAAAATAAAAGTAAAAAAGTAATTAGAAATTTTTTATAATTGAAATAAATAGCTTTTTCTTTATCATTAATAATTATTACAAACAGAAAAAAAATTTACCTTTTTTAAATTTCGATAAAAATAACAAAATAATGTTAAAATAATGATAACTGTAAAACTAAGTAATGATATTTGTAAACGTTGATTATCATTCCAATTTGGTATAATGATTACTTTTGTAATGCCAATTACAATACACAGGAATAGTGAAAAAAATATATGGAATATAAAAAAATCATCCGGAAGTGTAAGAAATTCTTTTTCTAATTTTAAACTATTTTCTTGGCCATCCTTGAATGTTGAACATTCATCATCATCATCATCATCATCATCATCGTCATCATATTCATCATCGATAACATTGATAGAATCTTCAACTTCACCTTCTTTTCCATATTTTTGTCTGACAAATGTTAAACTTATTGGATTGATTCCATGAAAGTTTTGAAAATTCCTTTGTTTCAATATTTAATAATAATAATAAACAAAAGAAAAAGAGAGAGATGAAATACAAACATGATTTTGTTTTGTTTCCAAGTTTTATATAAAGAATAATAATAATAATAAAATGATGACAAACTTTTTAAAATCAAATGGCATTTTTTCAATCTCTTGATCAATGAACATTTGTTTTTGTTTCAAGCGTTTTTCCATTTTTCTATTTTGTTATTATTAGGATGATGATAAATAAATAAATAAATAAAGTTAAAAGTATTGTTTGTTCAACAAGAATTTAGTTAGAGAGCGAGAGAGAGAAAGATACAATATACTGACTTGTTTGAATTTGATGAATTGATTCTTTTTATTGTATCGATTTTTGAAAATGATGAACTCATCTATATGTTGACGGGAAAAAAACGAGTAAATATTTTTGTTTGTTTGTTTGTTCGTTATATTCTATCTCTATACAATAAATATATTTTCAATCATTCAAACTTACTTGTATTTTACAATCATCATTCACTCGAGTATGTTCATTATTCGAAATATCCTCAACTAATATTTGATCATCTTTTTCCGTTTCATTTTCAATTTTTAAACTTAGTTCATTGATTGATGAAATTTTTTGATTAAATTTTTGTTGTTTTTTCGAATTATTATTAATCATACTGATTAAATATCCAATATTTTCATTGGTTATTTTTTCTATAAACATTCAATCAAAAGGTAAGAGTGAAAAAAAACAAATAGAAATCCATTAATGTTCAGATATATTAAATATACACAATTTTTTTTGTATACAACGATTACCAACGATTTTATATTGGGATAATTTATCTTTTGGTAAAAGATCAAAAGTTTTTTTCGTTATATGTAAACAACCAGGTACACCATCCTGTTCCATTTGTGATGCTAATAAACAATCCATTGACCATATATCAAATTGCCATTTATGCATGCCGATAATACCCGATTGAACCATACCCGAATGTATACCGATTCGCATATTAATATCAATGTTTTTCGATTTTCTTAGTTCACTTTTTTTTGTAATGGGGGAAACAAAACAAAACAAAAAATTCAATGAAAATTATTTTTTAGAATTAGTGGGAAAACCAATGAAAATTTGATAATAAATACTTAATAATTTTGATCATATCAAAACCCATTCGCACAGAATTCCATGCATGATTCGAATCTGGTATTGGTAAACCTGAAACACAATAATAACAATCACCAAGTAATTTAATCCGTAAACAATTATTTTTATCAGCACATTTATCAAATGTACCAAACATATTATCCAATGTTTCAACTAATTCATTTGCACTTAATTTTTCTGTTAATGCTACCGAATTAACAATATCGGCAAATAATATTGATACATTATCATATTTTTTAATATATAATTTTTTAAATCTTCTTGATGTAATTTTTCCCTGTTGATCAATAACTTTTATTGTTTCTTTAAGATCTTTTCGTACACGATCAATAAGATGTTGTGGTAGACAACTTTTCAATATTTCTTCATGTTCTTTCTGTAATTTATAGATATTATATTTTGATTCAATATAATTTTCAAATGTACGGCGAACAATTTTTTCCAATAATCCTTTTATATATAAACCAAATATGGCAGTATATACATAGGAAATAATCTCTCCAATAGCCAATCGAATAATAATGTGTTGATTTTCACAAAGATTAAATCGTACAGCCAATGAAATGATAATTTCAATAACAATAATGATAAATGATGATATTGCTGCCATCATTCTTGATGAAAATGGTAATAAAAGATTATTGGCTATCAATATATAATGTAATGGTCGTATTCGTCGTAATGGATTTATTGACAAATGATTTAGTTGCAAAAATTCATGACCATATTCGGTGACTATCATTGTTATCAATACGGTTATCGATGCTAAACTACGACTAAATTCTGGTTGTAATAAATTTTCATCGAAAAAAATAACAAACAAAAACATTCCGAATACGATTAATGAAGAAAAATATGGAAATAAAATACAGGAAAAATTCTATGAATAAAATAATATTAAAACTTTTCACTAAAGAATATCAAATAAAATTAATCAATTACCTGATGATAGATAGCAACAATAATTGTTATAATATTAAAAAATATATTCAACAATAATAACCAGATAAAAAAATTAATTTGTAATTTTTTAAGATAAATTCGCCAAAATAATTCATTCATTTCATCAATATTGTTGGACATCTGTTGCTTTAGGCCAAAAAAATCTTGTACAAATCTTTTCAATGACCATTGATCAATGATTCTTTGTTGATTATTATTATCAACATTATCAACATTATTATTATTAATATTATCATCATCAATTTGTCTATGTTGACTATGTTGACGAAATTGTTTGGCCAATATTTCGGCCGTGTTTGACATTCGTGACATTATGTTATTGATGTTTTTGTGATCATGAAAAAAAAACAATTTTTTTTTTTAATTTTCTTATGTTTTATCAAATATTTGATGTGTGTGTCTGTTGGTGATTATTAAATATCAACAATAGATGTGGCTCAATCCAAAAAAAAAACAATTACCATGGACAAAATTATTATCATCATTCTTGTATTTGATTTTTCTATCTACTACTTTACAAGCAATAATAATTTTTTTATTACAAGTTTTTTTTTCATTGACAATCATTTGGAAAACACTGGAAGCTATTATTATTAATAAGAGAAAAGAAGAATAAGATTTGTTCCCATTAACATACATTTTGTCCATTAAATTTTGTTTGCATTGCAATCTTGTAATCAAACATTATTGTGATTACATTCTTTTACCAGCAAACACACACACACACACACACAAATGGATAAAGTCTAATATGGATTGATATCATTATACCGATGATGATGTATGGTTTTTTTTTGTTTTTTGGTTCAAGTATGGTTGGTTACCACTTATCTACTTACTTAACAAGATGCTCCAATTTAAAATTTTCAATATGAAATTAAATTTTTATTATTATTATCCATTATTTTAATTTGAAAATTTTGTTTTTTAAAATTCGTACTTATACAACCCGAAACAAAACAAAAAAAACGGAAAAACAAATATTATTCAGTCAAGAATCTGATTGCTGAAGGCTAAAAAAACAGTTTTTTTTAGTTTGTTATAAAACTTATATAATCATCATCATCATCAATCGATTTGTTTCGATTATTGATTCTTATTTGCGAAAATGCAAAATTAAACAACAACAAAAATATACTATAGTTTTCTTATCGAACGAAACTTTTTTTGTTTTGTTTTGTTATTTTCTTCTAAACTATATTAATCATCTTTAAGTATTAGACATCATCGTCATCATGAAAAACTTTCGGTACAGTTATTGACATTTTCATTATGAGAGATATATGAAAAAAAATAGTAATATGATTGATTGGGCTGAGTGATTAATTTTCTCTTTTTTTTTTCTTTCTATCTTTTTTTACTTTGTCATTATTGTTATTCTATAGTCAAAACGTCAATTCCATTTGATGATTATATCTTTTCCTATCATAATTGAAACATGTCTCATTTCGATCCAATTTCGTCCATCGACAAATAGTTGACGTTTGCTTGTTTTTTTTCTTTTTGTTTCATATTCAATGATTATAGATGATAATCAATTTTGAAAATGAATTTGTATATTTTGCATGATAATCAATTCCAAAAATATCAAGCAACAAAAAAAAAATAGTCATTTCTGTCATTGATAATGATAAACGATGATCAATGTTTAAATTGTTTCAACAATTCAAATGAACTAATTTAACATTTTATTCTAATACTACATTTGCTAAATATGTGTTTTTTGCATGTTTCAAAGTTTTCTAATGAGAATCAAGTATTCAATTCCTAATATCATTTTTTTCAATGGATTTGACATTAATATTTTTTGCTTGGTTCTTCTTTATTTTTTTTGTTATGTTCAAATTCTTCATTCATTCATTTATTCATAGTATATAGCTTGTGTGTGTTTTGATTCTCTTGTTATGTCTCGAAGTTCAAATTCTGTTCAATTTTTCTCTTCTTCTTTATTTTTCATTTGTTGTATATCATCATAACTATATAAAATGAGAATGTGAAAAAAAAATTTGAACGAAAATGAATTGGTTATCTAAATCACCAAAACCATCAATAGTAGCACAATTTTTTTGTGTTTGGAACATTATGAAGAAAAAAAATTTTGTATAAGATAATTCCGAATCATTGAAAATAGCAGTATTGAAATGAAAAAGAATTGAGTTTTTTTTAATATTTATTTTGGTTCAGGATTCTATATATAAATTGGAAAGAAAACAGACCACTGCCAGTTCCTGTTTATATCAACTCTAATAATGCTCTATTATGTTGTTCATATGCAATTTCATGTTATTTTTTTTCTTTTGATTTTCTTCTTTCATTCTTTTTCGTCCTTGTCGTCTTTTTTCTTGTTGTTGTTGTTATTGACTGATTAATATCTATTCAGATCTCATTTATGTAATATATACACATTATGAAAACAAATTGTCATCATCATTTTTCTTTTTCTTCTTCATCATTTTTTTTCACAATCACTATCAGTAATTATTTTTATTCTTTTTTATTACAAGTTTGCCATTGATATATACGCTGATCAATGAATATATCATATTGAATATAACAATAAATGGTTTGATCATCATCAATCGATACTCATGATGATTGTCATGATTACTATTTTCAATTTTGATATCCATTTATTCAATGAATGTTTGATTCTTCATACATAGTCCATCCAATCATATTGAACAATGATTTCATTCTGTCATATTCGTTTGATTTCATAGGAGAAAACAAAAAATGAAATTACTGCCCAAATAATTATAAATTAGAAATTCTGTATCACTTTTTTTTAAATAGAGCTAAATGAATTCGATTGAAGATCGACAGAATCAAATCAAAAGTGAGTAATTATCAAAGGTTTTTTTTTGGAAGATTAATTTTAATTAAACAATTTTTTTAAATCATTGATGAAGACATTGACCATTGCACCACATTTTCATCCGGTCACATGTCTTCATCGTCAGCGACATTGGCCATTCATCCTCATCATCATCATTTTTATGGTCATGAAATTGGACATCATTATCATCATCAACATCAACATCATCCGCATATACAACAACATCATTATCATAATGTACAGCCACCATCTTCATCAGCTTCACAAATGACAAGTAGTTCATATGCAGCTGCCAATACACTTTTATCTGGTGAATATCCAACGATAGGATCTGGAACACAATCAACAAAACGATGTTGTCAATCGTGCCGTTGTTCGAATCGTCTTGTTACCGGTATTATTATAACGATACTACCGATTGCCATCACTTCCACATTGATCTGTGTGTTTATGATGCAGAAAACTAATCTACATCAATATGCCATCTATTCATTTGTCATATTCTGTGTTGCATTTGTCTTTCCATTTGCATTATTCTTTTTTACAGTCGTCCTAAATAAGGTATATTTTATCATTATATCATTTTAATTTATTAATTTTATCTCTTATTATTGAATTTCTTATTAATCTGTTTCACACTTCATTGAATAGCTTTATAAATTCTACAAACGGGAAATACTATCCAATTCGCCCACAAATATCAACTCATTAATGACGGATAGTTGTGATTCAGAATCGGCAGCTATTGGTGGTACCACAATTTCGGGTTATAATATCAGTGCCAATAATAATAATAATAATACTAATAATAATCTTAATCCATTGTCACCAAGTAATAATGGTGGCATACTTAATCGAGTTATTGTGACCAATGCTCATCATTCATTAGATACAAATCAATCACCACAAAGTGATCATCAACATTCACATCATCAACATCAACATCTTCATCATTATCAACATTCACCAAATGGTTTGATATGCTATAATACCCGAGCATATCATCATCATCCATATTATTATCAAATTCAAGAGGGCACCGTAGTTGCCTTGGCACCCGATAATACATTGATTATTGAAGATAGCCCTCCAAGCTATGAGATGGCATTACTTTGTCCAAGTGTTAATACGCACAACCAATCGACATGTCCAAATTCATTAATTGATCCATCTCAAATGCAAGTGATCTTACCAAAAGAAAAACAATTAATATCAAAACATAACCATGAACGATCCAATAATGATGACGATTCTGTTGATAATGAAAATGTTGAAGAAAATGATGATGATGATGATGATGGCGATGGGGATATTAATGATGAAGATGATGAAGATGACAACGATGGTAATGACAATGATGAAACACCAAAAGTGGTAACTAGCCACAATCATCTTCTTCATCTACATCATAATCATAATCACTTAAATCATGATCATAATCATGATGATAATGAGGAAAACAATGTACAAAAAACTGATAACAATACAATCGTTGATGAAAGTAGCGAAAGTTTTGAAAGCAGTGAACGTTCTAATCAGGAAGAGACATCACAATCAAACTAGACAAGAAAATATAATTTTGTTTCTTCTTTTTGAATTTAATTCTCGATTTTATTATGAAAAAAATGTGAGAAAAAATAAACAAAATTTATTTGTAAATATTCAAAAACATTAATATATAATCATTAATAACAAAATTTTATCGTGTGTTAAATATCTGTTTTTAAATTTGAATTAATAATACCAAAGTAAACTATAATAAACAAAAACAAAAAATCGACAACAACAACTAAAAAAAAACATTGTGATAAAATCCAATTGATGTTTCATTTTTTTCCTGTTCACAACATACTTAAACACTGTTGAATAATTTGACAATTTGTTCATTCATTAAACATTCAGAACTTTCTCTTTCTCTACATTATTATAGCCAAATTATAATAATTTTTTTCAAAGATAACAAGAACATTTTGTTTATTTTTTTTTTCTTTTCAGTTATTAATATTGTTTTTTTTAAGTTTTTTCCAATTAATGAATCAAATAGTTTTCAATCGAACACCTAAATACACAAATACAAATAAATGTTACATAGCTGAATCAACAGATTTTCATCATAAATAATTCCCTGTGCAATTGTAATTCTGTCTATTCTATATTAACTATATGGAATAAAAAGATAAAAAATTTATTCTTATTTAAACACACACTCTTTCTCTCTCTCTCACACACACACAAAATATTTACATAATTTCGTTATAAATAAAATATAAATTCATAAAAAATTCAATGAAGAAAAAAAAACAAATCTTTTCCGTCAAAATAAAATGATGAATAAACAGAACAAAATTGCATAAATCTTTATCGTCTTCGGTCGTTCATCATCATTTAGAAAATTTATCATCATTATTTGAATAAATAAGAACAGACGAATTTATAAATTTGAAAAGGAAAAATAAATAAATAAATAGAAAATGTGCGCGCCAAATTCAATTTTCAATGTTTATTTATTAGATTCTTGTGTGTGTTTATCATTTGACCAGACAAAAAAAACTAACAAACATAAAATCGAAATTAATATTTAATTTGATTCCGCAGAATTCTGTTATTTAGTACATTTCATTTACAAACAAATATTTTGTATTGACAAATTAAATTGCAAAAAATTTAATCAAAAAAAAAAGAAGAAGAAGAAAATTTAATCATTCATTTACAGAACCGTATTATTTGATTTAAACAACGTTGAAAATGTTTGTTATTTTTGATTGAATTTTTTTTCTCTCGTTTTAATGGTAGAAAAAAAGTTGTGTGTTGGGGGAGGTGAAAAGCAAAGCAAAAAAAATCGATTAATCAGAATCGAACCATTATTCGAACTGATGGTATATGTAAAGTTAAACACTATGACCAGAATAAAATGCAATAAAGATTTTATCCAATAAATTTTGCTTGTAATGTGATATGATGATGATGATGATAAGAAGTGATATTTAAGATTGGGAAAAAAACCAAAAATAAAGATCCAAACAACAAAAAAAAAAATCTAAAATCGAATATAGAACCAAAAATTCACACAATGTTCTATATATTGGTCAATTGGTTTAGTTATCTACTTTTGTATATCTTTCTATCTTCGTTATTTTTTCTCCTCATAAATAGATCAACAAAAGAAATTCACAAGCGTCGATGCAAAAGTATTTTATTTCATTTTATTATGTGTGATATATATATAAAGAAAATATATATTCTACAAGCACATCATACACATTACAATGCGGTTATCAAGCACACACACACACTTATTTAGCATCAAACGATTCTTTTTTTTTCTCATCGTCATTATATTATTATCATGATAACAAAACAATAACAAAACAAAAAAAGAAAATGAATCATTTACAGTGAAATAAGTTGGATACCAAAAAAAATATTTCACTCCATCTTTGTATCTATACCCTATGTGTGTGTGTGTGTTTCTTTTTTTAAGAATTTCTTCGAATACTTCAATTTTCTCATTCTTCTTATTCTGTAAATTTTATTATCATTATTTTTTTACAAATAACTCAATTCGACATAACAATAAATAAATAAAAATTACACAATCATTGTCATCAATCGATTACAATTGTATCCAAAAAAATATAAATTGTCAATAATAATGTTTAATGGTCGACAATAATCAAAAACGAAATGCAAATCACTGCAAGTAAGTATAGTATTAGTTGTATTATATTTTAAAAAAATTACCCCATATTTATTCACATGATTGAATTCCAAATATTTATCCATAATCATTGTAATTGTATCAGATTTCTTTCACTTTTTTTTTGAATATCAAATTTATATTCATTGTATGTATTTTGAGTTAATTTTTTTCTTTGTTGAAAACATAATGTGTGTATTTTGTTAGAAATTTGAATAGAATACAACAGAAAAATCGTTTCACCTTTTTGGCCAGAAAGGCTCAATTTCAACCAGTTATCTAAAGAAAAAATTCTATATGTAAATATTGATTCGTACGGATAGATATGATGCAAAGAAAATCCTGAATATTATTATGGCTTTTACGAAAAATAATGCAACAAAACTAATGACAATTCAATTCACTGTTTGAATAATTGAATAAAAAGCTTTAGGGAGAAATAAATAGAAAAAGCCACGTCTTGTGTTTGATGGGTCGATTGATTTCTATTTTCTGGATTTTTTTCTCCGCGTTTTTTTTTCATTTTATCAATAAACCCAAATGGATTGTGTATAACCTGAGGTGATGAAAGGATGTGACAAAACGAATGAATCGAACATACACTAAAACACATATTATGTAATATAATATAATTTTAATCGATTCTTCTCTTTTTTTTTATTTATCTTCATTATAGATTCCATTGAAAACCCTTCGATTAGATTAAATATTTCATCAATAGTGACTGCCAATCGTATCGTACATGATATGAACAATGTCGACACAATATCTATACAATCGTATCCATCCAAAGAATTTTCGATTCCAACAAAATCAATTGTATATAATAATAATAATAATAATGATACGATAAATGGTGATGATAATAATAATGATAATAATAGTGAAATTCTTTCGAATCGATTCTGTTGTATGAGTCGAGAATTTTGGACATGTCTTTTATTATCATCGATTGTAATCGGTCTTCCTATTGCTATTATCATAATGCTCATTAATTTGCCTCGATTATCAAGTCAACGTGACACACGTCAACAGCATTATATTTTATTGGCGTTTGGTTTACCTTTTTCCTGTGTGATAATTGTAGCATTATTATATGGCATTTATAGTTTAATTCGACGTATCAGACGTGGACCAAATCATTCCCGTATTTGGAATAAATCGATTGATTTCGGTCATAATTCGATAAAATCGAAAAATTCATTAACAAGTATGGATGAAGAGCCAAAATTATATTCACTTGTCACACAGGTAATGACAAATCAACGAATATCAATATCAACGCCAAATATTTCACCAAAAATGGAACGAAATTATTCATTACAATAATAACAATTTTGTTTTTTTATTAAAAATTTTAAAAAAAATTTAATACAGTAATAAATTTATAAATAGTTCTGATAACATTTGTATTTTATCCATTCTAATTGTAATAATAACAAAAATAAATAATAAAAATATTGAGAACGATAATTACAATTGAATTCTGTTTTTGTTTTTCATTTTTCGAAATTGATAATCATCCATTAGCTCTGTATTCATAATTGAATAAAAATTCGTTGCACAAGAGAGAGGAAAAAATTCTTAATATAAATTTTCTTCATAATTCTTTCAACACATCATTATATGATGAATGGGATCTATATCGAATGGAATCTTTCAAAACATCAACAATATTAGTTGCCCAAATGGAAAACTCAAAAAAAAAGAATATATATTCCATTTATGAAACTAACAATATGTATTGGCAACAATAATGATAGTCAACTGAATTGAATGAAACAAAACAAAAAATTCCACAAATATTCTTTTGAATATATATTGAGCCAACTGGATGTTATTTTTTTCAACAAAAAAAAACTCTTATTCATTTTAGCCCTTGTTGTTTTTTTTCATTTTATTTTCTATTTGAATGATGTATATTTTTTTCAAAAAAAGCATTGATCATCCATTTACTATCATTATTCATATAATGAAAATTCTTGATGCTTGGATATGAATGATTGTTCGATCCGATTTTTTAAGTGGATGTTCCATTATAATATTTTTTGCCTAAAGTATTTTTTTTATGTTTGTTGATGTTTTTTTTTCTTCTTCTTCTTCTTTCCGTTACAAAAGTAATGATTTATTATTATTTTTTGAAACGAAAAAAAATTGCAAAATTTTCAATTTTCACTTTTTTCATTTCTTCATTCGTTTTGTTTTAATCGAATAAAATCATTTGAAAACCAAATGAATATTTCATTTATTTTGTTAATGATATAAAAATGAAATTTAATATTTTATTCATTGTAAAAAGAAAAATTATTTGTTTCTTTCATTGATCAGTTATTTTCATCTGAATTAGATCGAAAATAATAATCGATAAATATGATTATGAAACATAATCAACAAAGATTCAATAAATTCAAGGTCTTGAACATTTTGTTCTATATATGTTTGTTTGTGGGTTTGTATAATTTTTTCCATGGATATTTTTGTTTTGTTATTGTATCAAATCATTTCGATTCATTTTTGTGTGCGAAAAAAAACAGAATCAAAACAAATAAAATTAAATCGATTTTTTCTTCTCTGTTTTTTTCTTTCATTTTTTTTGGTTAAAATACATTGTTGTTTGAGCAATTTTTAAAATGGTTTTTGACTGTACAAATTCTAATCATCATCATCATCATCATCATCATCGTTATTATCGTTTCAATGTTTTCAGAGGCCAATAAGGAGAAATAGATAGATAGATAGACATGTGATGATGTTTTTTTTTTTGGTCGTAGAAGCATTATTAATAATCTACGCGCAATGGAAAAATAAAACGGGAAAATCCGGATATTGTTGATATGAAAAAAATGATCATAGATATTAGGAAACAGCAAACTAACTTGGAAAAAATGAATGTAACTTAAAAATAAAGAAAAGAAAATGGATTCTATCGTTCAAATTGTTGTTGTTGTTATACACTTGTCATGACTGATATGGAATATAAAAAAAAAGAAACTAAAAATTCGACTACCACACATAAGATAATAAAGAATAAATGACGTGTATAGAAAGAATGAGAAGTGAACCGAAAACAAAAACGACAAGACTTACTGGAACTAGTGGCTGAAAATATTGTAACCCAGAATAATAATAACGACCATAGTCAAAATGTAACTAATGTCAGAAATGCTTTGAGAAATCATCATCATTTTTTACTTCAATTACGAATGTCTTTTTTGCTATTCATTTTGTTTCCCAAAATCATCATCATCATCATCGATTATTATCATTAATAATAATCATGTTACAATATTGTTGTCCATCGAATGTTTGCCAAATTTTTCTTTCATTTCGTTTTTTTTGTTGTTTTAATAAATTTTCAAATTCATTGTGATTTTGGGAAGGAAAAATTACTGATCATGGCCAATTTTAACTATGTGAATAATAATGAACGAACAATATACAATAATGAACAATTTAATCCAATGTATTTAGACGAACCAATTCGTTTGGATACAAGTCCATATAATCGAAGATTTTCACAAAATGGTGATTCATATATGGCACGAAGATATTCATCACCACAAATGGGTTATTATGATCTAATTACCGGTGAATATCGATATCGATCGGATAATTATAATCAATCATCATCATTATCAAATTATATTGGTGAAACTGAACCACCAATGTGTGAAAATACATGTAAATGTTGTCAAGTAAAATTACCATTTAATTGTTTAACAATTTCATTAATAACATGTTTAATGTTACTTATAATGTTTGGTCTTTTTCAAGCAATATTGTCTACATCTAATTCAAAAAATCCAGTTAATACAACAATATTTAGCGATATGATTTTTTTAATGTCTTTTTTATCCGTGATATTTTTCATACTAACTATTATACGTTATATTTGTATTGAAAAATTTCATCTATGTAATAATGGCCTATGTTATCGTTTTCATTTATTGGGCAAAGTAATTGGTGATGTATTTTCAAATGATAGTTCAAAACATATTTCCTATAATAGTGGCCCAAATATCGATGTTGGTGGCGATGGTGAAGAATTTGTCTAAACAAACCAGAAAACAAAATTAACCTTGTACTTTTCATTATAATTCGAAGAATTAGAATTCATTTTTATTTCAAATTATTATTGTTGTCCATTATCAGATCAACATTCATTTGCAAACAAAAAAGAAATAATTTTATTTAAACATTTCGATTTTTTAAAAAATTTCTAATCCATTTGAAAGAAAAATAAAATTTTATTCATAAAAAGTTGAATGGATACGATTTTTTAAGCCGTCAATGTTTTTATGTTTTAAAAAAAAGAAACAAAAACATTTTGCAGTGAAGCCAGCTAATAGGAAAATAGAATACACACACACAAGGAGCAATATGTATGTTGAGCAATGTATTGCGCATTTCATGAAATATTTCTGTTTATGTCTTGGATCATTTTTTTCATTTCTATTTTTTGGAAAATTTCTCCTTGTTTGATTAATATATTATGCAACAGTTGATTTCGTTCCATTGATTTTTAATTTCGAAAACAATCAACATTTCATCATACAATGATTATCAAATATTCTTTTAAAAAAATGATTTCTCGATTCTAATCAATTCTGACGATGACGTGTCTACAAATTTTTTTCTAATTATAATTCTATACACATGTATGTTCAGGTGAACTTGAAAAATGAATTTTATTAAATTCAATAATTTCAATAATTTTATTTTTTATTAATAGTCATGTTGGAAAAAATTTAAAATAATCAAGATCATCATCATCATCAACCATATAATTTGTTCATTGACATTCGATATGTTTTTGTTTTGAACACGTTTTTTCTTATCATCGTTTTTAATAATCAGTTTATGAACAAACAAAAATAATCACTCGTATTAATGATATAATACGATAACAGGATTTTATCCAAATATTGATAAAAAAACAATAAACATAGATAAATTATCAAAATATTTGAGACAAGACTGATATCGAATGATAAAATAATCATGTCACAAAGTGATAATCAGGTTTGTTCACATCAATTTTTCAATATTTATTTTATCTTCGATTTATCTGTCGATCAATCAATATTCTTAATGATTGTTTAGCTATATATAAAATGAATAAACTATTTCATTATTAATTTCGATAATAATGTCAATGTTCAAATGATTAACATTGATTGTGCGCTAAGATTTATTCATTATTATTATATATCCAAATAAATGTATCATCAATTCATTGTGTGAGCACAGCTGATCAAATACAATCATTCTCATATCATAAAACTCCTATATCTATAAAAAAAACAGAAATAAATATAAGGAAATATCATTTTATTCAAATAAAATTTAGTTGCATCCATTGGAAATAATGAATTCATCTTCATCCGATGCAAATGTTGTTTCGAATTCAAAAAAATCCGATTCAGAAAATCAAACACAACGTGAAAGTACGTATTTTAAATTGTTCGAATGTTCTAAACAACAATCCAACTAAAATTATATTTTCCATGAAAAATTAAAAGGTGATCATTTACAAAAGGATACAAATGTGACTAGATATGGTGTCATAAGTGATACTGGAGATGACGATAATCATCTTGTAGTCAATGATGATGATGCTGTTGATACGGTTGGTCATGTTGATCCTTATCTTCAAACATATGTATCGATACCACCAACGCAAGATGTAATTGAATTAAGATTCATTGTTACAAATTAATCATTATTGTTTATTATTAGTATTCATTTAGTTGGCGAAGATTATGGACTTTTACCGGGCCAGGATTTCTTATGTCTATTGCATATCTTGATCCTGGTAATATCGAATCTGATCTACAAGCAGGAACGGCAACAAAATATTATTTGTTATGGGTTCTAATGTGGTCTACGATAATGGGATTGCTTATGCAACGATTAGCAGCCAGATTAGGTGTTGTGACCGGTCTACATCTGGCCGAATTATGTCATCGTCGTTATGCATTTTTACCAAGAATTTTACTCTGGATAATGATTGAAATTGCCATCATCGGGTCGGATATGCAAGAAGTGATAGGAACAGCTATATCACTGTATCTACTTTCAAATGGGAAAATTCCTTTATTTATCGGTGTGTTGATTACAATTTCTGATACATTTACATTCTTATTCCTGGATAAATATGGTCTTCGCAAATTGGAAGCATTTTTCGGTTTCCTAATGTAATTATTATAAAATAATCATTCCTTAATGATATCATTTTATCATATCATTTCTATAGAACGGTAATGGCGATAACATTTGGTTATCAGTATTACATAATGAAACCAGATGAATTGAGCGTCCTTGAAGGACTTTTAATTCCCAGCTGTCATGATTGTGATTCGGATACTGTTATGAAAGCGATTGGAATTATCGGTGCAATCATAATGCCACATAATTTATATCTACATTCTGCTTTAGTCAAAACACGTCGAATCGATCGACAAAAAAAAGAAGAAATCAAAGATGCTAATCGTTATGTTTTCATTGAATCGGCCATTGCTTTAGGCACTTCATTATTAATCAATATTGCCGTAACAGCTGTTTTTGCTCAGGGTTTATATGGAAAAACTAATTCACAAGTTAATATGATCTGTCGGAATTCTACAGTGCCTGATAACGTTTTTCCCAATACAAATACCAAGGTTGAAATTGATATCTATAAAGCTGGTATCTTTCTTGGATGCACGTTTGGAATAGAAGCTCTTTACATTTGGGCAATCGGAGTTTTTGCATCTGGACAGGTTAAATTTCAAGTTTTTTTTATTTGAAAAAAATTAATAATTTTCAATTAAAAATTTTAGTCTTCAACTATGACTGGAACTTATTCGGGCCAATTTGCAATGGAAGGATTTTTAAATCTTCATTGGTCAAGATGGAAACGAGTATTATTAACGCGAACAATTGCCATAATTCCTACATTGTTGATTGCTTTTCAAAGCATGTCACAATTAACAAGAATGAATGATCTTCTTAATGCTTTGATGAGTTTACAATTACCGTTCGCCTTATTTCCCGTCCTTACATTTACATCATCACGTAAAGTTATGGGTGATTTTGCTAATGGTAGATTTACAAAATTATTGGCCACCGCTCTATCTGTGATAGTCATTTCTATAAATCTTTATTTTGTCTATGATTATGTTCACAGACATGTTGTTTCACATATATTAGTTTATACATTTGTATTTTTATTCTTTACATTTTATATCCTTTTCGTTTTATTTCTGGTAAGTTTTCATCATCATCTTATTTTTTTCGTGCTAATCATTATTGTTTTATTTCTTTTTTTTTGCACAGTGTGGTTCATATGTGGCCGTACTTGGTTTTGAATTTGTCTATAAGATTCCCTATTTTGGTCCATGGTTTAAAGAATCTGATTATAATGAATATCGTTATAGTTGATTAGTAGAAATAGAAATGGATAACGATAGCGATTGAAAATGTTGATTGAATGTAAAAGAAAACAAATTTTTTTTTAAATAATTTAAATTTTATCATTCAAAAAAACATTAATCTTTTATATGTTTTTGTTATCTATTTATTATTTTTATTATAATTAGATTTTTTTTCTCATAATTCTCATGTTCTCATATACATACGATATTAAAATAATTAATCAAAGTATATTTTATAAATTTTTTTTTTGACTGATTTATTTTATAATTTAGCGGCCAAAAAAGTAAAACATTTTGTGTTAAGCCAATATCCATATAACATTTGGCCCGATTTACAAGAAGGAAAAAAAATACAACGGGCGTTGCCTTTAAACACATGCAACAGGCTAAAAAATATTTTTATTCGTGGTAAAATGATATAGTTTTGTTTTGTTGTCGTTGTTTTTTTTCGAAAACAACCATAAAGTATATTGCGCTTCGTCATTTGTTTGTTGGTATTTTTTTGTTAATCAATTAAGATTTTGTTCATTGATAATCATCATTTTGTTCAATTTGATGAGTCATTCTTTTATGTGTTTTTTACATGGAAATCAATCAAATCTTCAATTGCTTTCTTCATAGTTGTTAAAGAAAAGAAATATTTGTTCAATTTCCTGTTTATAGAAATTGTATTTATTTTCCTATTAAGCAGAAAATCCTATTACAAGTTCATTTTTTTTCACATAATTATTTTACCATTGGACAAAGAACTGAGAAATTCTTAGACTTTCATTTTTTTTATCTTCAAAGATATCCGTTTGAAAGAGAAAAAAAATACCAGAAGAAACCAGTTTGACAAGTACGGAATGTTAACATTTCAGAAAAAAAAATTGAAGATAAAGGCCATCGAGATTAATCATTCGTTGATATTCAAACCGTTCATCAATGTTGAACATCTTTTGAATCAACCTACCAAGCAATTTTTTTTAATTTTTGATTTATCAGCTTGCAGCTATTGTCAAATTCAAATTATTGCCAACTATCATTTGTGATTTTTTATTATTTGTGCAAAAAAATCCTTGAAGATCCATCATTGCATCTGAGAATTTGTTCAAACTTTTATTCAAATTTGTCATTTAAAAATGAATAATAACTTAATTTTAGTAACCGGTGCTGCCGGTTATGTTGGTTCCCATTGTCTTGTTGAATTATTGAATAATGGTTATGATGTTGTGGTCATCGATAATTGTTCCAATTCTATACACTTGAATGGTAAAAATATGCCTGAAAGTTTGATTCGTGTGCAATCAATTACTGGTCGACAATTAGTAAATTTCTACAAAGAAGATATTAATAATGTTACTAAATTAGAGGAAATATTCAACAAACATCGATTCATTGCTGTCATGCATTTTGCAGCCTTAAAAGCAGTCGGTGAATCATGCAAAATACCACTGGATTATTATCACAACAATGTTAGCGGAACTATAACATTGTTAGAAGTGATGAGAAAATATGGTGTTAAAAAGTTTATTTTTTCATCATCAGCTACAGTTTATGGTTATCCAGATTATTTGCCAATCGATGAAAATCATCGAACTGGAAATGGATGTACAAATCCTTATGGTCGAACAAAATACTTCATTGAAGAAATATTAAAAGATTTGTGTGCCTCAGAAAAAGGTTGGTGTGTGGCATCATTACGATATTTTAATCCGGTCGGTGCACATGAATCTGGCGAAATTGGTGAAGATCCTCAAGGTATTCCAAATAATTTGATGCCATTCATATCTCAGGTAGCTGTACGGCGACAGCCTTTTCTCAAAGTATTTGGTAATGATTTCAAAACTGCCGATGGAACCGGTGTACGTGATTATATACATATCATGGATCTAGCTGCCGGACATTCAATAACATTAGAAAATATTCTGAAAAAAGAATGGACTGGTTGGAATGTCTATAATTTTGGAGCCGGTACAGGATATTCAGTATTAGATGTATGACCATAAAATATAAAAAAGTATTTAATTCTATATTTTATAATATTTGAAATTTATTACAGGTAATCGCAGCATTTGAAGAATCAACTGGCATTAATATCCCATATAAAATTTGTAATAGACGTGCTGGTGATGTGGATGAATTGTGGGCTGATATTCGAAAAGCACAGAACAAATTGAACTGGAAACCAAAATGGACATTGAAAGATATGTGCGCACATAGCTGGAAATGGCAATCAAAATATCCGATGGGTTATCGAACTCTTCGACACAAACAACAACATGATACGAATGATGGAAACCTGAACGGTAACTTTATGGCTAATAATAATAATGTTGATAATTTTGTTCAACTATCACAACAGCAACAGCAACGAAAAGAACATTTTTTAGACATGTCAATGATGGAAAACAAAACGGCCAATGAAACTTTATTAAAAACTAAAATATTCAAAGGAAAACGATTTGCACTTGAAGTTAACAATAATGAAGAAGATATTATTGTATAGATTTGACAATAAAATCAGAAAAAAGACCAAACAATACAAACATTCATCTAGTCTTACAATCAATCATTTTATCAATTAATCATTATCATTTATCAGACTAACAATTAATATAACAAGGATATTGCATTTTTTTTTATTGAAATTTATGAAAATTTGTCACAAAAATCTTATTTTTAAAAAAAGACATTCCTATTTAAATATCTTATAAATTCTAATCCGATCCAATAAAATAAAGTAATGATAATGAACATTTATGTCCAACTAGACGAATATATTCATTGATTTTTTCCTTTTGTTCATGATCATTATTTTTAGTCAATCGTTTATAATCGCGATAATTCAAGACCATATTTTTGAAAAAAACTTTAATATCACAGTCATCGATTGAACTGCAATCATCATCCTGTACGGTTGGATCATCACAAAAACGTGCATATTTATTTTGTTCTAATTTTTTTAGACAAGATTCAATGCTGAACCAACGATAAGTTTCCGAACATAGTAAATCAGATGGTAAATATTTGGCTTTGTAACGCATTTTTGGACATTGATGAATATAATAACCCATGTAATAATATTTCAAATCCGGCAAAATTTTTGAAAATTTTCGAACCATTGCAATCTCACTGTTTCAATAAAAAAAAATTTGATTAATAATCTTCAATTTAGATTAGAGACGACATACTTTAAAGCTGAATACACTCCAAGATTAAGAAAACTGTATTCCGGATCATAGTAAAGATAGACAGAGGAAATACAACCAGGTAATATATCGATGACACCGACAGCTACAAGCTTATCATCAATATAATAATGTTGATGATATGCTCCATAGAATCGTGGTAAGTCATGATCATTGGTAAAGTTTCGTTTAATCAATATATACTAGATAGGCGAAAATAATTTTAGAGAATTTGTTAATTTATCAAACACTTACATCAAGCGGGGAATCAATAAGGAAGCGAGCATAACTTCGATAGCTTATTTTATTTTCTTTTTCTTTGTGTATCTTCATCTGATATTTTTTAAAAACTTCATAATCGGTACGATCATTTTCATCCGTTTTGGATTTAACACGAATGATTCTTGTCTGAAGATTATATGAAAAAAGATGTTAACATTGACATTCTATTTTAAGTAGAAATCATCCTTTACCTTGAATGTATGTTTTGGGGTAGCAAAATTTTCAATTTCGGAAAGATAATCTTCTAATGTTTTTGTTTTCTGCTTTTGACAGCTTTTTTCCCATAATAGCTGTTTTGCACGTTCTTCCGAACAATTTTCTCGTTTCTTTATTTTTTCAATCAATTTTTGTCGTCGTATGTATTTCTTTTTGGTCACCTTTATTTCAGATTTCACTTTATTAAAATCTATAGATTTTTTCTCTTTTACATCACTAGAACCCTCAGTAGTATTCACTTCTTCGGTTTTGATCATTGCTTTTTCATCACGTTCATCATCATTATCATTTTTACCAATACATTTCATATTGATATCTTTTTTGGTTGATATCTGTGTATTGATACTATCCAATCTTTCGGATTCAAGGCCCATTGGTTCTATTAAATTTTTACTTTTGCCATTAGTTGGCTTAATATCATTACCTATATAATTGTTGAATTTTTTTATAGTCTTTTTCTGAGATTTAGTCAATTTAAAATCTGTTGCATCACATCGTATTGTATACATCGGACAGCATAATGCATTATTAATAGGTTTGTAAACATATTTTCCGCATCTTCTCCAATTACGATCAATCAATCCTTTATAAACTCTTGGCGGAAGATAATGAGCCCAAAGGCCTTGAATTACAATGATAATTAAAAAAAACTGCTTTAAATAAGTCTTAGTCAACGCCTACCGTAAGTGGATTCAGGATTTCGGTTCGATTTACAATAACCGCAAAGACATTCGTCTTGTGAAAGACCAAAATAATGAATCACACCTAATGAATCATCATCATCATCATCATCACGAGCATTATGTTGACCGCTGAACATTTCTGAAATGGATAATATTGACAAAACAAAAAGATTTGGTTCTTGGAACAATAAATGAAACAGGATTCTGTTTACGAATTAATAAATGCCATAACAACAAGAGATAGCGCCATCTATTATTGAATGAGTGAGCAGAATTCTTTAAATTTAAAAAAAAGAAAAAACCAAAGCCACTGGAGAGGTTCGAACTCTCGACCCCTGGTTAACAAAATACACCCATTCATAAATGAATTTTGTTCCAAATGAAAATTGGAATCGGATACACATTGAAGAATTTACGAGACCAGTGCTCTGCCTCTGAGCCACAGTGGCATCAATATAGTGTAAGAAGAGGGATATGTAGACTTTCATTCGAAATAAAAATACCGGAAATAGAATAATTAATTTTAATTTATAATGTAAAGTGAAATCATTAATCAAATAAAACCACCCATTTCTTTCATAAATTGTTCGTAGGCATCATCTTTAGAATTTGTTTTATCCTTAACAGTGCTTGACGATTTGGTAGATGGTGATGATGATGATGTGTTTAATGAATGAATCATACCATATGCACGGAATGGTTTGATCAATGATTTTCGTGGAGCTTGTTTTTCATCACGACGAACTCTCAATGCTAATGGCATAAATTTAGTTGAATCGGCGCTAAGATTACGAAGTTGTGGTCTTGCTTCAATCGTTGCGACTTGTTTAGTTTTTTCTTTTTTCTGTTGATTATAATTTGATGGATTAAAAATTGTGGGATTATGCGGTGTCATTCGTAAAACTTGACCCGCTGTATGTATTAATTGAGGTGGCATTGAAACTTGAAGAGGAGGTGGTGGAGCTGGTCGGACAAGAATTTGAGGTGTTGGTTGAACCAATGTAGAACTGGCTAAAATTATACTGTTAGTATTCGGAGCTTGAGGATTATCGATGACATTTTTATTTGGTTCAACTTCTTTATTCGATTTTTCGCTTGATAATTGTTCAATTTCTTGAAGAAATTTATTTAAATCACTTACATCTTTGTTTTTCTCACCAACTTCATCAGAGAATCGTATTTTTTTATTTGATTCAGATTTTTCAACTTCATCTTCACTTTTGTCATCGTCTTCATCATTATCATCATCACTTTCGCTTTTGAATTCACTTAATGAAGGTGGAAGTCCAGGAGGACAACCGGGTGGCTGTTTGGCGCGATTTCTTGTACTTTTCAATATTGATTGTGGTATCGTCTCTTTACCTAAAGATGATGATGTTGCTGATTCCGACGGTAAAGGAATTGCTGAAGGAAGAGGAATTTCTTCAATATTAACTTCTTGCGCTGATTTGATCGCTTCGTATTGTTTAACTAATTCGTTTCGTTTTGCATCATAATCACTTTCCATTCGTTTCAATTCAATGTATTTATCTTTATCCTCTTTAATCTAATTAGAAAATTTTTTCGGAATTATTCATTATTTCATACTATTTTTACTTATTCAGACGTATACTTACATAAAGTCTTATTAAACGATCCCAGGTTTCTTTTAGTTTTCTTCGTTTATCTTTAAGCACTTTTTCATTGAGCGATGGTGGATTGTAGAAATCATATTCCATTTTATCAAGTCGTTCCATATCTGATATAATTTGATATGGATCTTTACCCTTTAGAACGGCAACTCGAACAATCGATCTTTGTTTCTTATTCTAAAATATGAAAAAATTGTTACTCATTTTCATTATTTAAAAAAATTGATTTAATCATGCAAACAAAAACCTTTTTCAATTCTCGTTTACGAGCTTCTTTTCGAGCTTGATCAGTTGGATTAATATATTTTCCACTCTTAGTAGATTTCATTCGACGTCCCATTTTCGATTTACAAATTTTTTTTATTAGTTAACGACAAAAAAAAACGAAGAATTAAAAACAAAACAAATGCCAATGTGTTTCGATCACTGTGCGAGAATTCGGAAATCCGATCATATCATTTATGAAAGGATGAATAGAAGAGCGAATTCTCACGTGTCCCAAATTTTAAGATATCAGCACATTTTTTTTTGAAAATTTTCTCGAAAAATGGATTCAAATGATTTAATTGTTAATTTTATTACGAAAGATCAACGATATGCTGTTCCTTCGATTCCAGTTAATATTAAAAGTTCATCGACGGGGGAAGAATTTGATAGAATAATCAAAGCATTAATTAAAGATAACAATGAAAAAATTGCTTTAGAACAAGTTGAATTCGATTTTATAATTAATGGAAAACTTTTACGCCAAACTATCGACGAGTTCATCAAGAATGAAAACATCAGTACCGAAATTCAAATTGAAATAGAATATTTTGTTAAATGTGAACCTCCAAAGCCGCATAAATCATTTCTTCATGATGATTGGGTCGCTTCTGTTGATACAATTGATGAATGGATTTTGTCAGGATGTTATGATAGTTCGGCGCACATATGGAATATCAAAAATGGTCAACATAAAATCGCCATACCAGCACATACATCATCAATCAAAGCGGTGAAATGGATTCGTAATGGATTGAGAAAGAATAATCAAAAATATACCTTTGTGACTTGTTCACATGATGAAACTGCAATGTTATGGATTTGGGATTCAAAACTTAATCAAGTTGAACATATTTTCACCTATATTGGTCATTGTCGATCTGTAGAATGTGTCGATCAACATAAAGATCTTATTGCCACTGGTTCATATGATAATATGCTCAAAATCTGGTCAGCCATTGATCCAATTGATGGTGATAATAATGTAAATGAAGGTGGGGATGTTGAAATGAAAGACATTTCTAAGAAAAAATTGCGATCACCAGCAATCACAATGGAGGGACACAAAGAATCCATTTCGGGTTGTGTTTGGTTAAATGAACAAGTACCAACAGTTTTGACTGTATCATTAGATCAAACGATGAAAATTTGGGACATTGAAATTGGTGAACAAAAACAATCATTCACATCAAGTAAATCATTTTTAGATGTTGCATATTGTCCATCAACTGGTAATATTTTGACAGCATCTTGTGATCGACTTATTCGTATTTGGGATCCACGACAAAATCATGGATCATTAGTAAAAAATGTTTATAGTTCACATGATGCTTGGATTTCATCAGTCGATTGGTCGCCAACAAATGCGAATCTTTTTGTATCGGCAAGCTATGATTCGACCGCTAAACAATGGGATATTAGATCTCCAATGGTACCATTGTACGATTTGTTAGGACATCAGGATAAAATCATGTCAATTAATTGGTCTAATGAACAATTCATCGTAAGCGGTGGAGCAGATAGTCAAATTAAAATATTCTCATGTTCATTGTAAACAAATATAAAAATGTTTTTTTATTTCATTCAATTTCATTAAAAATTTTTATCATTATTATAAAGTGATTAATCCATTCTAGTTTTAAGAGCTTTAACGGTTACTTTATCTTTTTCGATAATATACACAATGCCTCCCCACCCGGAACTAGCATCCCGATCAAACGCCGACATGAGTGATTGTGAAATAGTTTCGAAAAGATCATCTGGTTCCATGTCTGGCTTCCAAAGTGTTTCACACATACCAAAAGCTTGTTCAGTACAAGTTCCCGATACAACAAAATCATCTGGCTCGTTTATACATCCGATGATATCAGAAGCGGCAATGTATGATTCTCCGGTTTTGCTATCAATACCAGCAATAACTGGTTCAACAAAATATGGACCGAATCTTCGTTCATATAGCATATTGCTTATCATTGAACCAAATGTTTTTGGTTTAATACGGCGATTTTCACGCAATTCATAAAGATTGACACGAAATTTAACTCTTTGGGCAACAGTTTTCGTATCCGTAGCCAAACCAGGTAAACCAACATAAATATGAGGATTAACTTCAAATATTTTTTGGTAATTAAACGAAATGGCATGATTTTGTGCGGTCAAAGCACGATCAGCAGCGATAGCTACACAATTTTTGCCTTTCATCGCAATGACAAGGCCGCCATTATAATCCATGATACTCTGAAATAGATAATTTAAAATTGAATTAATTCTAACGAATTTTTAAAATTTACCATTGTGAAAAAGATTTTGAAAATTTAATCCAAATCTTAAAAAACAAGCTTCTATCAATTTGAACGAGTGAATGAATCGAATTTTGTCAAGTCATACATCTGCAACAATCGATTAATCGAAACTACTATCGATATTATTCAAATTTAAGTCCATTCAAATATATCGACTTTTGTTAAACAATTTTATTTCTTTTTTTTATATAATACAAAGTTTTACCAAAAAAAAAGACATGATCATATTTTTTGAAAACCTTCACATGATGAGCCATAATTTTTTCTGACTTGCATCGGTATCAAAGGAGCTGTGGATGAAACTTCAATGTTTGTATAGTTACTTTGCTGTGAAGATGGCCAAAAATTTTTCATTCGATTTCCTATCTGTCTAAAATGATCGGCAACATCTGTTCTTTCATCAGTCATGTCTACAATACGGGAAAATGAATAAAACACTGGATTACTTTGACGTTGTTCATCAATGAATGGTTTATGTGAAAAAACAAAAATATGTGCAATTGCAGCAATTAACATTTCAAAACAAATAATAAAATCTTGTAAGTTTCTCGACATTTCATTTGTAGATATATCTGGAGTGCTTGATGGTATGAATGATTTGGTTATTATACCCAATTTTATCAATAAAGATAATAAGACGCCTTGGCTGTTCGAAAAAAATATTTCAGTTTGTCTTCAGAAAAATTTTTTTGAATAAAAAGTGACTTACAAAAAAGAGAAAAAAATCACAGCTTTGATGCTTAAAAATTTTCCCAATGGCCTCATAGGTGCAAGTTCACGCTTATAATTCTGATAGAACATGACTAGAAAATACATGGCAACCTTTAACAAAATAAACATAGAATGTTTACCATGAAAATTCATAAATTCATGTAATACGAACCATTTGAGAAAGATTATTTATGATTAACAAATAAATATAACCATAATTTAAACTGAAATTTCCTTCACAGTAAACTCCGAAAATTTGAAAAATCCTAGATAAAAATGGGAAAAAATGAATTCATTTTTAATCATATTGAATCATACATACAATGCCAAAAATGTGGTTACAGGTCGAGATACAATGTATTGAATCATTGCATGTCGTACGAATTGAATAAATTTTCGACCAGCCGGTAATGGTGGGAAAAAACAAAATGGAAAATTATTTGGAACACTTGGTTTGCAATCGACAAGAATTTCGTATTCGTCGACATCATTTTGTAGAAAATTGAACAGATATTTCATGAAAGAATAAATTACAAACGCTTCATAACATTCACGTAATGTATCCATATAAATTGAGGTTTGTGGAAAAAACATAGCTAACCACTATATGAATTTAAACAATTATTAATAATCAAACATCGAAAAAAAGATGTACAAACCGAATTTAAAGCATAAATTGGCACCATCCATAATATTCGAACGATATATTTTTGAAGATATGGTTTATTATAATATTGCATGTGTTTAAAAATTTCAAACAATGACAGAAAGATCGCTATTAATGCAAATAAACCGGCAATATAAGGCCAATGGCTTGCAAATTCGTTTGAATTTGGCTCGAATTTAGACATATCCATTTTTGTTGTATAAAAAATTTTTTGTTTAGTTTAGTTATGGGAGTTTTATCCATAGAAATATTTTTTCGTAAACAATTGTCATTTGTTACAAGTTATAATATGATAAAAACAAAATGTTCTAATTAATTTTTTTGATAGTATTCGATCAACTATATCATAAAAAATAATTGTTGTTGATAATTATCGTCTAATAAATTATTCAGATTAGTTTTGAAACGCACATCGCATGATAGATATTCATCAATGAAAAACAAAACAAATACACATAATCTTATTTCATGGTCAATAGATGGCGTTTCAATTTTTTTTCCAAAAAGGAACTTTAATTCAAAAGAAAAATCTTTATTCTAATTAATATAAAAGATCAATTGAAATAATAACAATTAAAGATAAACAGACAAAAAAAGAAGTATATTGAGAACAAAATTTAAGGAAAATAATCCACCAGAAATCACAGGTTTTTATCAATACAATAAAGGGCAATGAACAGTGAATACAAATCGATCAAGTATCGACAATTTGATAACATTTTTTCGATCCAGTTGTCCTCAGATGAAGTTTTAATCTTGATTCTTTATGTGGATCTGTTTTATAAAAAATAAATAGCGAATGAATTAATATCAAACAAAATGAAAAATTCTTTAAACGTACTTTTGTGATGAGAATGATCATGATCAAATTTTCGTAACGATAATTTTGTTACCAATGGTGAATGAGTTGATTCAACAACTGGTTCGATTTCATGGTCAAAAATTTTTGCTCTAATAACGTCGTCCTGCGATTGAATTTTTTGCAAATCAAATTCTAAACTATCAACATTATTATTATTATTATTGTTTTGTAGATTTGATAAACTGGAATCTTCAGAACTATTATGAAAATTTTCAAAACCATCCGATATTGAATGATATTCAGAATTATTTTCACCAAATGATGATGATGATGAAGATGATGATAACGATGATGATATGATCGTAGACGTTGGATTGAATGGTTTGAAATTTAATTTCGCCGTTTCTTGTTGTGATTCTAATTCATTGTTATCACAATCTTTTGTTTCAATATTACGAAGAATTGGAACAGATTCCTTAATCTTTTTTAATTTTTTCTTTTTGATAACATTTTGTGATCTTTTTTTGACAGATATAGACAAAAGATCGACCATAGTCGAATTAGAAGTGGATGATGAAGAGGACTGAAGTTGGTCATCAACCATCTCATTATCTTTTGGTTGATCACCATTTTTAATTTCACTATCGATTTCTTTGTTTGAAATATGATTCTGATTATACTGAATTGATTGATCATTGTTCGTTGTTTTTGGACAATGTTTGGAGAAAAAACATGATTGAGAATTACAATTATAAAAACACTTTTTTCGAATCGAACAACGTGTTTCATAACGTTTATTTTTGGGGGTGGTTTGATTCTCATTGGATTCAGGTATATCATAATCAGTAGTAACATTTTGTGAATTTAAATTTTCTTTTGGTGAAGGACAATTTGCTGCTTGTATTGGCTCGAAACAGTCGACAGGATCTTCAATTTTTATTTCAGATTCGATGATAGATTCATCCTCTGTATTTTGGCGACAACAATCATCATTTATGTCTTCTTTTATAGAGATTCCGTGTTTTTTTCCATAATCAAGCACAAATTTTTTAGCTGAAATCCGAGACATACTATGACTATTCATTAAATGACGAATAGCTGAAGAAAGATATGTACAACTAGCATCACAATATTCACAAACAAAATCGATTTTGACAGCAAACGTTGTCTTATAAAATGATGCGAATTCATTTTCGATTTGTTTCTCTGAATCACTTTTGGTGTTTTTGACAATAGTTTTTATATCGAGATTATCTTCGGCAGTGTCCGATTTATCGTTTTTCGTGATTTCAGAGTTCATTGAAGAATCAATTATAGGTATTGATGTCGTTGCCGGTGGATTTAATTTGCTTACTAAATTTTCAATACGTTTCTTTTTCACAATTCTTTGTTGAGTAGTAATCAAACTAGTGTTATCTGCTGATCGTTTACGGATTTTATCATCCAAACAATCTTTTTTATCACAGGTAGTAACATTAACAAAATTTTTATTTGATTTTAACTCTTGATCATTATTAGAATTTTTATCCGATGGAGTGATTATTTTTGATTTCAATTCCGAATCAACCGAATAAGTTTCAGGTTTAATAAAATTGTCTTGTTTTTCCGTAAACCAATTCTGATCAAATAGAACCATTTGTTCACAGCAATGTTTCTTACAATACAATCGTTTATGTGCCAGAAAATTTGCTAAACTTCGAAACAGATTACGACAAACACGACATTCATAAATGATATTGCATTCATTAAGGATTAAATCTTTAATCTCTTTTGTACCATCACTTATACAGGTAATAATTTGATGAACATTTTTAATACCGACATTAATCGGTTCTCTTATGATTGAATGATCCAATAAATTTAAATCATCTTCAAGTGTTTTCCTATCCTCCGGTTTAATATCAAGCGTTGTTGTTGTTGATGATGATGATGATGATGAACCTGCAACGGTTTTATTTGCAAACGATCTTTTTTTGACCATTTTTTGTAAATAAACTATAGAAAAAATAACAATAAATAATAATCAATTTATTTCGAAAACTATAACCTTAAAACTTACACTTATCATATGTTTATTTATTAGATTTGATAATAAAATAGATCTGCGCAATATTTAATGAAACTTAATGATGTTTAATTATGAAGATTAAACCAAGAATTCCAACAACAACAAAAAAACTTTTGATTAGAATTTTGAAATACTATAAAAAATAATTATATAATATTATTTTTTTTAATCATTGATATCGATGTTTGTTTTCGGTATATGTTATGTATTTGCGTAACTGTAACTGTGTGTTTTTTCGGATTTCAATATTTTTATTATGTTGATAAAAATGATTTACACATACAACTTGAAACACAAATAGCAAAGAATATGTATGTCAGATAAAATAGAAGATATTAGAGAATTCAGATCATTAATATTAAAAAAAAAGAAGAGAAAACGTTTGGGCACATCAATTGATTTGAGTAGATATTATCGTTATAACAATAACACAAATAAATATAATGGTATTACACATTCAAATGGAAATGAAAATGAAAAAAAGAGAAAACATTTCAATATATACGCTATAGATCTATACGTAAATATCAAAAAAAGAACCTGATACACACATACACTTATCCAAAACACACGCATATACACCGTTTGAAATAAGAGTCGTGAAACAAAAAAAAAACTAGTTTTATTCAATTACAAATGTTTCAATACAAATGGATAACTTATTATATAATATTCACCGAAAGAAAAAATTAAAAATCAAATTATTTGGGAAAAAATTTGGGAAAAAACATTCGAATAATCAAATTCAAATAAAAATATCGATGAAGAAAATCAAACAAATAAATGATAAACAATCAAAATTGTATCGCAGAACTGTTCCGACATTATTATAATTAGAATAGAATTTTTTTCCAAATGATCAATGGTTTATGATAAATATCTTTATTTTGCTACATAATTTCTTTTTTTAAAAAATATAAATAAATGAGTTCACTTGTTATGGCGCGTTCGCCTATAATACTTACAAGGTCGAACTAGATTTAAGGTTGCAATAGTCAATATCAACAAATCATCATTTTTGAGTCCAACCATAATGTCATTTTCTAAATCAAAAATAACAGATTTTTTTCAAAAAAATAATGATGGTTGGAATGAAACGGTCAAAAGATCTAATAATTTTAGTGATGGATCTTTTCATAAAAAACCAGCGAATAAAAATAGAGCCAAACGAAAAAAATTGGAATTTACATCATCTACAACATATCAACGATCAATTGTAAATTTTGATTCGAATAATGACGATGATACATCGAACGAAATTGATTCACCCAAATCTCAATCATGTCCTGTAAAAATGTTAGATTCATCCAAATCCTATAAAAATGCCGAAGAAGTATTACAAATCGTTTTTGGTCATCAGTCATTTCGAAACAATCTTCAGGAATCAGCAATCAAAAAAGCTATTGAAGGCAAAGCTGATATATTTATTTCAATGCCTACTGGTGCTGGTAAATCATTATGTTTTCAATTACCGGCAATTTTTGATAACACTAAAATAACCATTGTCATATCACCGTTATTGGCTTTGATCTCAAATCAAGTTTCTAGTCTACGTAATCTTGGAATTGCATGCGAAAGTTTTAATTCACAAACGACTGAAGCCGAAAAAGAAAAAATCAAAAAAGATTTAATATCAACAAATGTATCAATTAGATTATTGTATATAACACCAGAAATGGCTGCTACTACATTCTTTCATGAAGTAATGAATCATTTAGTTCGAACAAATCAATTGTCTAGATTTGTTGTTGATGAAGCTCATTGTGTATCACAATGGGGACATGATTTTCGGCCAGCCTATATTAAATTAGGTATACTCAAATCAAAACATCCTTCTGTACCATGGATGGCTTTAACCGCAACTGCCTCATCTAAAGTAGTAAATGATATTATCTCAATTCTAAAATTTCGTCTACCTGTTTGTAAATATATCATGTCAAATTTTCGATCCAATTTACATTATGATGTATATTATAAAGATTCGCCTGAAAATACTCCTCTTGAAGATTTAAAAAATTTTGTCATCGAAGAATTAGGATCAAACGATCAACAATTGTTCAACAAAATGTCAGCCACCGAAAGTATATTTGATAGAGCTGCCAGATTGTCGAAGACTGCCAAAAAAACTGATAAAAAAGACGAAAATGTGGGCATCATTTATTGTCGTACTCGTGAACAATGTGAAGAGATTGCCAATTTATTATCTAGATCCGGTATAAAAGCTAATGCTTATCATGCAGGTCTAACGGCACACAAACGTCGTGAATGTCAAGAAAAATGGATGAAAGGTGTTATTAAATGTATCATCGCAACGATTAGTTTTGGTATGGGCGTCGATAAAGGTCAGGTTCGTTTTGTTGTACATTGGAATCTACCTCAATCATTGACCGGTTATTATCAAGAATCTGGTCGAGCTGGTCGTGATGGATTGCCATCAAAATGTAGAATCTATTATTCAATCGATGATCGTGATGCAATTGCATATCTGATACGACAGGATATTGAAAAAAGAAAAATTTCCAAACAATTTGCCAAGCATAATGGTGAAGAATCTTATGATTATGAAATTACGATGAAAAACTTTGAAAAAATGATTAGATATTGTGAAAATTTTCAAAAATGTCGCCATTCATTCTTATTGTCCGAATTTGTGGGTGATGAAAACATTGTTCATAATGGATGTGGTTCCAGTTGTGATATATGCTGTGATGCTCGTGCCGTTAAAAAACGATTCGAAAAATTTGAAAAAATTCGAATGAAAAATTTATATGGAAGTTGTCGCAAAAATGATGATGATAATGATACTTTTTTTCTACCCAAACGTGATGAAATCAAAGAACAAAGTGAATTTCAAATAAAAAAGGAAATTCAAACAATCGATATTGTTAAAGCTGAATTCAAAAAGCGAAAAACTGTTGCTACGTCACCATCAAAATCGACATTCAAAAGTGCAGCAACGGTAGTGTTGGAAAATTCTTCCGATAAGAATGGAAACAAAATAAAAAAAGATTCGATCGACAATGATACCAGACAAATGTTTCGTGATAAAATGATTGCCGAAATTAGAATTCATCTAAATCAAGTGAATGAATCAAAAAATTTCAACAATTCAACCATCGAACTTATAGTCAAAGAAGAAGAATCAAAAATTTTTTCATCCAAATCACCAAATCGAATGTTATATCGCGCATCGATTGCTAATTTACTCAAACAAATTCGTGATTCAACCAAATCTCAGAAACTTAATGCTACTATTGAACAATATCGCAAATAAAATGAATTGATTGATTTATTAATAATAAAAAATTTATTTTTGTAATCCCGAAAACTTGTCTGAAAAGAAAATGATAAATTAAAATTAATTAATTACGAAACATTAAAATAAATTTTGTTTTTTGTTAGCAATGATAATAGCCTCATATTTAAATGAAAATTTTCATTCATTGGAAAATAATCAGAATGTGAACAGCAGTAAATGAACTAATCTTTGGCTAAAATTGAATGTAATGAAATAAATAAATATTATGATTACTTTTGAATTTAGAAACGAAGTTTAGTGAAAAACCATTTATTTTTGCCCGACTTGTAACGTTCTTCCATTTTACTACGGACCTCTTGACGAGCTTTCCTTCGTGCAGCTTGATCTTTGACAATTTCTTTTGCATCGACCTTTTCCAAAGCCATTTCGACAATGTATCTAATAAAATGAAATTTAGAGAAAATTTAAATTTTTTTGTGCAAAGAAATAAAAAATTCATACCGTGTTGGCATCATGTGATTATAGTTGACCACTTTAAGGAATGGCTTAATACGGCTTCTCTTGGCACGTTTCTTTTTGCCCATTCTTCGGGTAACAGGTCGTGGATATCTATCAATTCCAGCAACCAAAGCATGACCATAACTTTTGGCATTGGTGCCCTCATCTTGATTTTTCAAAATAACGGCTTTACGGCCAGCATATTTACCAGCTAGTAAAAGAACCACTTTACCAGGTTTCATAATTTTACCCATTTTTTCGGGTATTAGATCTTCGAAACAATAACAAAAAACCAAAAGAAATGAATAAATTGGACCAAAATATGAAGTGAAAACACCAGTGAGCGACACACGCGTGGCCAACCACAGGAAACACACACAACAGTAGCATTGGAAAATACTGATTCATTCATAGACAATGTTTAGTCAGGTTTTTGTTTATTTCAAAAAAAATCTAAAATGTTTTGAGGCAAAATTAATTATCCACCTGAGTTATCCAAAACATTCCTTAAATGAATTCAATTTCATTATCTAGAATATTATGATCATTTTAAATAAAACCCATCTATTCTCTATCGGATTGTTTTTGCTTTTACAATCATTGGAATTTTCACAAAGCCGGCTTATTCCATTTTCCAAAAATGATAAAATCATATACAAGTATTCAATTTTTTTATTTTAATAATATTTCAAAGAATTTATTGCTAAAATACATTTCTTTTAGGGAAAAAATTCTTTCCATGTTTTATGAAGCTTACAACAGCTATGTCGATAATGCAATCGAATATGATGAATTGATGCCAATTAGTTGTTCGGGAATAAACACATGGGGAACATTCTCACTTTCATTGATCGATGCCTTAGATATGTTGGCTATTGTAGATAACCATACTGAATTTAGACGTGTAGCTCAACATATTATCGATACGGCCGATTTTGAAACAAATACAAATGTTTCTGTTTTTGAAACAAACATTCGAGGTTTGACACGTTTGAATCATTTTGACCAATGACAATCAAAATGAATTGTTGCTATTAATATAGTTGTTGGTGGTCTTTTGTCAGCGCATCTTTTTTCCAGACGTGCTGGATTTCAAATTGAAAATGGTTGGCCTTGTTCAGGTCCCTTGCTTAGATTAGCCGAAAGAGTAGCAAGAAAATTACTACCAGGTACAACAATAATTTTTGCTTTAATTTTATTCTTGAGGATTTTCAATTCCTAATAGCATTTAATACATCAACGGGAATGCCATATGGAACAATTAATTTTCGTTATGGTGTGCCAGAGAATGAAACTCCCATTACATGTACAGCTGGTGTAGGCACTTATATTGTCGAATTTGGGACATTAAGTCGTTTGACTGGAGATCCAATTTTCGAGGAAGTGGCCCTCAACGCATTGGAAGCTTTGCAACGTCATCGTTCGAAAATTGGTCTTTTAGGCAATCATATCAATGTTCAGGATGGAAAATGGACTGCTACCGACGCTGGTATTGGTGCCGGTGTTGATTCATATTTTGAATATTTAGTCAAAGGGTCTATATTATTACAAATGCCTAGTCTAATGGAAGTGTTTAATTGTAAGTAACTGATTTAATTATGTCTAATAATGATATGATTTCTGATCAATTTCTTAGATGATTATGATTTAATCAAAAATTATTTGAGGAAAAATGATTGGTTTATTTGGGTTAGTATGGCCACTGGTTCAGCAACAATGCCAATATTTCAATCACTTGAAGCTTTTTTCCCCGGTTTATTAACGTTGATGGGTGATCTGGATCAGGCGAAAAAATCATTATACAATTATCATCAAGTATGGAAACAATATGGTTTTGTTCCCGAATTTTATGATATTGTAAATGGAAAACATCATAAACGAGAAGGATATCCACTTCGACCAGAATTCATTGAGAGTGTTTATTATTTATATCGTGCTACAAAAGATGATCATCTTCTTACTATTGGTGCTGATGTTGTCAATTCCATTTATTATTCTGCTCGCACTGATTGCGGCTATGCAACAATAAAAAGCGTATCAGATCATACAATCGAAGATAGAATGGAATCATTTTTTCTTGCTGAAACATTGAAATATTTGTTTCTGTTATTTGATGAAGATAATTTCATTAACGAGATTGGTTCCTTTGGAACGATGATTGAGCTTGAAAATATTCGAAATTTTAAAAATAAACATAGCTGTGTGGTTGGATCAGGTGGATACGTATTCAATACGGAAGCTCATCCTGTTGATATTTCAGCTTTAACTTGTTGTGATCGATATTATGGCCGCGAGCTGGATTTCTTCGAAGATAATGTTGATCTATATGATTTATTTATTCGTAAACCTATTAAGAGAAAAGAGGAGTTATCATTTACATCGGATATACATTCTACAAGTGAAAATGTGGAATACTTTGATGTAATACAAACTACTCCAACAATATCAAGTTCCTCTATAAGTACGACAACCCAAGAAAAACATTCCGATGAACAAATATTGTTAGCAACGAAAACCAAACATCAAGATGAAAGTAGTCAAACCGAATTAGAGGCAAGTTTCAGTCAGGAAATTTATTGGAATGTAAATGAACCTGAATCAACAAATTCTTTTCACACACCGATTTATGTCCTAAAAACTGAAAATGAAACCCATTGTAGTCAAACCACCATCAACAAAAATTATCCATTTATTTCGAATGATGAACATTTAACGGGAGTTTATTCTGCCGTTCCTTCCAAGTCTTCCATCGAAATTAAACCAGATTCGATACTGATCAATAGATCAACAATGGTAATCAAAACGATCAACATAAATGATAATAAAACAAGTGATAGTGATCAACAAAAATTTGATTCACATGCTGAAAATGAAGAGAAGATTCATGATCATCATTATGGTGACTATGAACTATTGAAATGTCCTTCACAATCATTTTTTATTCGTCTTTCATTATATGGACAAATGTTTGAATAAATTCCTTTCTATTTTGTTTATTAAATATATCATATGAAAATGGAAATGGTCAGATCATTGTTAATTTAAAAAATTTCAATGTTAATATTAAATATGAAATAAATCTAAAAGAGATTTTTATAATTGAAACGGACTTGAATCAAATATTTCATCTTGATTTGTTCTTCATTATAGACGATATATTCATTATAGAGCAATGATGCTCTCATTAGATTAGTATTGTTGATCATTTTACCCAAGGGTACTTTAACACCATCCGCAGTGATGACCATTTCTTCAGGATTTGGATACGATTGTCCAATACCTTTGACTGATTGATATTTTTTTGGCAATTTGTCTACATATTCAGCATTGATCAATTCTTTACTGTTTCCTATGGCAACTTCACTTAAAGCCAATAAACCAATAGAATTATCATAGGATGTGTAACAATAATTGGCACTTTTAGAAACACTGTCGGCAAAATAAACACCTTTGCCAAACATGTAGCCTGTAGCAGGAGCTTCTTTCGGTGCGATTCGCAAACCTTGAGAAATAATTCCGACAAAGTTGGTTAAACGTGAACCATGCCATAACAGCATTCGATTTGGATTATCAGCAAATTTAGCAAATCTTTCGGCCTCTCCTTCTCGATTAAGACGGAAAATATTGATTATTTCCAATGTGTAAACATTATGTGTTTTTGCATGAGTATTTTGGATATATTTCTCAATTAATTTATAGTCATCGTCATTTCTGGAAATTGGAATGATTTCTGATTTTAATTTTCTATAATTAAAATCGAGCGCATCTTCAGTGGTATTGCTATTTTCATTATTACTGATAATTTCATAAGCCAATTCAATTTCAAGCAATGATTCGAGCATTTCGTTTTTCGTTGAAATCATATTTGATGATGTTATCAATGGTGGTTTTTCCATACCAAAATTATGTGGAACTAAACTATAAAACTTATTACAAGCTCCAACCAACTCGTTTTGAGGAATTGGTTTTCGCTCCAATAAATCGGATATATATTTCAATGTTTCACAAGCTTCAAGGATTCGTTTCTTTGATAATTTACCAAGTGGCATCTTCTCAAGATCCAATTCAAATTCCATCATAGTTCGTTTCATATTCTGAATATCAAAAAGAAGAGCAATAAGTTCTTTAACTTGTAAAGGCAACAAAGATTTTGATTCTTCAACTTTTATCACTTGTGAAGTTTCTTTCGTGTCATTGTAATCGATATCAACAGGATAATATGAATTTGGATGTTTTACAAAATTATGACGATTAGACCAATGATTTGAAGTACGTTCAAAATAACTTCGTTTAAAAGCATCAGTGGCTTCCCCTAAATTATAATAATTTTCAAGTTTTGTATTGCCAATTTCCGTACCAATTCGACCCCAAGATTTAAAAAGAAAAAATAAATGATCATTTTTATCATTTTGCAAAAGTTGCATTTTATAATAAGAATTTTTGTTCGTATTAACATCAACCAAATTCAGGACAACACTATAAATGTCATTTCCTTTTTTATAAACATGAGCGCTGTCCTGGAGTTCAGATTCTGGATATACAGCAATTCCATCTTTAATAACAACTTTTTGACTTTTGGATTGACTTTTTCCTAAAAAAATTATTCAATTAAATCAAATCATGTTAGTAATAATAAGCATTCATATAAAAACATACCAGAACCAGATTTAAATGCGGATTTTATATTAGAAACGGAATTTAATTTTTCCAAACGTTTGGTGATTTCATCTTCATCAAGATCCCAAAATGTTATTTTTGAATCTAATAAGGCTTTTTGTACTGATATCGTAGGATTCGAAACATTTGTAAAAAAATCTTCAGACACAACGGGAATATTCATTTCTTCAATCGTCTTAATTTTTTTAGTTTTTTTTAAGCTATGCCAATGATTTTCACTGGAAACGACACACAATATAGTTGGATTGATTTCATTTCGGTATTTCGCTCCCAACTTTTCAATCTTATTTTTGACAGATACTAATTTTTCTTTTCCCAAATACGTAATGATGTAACCGGACAATACACCTTTTTCTTGTTCATCGTTATCACTTGGTTCATTTTTGATTTGCGACTGTTTGATTTGTTTTTCCAACAGATTTTTCTGATACTTGCTTTTAAACATTTCATTAACCAAACGTTGACGTTTAATAAATTTATATTTGAATTTATCACGTATTTTATCATCGAAGAATTTCACTTTTGATCGTGGGGGGTTTTCCATTTCGTTGGTACACCGAGTCCATTCATCATAATTGCCACTGCAAACATAACGCCAAACGTTAAAAATAAAACATCCTCCACATTTATCACAACTTCTTGGCCATCCGAATACCAATGCATCGGCTAGAAATTCTTTACGACATGAAAAATCATCGGGAATATTCTTTTCTTCGACTCCATTTTCTATGAAAAATGAATAAATCTGGTTTTTTGCTAAACTTTTGACCATTTCCAAATTACGATGAATCAAATCCGATTGTTTTTTCAATGCTTTTTCTTCCTTATTTGATTCTTTTTTAACACAATTTTCTTCAACTTTGGGTTGTTTTTCATCTTCTTCAACTTTGGTTTGGCTTTTCACAATTTTGCTTGAGGATAAAATCTTCTTTTGCAACTTTTTTTTATCTGCCGATTTTAAGGCATCAAAACCATTCAACGACTCAACGGATGATATGAAACCAAGATCATCACAATTATTTTGAAAACAATCCACATGAAACCAACGTTTGAATGGTCCGATACGTCTAGCTTCGTCACTATCGTCATCCAATTTCCCAATACGGATTTCATCTTTTTCAATTTTTTCCGTACAGCTGATACAAGCAGCTCTATTTGATTTCGAATATTCAACGAAAAAATCTTGAGAAGTATTTACTTTGACTTTACGCTTTCGATTGTTTTTTTGCGTTTCAGGCACCTGCTTCTTCATCAGCATTTCATCAATCTTTTTCTGATCATCATATTTCAACATTTCATAGTTTTTAATTTCACCAACATTTCTAGGATGATAACGAACAAAAAAACAATCAAAATGATGCCATTTCGGTGCTAGACCATCAAAAAATGGTGATTGAACCATTACAGCTAAACGAAGCGTATCTTTATCAATTCCTTTTTTACATTGTTTACATCCAGCACGACCACTTTTTGAATATTCAGCCAAATAGGGCAAATTCGGTGTTTCCATTTGCTTTATGGATTGAAAAACGAATGAAATTTTGCAAAATTAGATTCAACAAACGCACTATTCGAATCAGTGATGAAAAAGTTGCCCGGCAAAGTGATTGTTTGTATCGCGATATATGATGAAAAAGAAATATACGACGCATGCACAGATCGAATAAAATTTTATCATATCATCATACACGTTCATGAATTCAGTGATCCATTTTAACAGAATTTAAACTTTAATTTGATTTTAAACAATTTTATCATACGATCTTGATCTTCTTGTTACATTAATTAATTAACATTAATATAATAATCAATGATTGTTGATCGAGCAATCCTCAACAGTATCAAATACGGCTGAATTTGAAAGTCCTAAAGTCGTACCGATAGCAATTTCGTCGCCTGCTAAATCAATGTTGATTAGGCTTATTTTCTTGATTGATTCAATAAAATTTTTTGTTGCATTGAATAAACAAAAAAAAAATATGCATGAAATTTTTGGAATTATATTGTTATTAAAGCTCACACTATACACAAACACACCAATACGAGAGAGATTGGTAATTTTTTCGAATATTTTTATTAAAAAAAAACATGAATGAAAACAATTGACGAGTTTTTTCTGCTTTTGTAACAATCTCTACAAATAAAATAATATTTTATGTTGTTGAAAAACCGTAAATATGCCGATTGTATTATTTACAAATTCAAGCAAAAACTTATTTACAATTAATTTGATCGGAAATTTTCAATAATGTAACTAAAATTTAAAAAAAATACACAAAAAATTAATTGAATTTCATTGAAATGGTGATGAATCACAATCAGCATTGTTATATGTTGCTAACGAATCAAATCGATGAATGAATTATTGGAATGAGATTTGTTGTTGTTGTTGTTTGAGTGAATAATTACACATTATGATGATCTCATGTTACGTAATAGACGCATCTGATGAGCTTCGAACAATATTCTGTTTGCATCATAATATATTGGATTCTGTTGTAATTTCAATGATGGATTATATGTTCGATATAATTCTTCTATATTCAACAATTGATTTCCATAACTATTATTATTTGAATTATTGATCATTGACATTGTTACAATATTGTGATCATTTTTCATTGGTCCTCGATATTGATAACCAGAATCATTACTATCGTCTTCATTTGGTAGACTACTAGTTGTACTGCTATTACTTGATAAACTAGTTCCACTTATCATTGTATCGTTACTACTATTTAAAAAAATATTAATTTAATTAAATAAATTAAAATCAAAGTAATTCAGTAATCATACTTTGTACCCTCTATGGATAGATGATTCATTTTTTTGGTCACAGGCATAAATTCATTATCATTATTTTCAATTTTTGGTCCATTATGATTGTCTTCATCATCACGTCGATTTAATGGACGTTTTATACTAAAATAGAATATGAGATATGTTTTCAAACAGTTAGATATTTATAAAACTTTACCTTGGAACAAAATAAGTCATCTCGGACATAATCATTAATTAATATACAGAATATTCTTGAAAAATAAGTAAATCAATGAATTGTCGATAATAATATATATTGAAGCTGAAAATAAATTATGTTTGATTTGTCATGGCTATCAACAATTCGCATACAAAGAGATTTTACAAAATTATCGACAAAATGATTTTATACAACAAAAAAAGAGAATGTAATTGAATGAATAAAATGGACAATAATCAAAAATAAAAGGTCATTTGATGGATTAGAAAAATGATAAACAACAAAAAAAGAAATGTAGAAAAAAAAACATTTGATTTCGAGCAGCGTATTGAAATAATTAGATTGGAAAAAAATCATCATTTATTCAAAACACTGCCGTCTAGTGGCAAAATATATTTTACATTGTTAAGCGGCAAAATAATTCATTTTTTTTTGTACAATTTAATAATTATTTTTGTTTGTTCCCAATAAAAATTCAAAATTCAAATTAATTTAAATAATGGAATTCAGATTGTATATAAACAGAAGCTTAGTTAGTACTAGAAGTCATTATTTTTTGTGGTTTTTTACCTTTATATTACTGTGATTAGTATTTCCACGACTTGACCAAAAAAAAATTTGATTATTTTATCATTTCATTGTTAAAATTACAAGTAAAAAAAGAGTCGATCAATTACAAGTAAAAAAAGAGTCGATCAATTACAAGTAATAGTAATTTAGTTTCAAAGAATTTTGTGAATACGCTCGATTAATATAACAAATTTATTTCGAAATGAGCGAAGAAGAAGGAACCAAAAATTCGAATGAAGACAAAAAACAACCACGAATACAACGAACGACAGTTTCAAGAACCGAAATGCAAAAATTGAGAGAACGAGCACGCTCGAGATCATTATTGAATACTTCGGCGAGTGAGCGAACACCTGAACGGGGACTATCAAGACCAAGCGTTTTGGAAAGAATGATACCAAAAGAGCCACCAATGTCACGTTTGCAGCGATATCGTATGTCGAAAAAAATGGGAACAGGTAAGAAATCTGAAGAATTATGAAATGTGTTGATAGTCAATTGATTCAATTGATAATAGACTCACAAGGGTCAGATTCAGGATCGCCTGATGATTCTGGAATCGGAAATGGAATGAGCGATGGTTTCGATCTTAAATATGCATATCCACGAACACAGCGAAATTTAATTAAAACAATCGAAATAGAATATCTTCCACCGGGTGGACGGGATTCGGAATCAGCAACAACAACTATTGTAAAGCGGCCATTTTTTATGGTCGGTGAAGATAAGAGCTTAGAAGAACGTATAGCAAAATTACCGAAAATTGGAGAAAAAATCCAAGAAGAATATCAAACCGAAAAAAATTATTTAATAACTCGACGTAATATCACAGAGGAAGGAATGTGGGTAGAAGAAGTGACACGTAATACGATCATTACGAAGATTCAGATTACAGAATTGGTAAGCAAAAAATTCATCAAGATGGATCGTGATGAAGCTCGCCGCCTGATGGAACGCGAATTGGCTGACAGAGAAGCAGCAGTGCCAAAAGTTGTTTCACCGAAACTGGAACGACCATATGCAGAATTATTGGAACAGCGACAAGCTGCTGCCGCTGCAACAAGTCATGAATTATTACCAGAAGGACCAATTACAGTTGGACGCGAACCAAGTTTAGGATTGCCAGTCCAGCCAAGTAGAGAGCCTGAACCAGTAACAGAAGGAATATCAAGTTTAGATGCTGCGTCGGCTGGTCTTGGGCGCGAGCCTTCAAGTAGAGAGCCGAGCGTCACCGATGGTGTAACCGGTTTAGAACGGGAACCGACTGCCAGAGCACCAACGGATTTAATGGGAGCAATTTCAGCACAAGGAAGAGAACCATCAGCATTCGGGAGAGAGCCGACTTTTCGTGAGCCAGATGCAACCGTTGGAGGTGGAATGATTGCACCAGGAATAGAAGGTGGATCACCAGATACCATGAAAGATCAAAGAGATAAAAATCAACAATATCCTAGTGATTTGATGGGAGCGATTTCAGCGCAAGGAAGAGAGCCATCTGCGTTCGGAAGAGAACCGACTTCACGTGAACCGGATGCAACAATTGGAGGTGGTGTTATTGCACCAGGCATGGAATCCCCAAGTGGTGCACTTCAAGATGGAACGTTAATAGATCCTACCAAACGCGAGGCAAGCATGTTTCCAGGTTAATAATAACATAAACAAATAAATTATAATGAATAATTCTAACTTTGAATGTATTCAATTAAAAGTTCCAACAGTAACAGCACTTGATGCCGAAAGTAAAGGAGAATTAGGTCGGGAACCATCCGCTAGGGAACCAAGTGGACTTGGAGCAGGCGTATCCGCACCAGGAATGGGCAAAGATTTCGAAATTGAAATCGAAATTCGCAAAAAACGTGATACTGCCGATATTACTGGACCGAAAATGGAAGAATCCGGAATTTCTAGAGAACCATCCGCAAGAGAACCGAGTGGATTAATTGGTGAATTGTCAACACCTGGAATGGAATCAGGAATTAATCGCGAACCATCCGCTAGGGAACCAAGTGGATTAGTTGGTGGAATATCAGCTCCAACATTGACAGATGGGCTGGGGCGCGAACCATCCGCTAGGGAGCCAAGTCAATTAGTTGGAGGAATATCAGCGCCAGGAATGGAAGCATCCGGAATTTCTAGAGAACAATCAGCGCCATCACCAAGTCAATTAGTGGGTGGTCAATCGGCAGATGGAGCTGGAAGAGAATTTGATATTGACATTGAGATACGTCGAAAAAAAGAAGATTACGGAGTAGATCAAGAATCAATGATGGGAAAAGATATAACAGGAGGAGTTTCAACCCCCGAAATGCTATCGCCATCAGCACTGGGACGCGAACCAACGGCTCAACAATTTGGATCAGAACGAGGAATGCAAACATCTGAATTGGAAGCATCAGGAATTAATCGCGAACCATCCGCTAGGGAACCAAGTGGATTAATGGGTGGTCCATCCGCACCAACATTGACAGATGGGCTTGGGCGCGAACCATCCGCTAGGGAACCAAGTCAATTAGCGGGAGGAATATCAGCTCCAGGAATGGACGCGTCAGGAATTTCTAGAGAACAGGCAA